CTTTTTAAGTTTTTAAGAACACTTTTTCACAATTATCACAGGTTTGAGTAAATAAAATTTAAATTAATCTGACAAAATAGCAATAATTACTTTGAAAATGGACGCTTTGAACACTGTTTGGTATTTTTTCAATGAGAGCATTTAAATTTTGAAAAATTTTATAATTTTTGAAGATTCTGACTTTGACAAAAGAAAATTATTTCTATTTTTGTTTGCGGTTGTTCTTAGCAACCGCTATAGCAGCGCCAGATTGCGTACAACGGCCGCGACACAAAACAATTATATATTTTGACGAATATTCCAATATAAATTTATTTCCTTGATCTATGACAGATACGTCTATTATAAACCTTTGACGGTCCTGGTAAAATGACATTATATGAAGTCAAAATCAAGTTAAAAATTATTATTACTTTAACGATACAAAAAGCTTAAATTTTCTGTATATGATTTTTTTGCAAAATAAAAACACTAAATGACCACAATACACCAAAACACTTTTACTTTTACACTGGACGCGCGTTTCGCTAACCATGTTAGCATCATCAGCAGATGATTATAAACTGAATGAACAGTTTATAAATACGACCCTAGTATAAATTCTACCGTATGTTCGAGAAAAAACGGCGTCAGCGTTGGCTATGAAATGAAGATCGCTGTCATTTTATATGTAAATTTATATGGGGATTGTCATTTCCCAGCCAACTGGACGCCGTTTTTTTTCGAGCATACGGTACTACATCATTGTTACTTTTTTCTCCTTTAGAAGAAAAGAGATGAATGTCAACGTTGCGTTATAGAGATACCATCATAAACTATATTTTTTTAAACACAAAGCTGGATTTTTTTTTCATTTTTAATTAAAAGAACAAACTAAATGCATCCAAAGAAAACATTTCAATTAAAATGTTCGCTCTTTTTCAACGGATCTTTGTGTTTACTTTAAGCCGTTCCCTCATTTGCAAATTTTTCGAGGCCCGTTTGCGAGTCGCAACTTCTAATTGGCGAACTGATTGGAGACGCTTCGACGTTGCCAGTTTGCTGTTTGACGTTAGGGATGTACTAGATATATTGATATGATGAGATATCGATATTAATTTAGCAAAACTGTTTTTTTTCTGCAAAAAAAAATGGAACTACTCTTAGAAATATCTTAACACAAACGGAAAAATCGGACACGTTGAAACAAGAGAGAACATCTACCACATCCATACCAGATACTCTACTGTTTTAAGATGTTCTTGTTAGTAGAAATAGAGATTTATTCATATTACTGTGTAGAAAAAACCGACACATACATTAGTTACACATATACGACAGTACGATAATTTCGGAGCGGTTCGGCTTTTTCCGGAATTATGTCGCCAAATATATTGTTTGTTCAAATTTATTATTATTTTCTATTAATTTTACAAATAAAACAGAGTGTGTTTCATAATATTTTTATTTTATATAAGGACATGTATGAAATACCTATGGAACATTGAAAACCGACGTTATGCCACGATGGTTTTTGTAGTTCACAGTTAATGCCATTTTTCACAATTATCAGGGGTTTGAATTAAAATTTAAATAAAACTTACAAGATGGCAATAATTACTTTGAAAATGGACGCTTTAAACACTTTTCGGTATTTTTTCAATGCGGGCAGTTTAAATCTTGAAAGCTTTTATAATTTTTGAAGATTCTGACAAGAGAAAATTCTTTCTATTCTTTTTTGCGGTTGTTCTTAGCCATGGTTCTTAGAAACCGCTATAGCAGCACCAGATCCATGCCAGATCCCCTACAACGTATGCGACCCAAAACAATTATACGTTATAGCGAGAAGCCGAGCATTTCAATCTAAATTTATTTCTTATAAAGTATATATGAATTAAATACAATTTAACAATAATAAATAAATTATAAATACATACTTATAAAGAGATTGCATTGTAGTGATATTCAAAATATCGATATTTCTCTTGAATTTCGACATTCCTACTATCTATTCGAAGAAGACAGAGGGTGGCTGTCAACTGAATCTCATCGGTGCTGTTTGAAAAGGTCAACTCGCGAAGCGTTGGCGTTATATCTATTGTTCAAACGAGGATCGAGAGTGCCTTTTTTAGAACCGCATGCATTATTAACAGTTTTGTATATAAATAGATAATGGCTGGGGTGAATGTGTAATAATTTGAATTGTGCGATTGTGTCGCAGGGGAGCTTTTGTTTCGCAGTTGGCACAATTGCAACTTTCGGTCCACACTAATCATGTTAATTTAAAGTTATAACAATACATAAACAATATTAAAATTTATATTACAAAAGCAGATGAAGAAGTAATTCGTATGGACTCGCATGAATTAATTAAAAAATTTTATTATATTGTAGATTGTAGGTTGTATAGAAGGGAGGAAGTTAATCACCGCGACCTTATAAGTCTATTTTTCCCCTTTCTTGAGCAAGCCAGTATCTGAGACGGTTTTACAGAGGTTAGTTCTCTATCTCCGATATTAGTCATACCAAAGTTTATGGCACAAATGGTTGTGGTCTCGGTGTACTTAGTGATGAGGCGTTCTGGTGTTTCCCCATTTTCCCCACAGAATCTGCATTCGCCATTGTTTCTTTGCTGCAATCTACTGAGGAGTTCAAAAAATTCATCCTGTTAAAAACCCCGTGACAATCCGAAAATTGGTCTTACTTAAATCAAGGAAAATCTTTGTTTTTTCTCGGTTGTAAGTCCTAAATTTCTTCGACTGTCTTACACCGTTGAAGGATTCCCATTAAAGGTTACAGATGGAGCCTTCCAAGTTCTTGAGCTCTGTTCTGTTCTTCTTTGTCATGACCATCTAGCTCTTGGTGCGATTACATTCTATTCCTTGGCACCTAGATTAGGAGGACTTTTTCTAGCCTAATTTGTTCAGTTTCTCTAATATAAAGGATATACAGGGTGTTTCAAAAATTTCAGAAGGTGATTCATCTCTAAAAATATGAAAAAAAAATCTATAAACGTGTATCCGAAAATGCCTAGTTTTAAAGATACAGGATGTTAAACTTTTAAAATAAAATAGTTTTTTTGCAATTATCTAAATACCCTTTAGCCGACTTTCCTGAAATTTGTCAATGTTATTTCAAGTAATAATGGCGTAATATAGGTATTGAAATGTCAATGTAATTTTATTTGACTGTACTACATTTCTATTTTAATGTTCATAATTCATAATTATGATTCGCGCATATATTTACTGAAATGAAATGAAGTTTTTCTTTCATCTATCAGCTTATTTGATATAATACTAATAGCTTTGTGATGATTTATTTCATTAAATTTGGATTAATACAATTAGAGTAGGAGCCTTTGGAGATAGAAAAGCAATTTTGTCATAACTTAATAATGTATGATTTACTTTTCTTATTTTATTACCTAAAATTTTTTATTACCAATAAAACAATTGACTAACCAACAAAAAACGCATTTAAAATATCCAAATCTAGCTATATAAAGAATACTATTGATCTGAAGCTTTAAAAAATCAGTTTAGAGGTATACAGGTACTTATTATTAATTTCACATAGAAAGCTATTATTAACGAACAGATATTAGTACTTGCGATATACAATTAGAAACCGAATATTTTATTAATTAATATCATGTATTAATAGATAAATTAATATTGCCAGAAATATTAATATCAATGTATAGCAGTTGCAAGTTCGGTACTATTATTAGATATATGTGTAATGATATTAGCATTAATTATTAAACAATAAATACACAGACATATTTAATAACATCTATTATTGTAAAATTAAAGCTTGGTTTATTCCTCTTTTATACCCACAACCAACAGTTCCCTCACCGTACAGCTCTCTGAACCTTCTGTCGAACGTATGCGTGTATATCTAATACCAATTAAACTTTTAGTTACGTAATCGAAGGCGCAATTTTTAAATTCATTGTTGCCAACCATTGACATATTCGACGCCGAGCTGACTAACTAGAATTTAAATTTCCCGCTGTGGTTTCAGATGGTTTTGCGTGACATGGTCATTTTTTTGACAGTTTAGTTTTGTATTACGAGTTTTTTTATATGTTGTTCTATTCAGAATTTGGATTGTCATGTGTATGTGTAAAAAAAATGTAATTTTCTATGGAATAAGTAAAAATATACCGCGGGTGCCATTTAAAAATCAAAAGTTGTAGTCATTTCCGGTGAAACAGGAAGTGACGAAAAACAATTGAAAACGTCAATTAATCCTAATTTATGTCATATATTAACATACCAAATCTAGGTTTTTTATCTAAAAAATAAAAAAGTTATCGAGGTGAGCCACTTTTGAGACGCACCCGGTATACACACACGCACTACACCTACAGCGTCGCTCACAAATCTCTTGCTAATAATTCTGGTTAGTGTTCCCATCTTATAAATTCATACATGATTATATTATAGAACAGAACAATCTATTGTACACCGGACAAAACACCAATCATTAAGTACAATTACGCTAATGTACTCTCAGCAGTATGAAAGGTACGTCTTCTCGGTAGTTTATTTGTTGTAAAATAATTTGTTTAATAATAATAGTTTTACCATACTGTTATTCATATCTATGCACAATTAGAAATAAATATCCAACATTACTTATTTATTATTTATGAACATTTATTCTTATTTTAAGGGTCCAGTAGACAAATCTTGAAAATAATTTGTTCAATAGACAAACTACTCTTACTTCATTGCGCTACTCTCGCTTGATTATTATCAATAAATTTAATAATGCATCTCAAGATATGTCTGTTAACAAAATAATTTTAAAGATTTCTCAAGATTTTCATACAATAGTAAACAGAGATTGAAAACCCTTCTAAGAGATTATTTAATATATCATTAGAGCAATTAATTAACATATCAATTAAATATATAACTACCAATTACCAATTTTAACAATGCATATCTATTAATATATGATAAAGGTCTTATTCAGAGGGGGAATTATGAAACATTACTACATACCACTTGATTAATCTGTCTTCTCTTCTACCTGAAATCCAGTCGCGTCCCAAAAGTTCTGTTACACAGCACTCACTAAACGTACAACAGCACTCTGAGCCTTACGCCGGACTACGTTCGTATACGTGTATATATATATATACACCTGCAGGCGTCAGAGTCTGTAGTAGCTGTTCAGCGACGCAACGGCCAGCAGCCGGACGGACAGTGGCGAACGGTCTGTGCAACGGAGACACGGTTGTGACGTAGCGCGAGGTCGGGTACGCGGCCGTGCAGCTGCTCGCGGGGGTATTTGGAGAATGCGCGGAGCAGCGACGTCCGCCGGGCCGCCGGGGGAGCGCCTGCGCCCCTTCAATTCGGAGGGGCCTCGTCACGCCGGCTCGTTCGTGGCATTGTCTCCCTTGTTCGGCAAGGGGGCCGGGCAAGGTGGTCGGGGGTTGAGGCTGTCCCCCGCGAACGGCCGTATTTTGAAGATTATACAACTCTATGTATATTTTTCCTATATAGAAGGATGTGATTAATAAGTGATTACCGCTTGGTGGCCATATTGTAATTGTAATTTTTTGAAATATTAATTCAGAGGTCATTTCTGTCAGTTCCACAAAATATTCCGAATTATCATAATAAAAATGTTTAAGATAAGAAGGATATATGTACTTTATTTCGTTGTATAATCTTTTGAATATAACTCGATGTTTCGGGATTACCGAATAATACTTTTACCTGACACGAAATGCGTTACCTCCTCCTTCGGAGTCGCAGTGTTGCCGGTGTCGCATTGAAAACTTCTTGTGGTATTACATTCGATTATACAACTCTATGTATATTTTTCCTATATAGAAGGATGTGATTAATAAGTGATAATCATTTAATTGATTATCGCTTGGTGGCTATATTGTCGTTTTTTTAAATATTAATTCAGAAGTCTTGTCTGTCAGTTCCACAAAATATCCCGTCAATTCTTATTACAAAATGGCAAAAGAAAGATTTAGTAAAAACATATGTACTTTATTTCGTTGTATAATCTTTTGAATACAACTCGATGTTTCGGGATTACCTAATACTTTTACCTGACACTCAATGCGATACCGACAACACTACTCCTCCTTCAAAGTCGTAGGTACCTTGACTTTTACTTGTTAACGGCTGGTGCCAAATACAAATTAAAATATCAATTCAAGAAAATTTTTTGTATGTTTTCTTATTTGTTATTTATTATCATATATAATTTATTGTTTTTACACTATGTTTTCTTATTTATAGCCTATTGTTTAGAAGACTCGGTTTAAAATTTCATAATGTGTTTGTACATGATACACACCTATTTTCTAACCTTGAAATTAACATTTCTAACGGCATTCTTAAGTAATGTATTATTCTACTGTCTTTATTCTGTAGTCCGCTATAATGTATTATTTAAAAGAATATTACACTAATAACCCACTAATAGTCCGTGGACTTAACATTGCTATGAATTTTTCAATTCATAGGAATCAAAATAAATCAACTGAACACAATTTACCCTATACAAAAGTGCTTCGTTTGCCCGTTAGAGAGCATCATCATCATAATAATAATAGCTCCCGTATATAGCGTTCAACGCCTTGCGAGTAGCAAAGTACAGCTTGCCATACTAGAGCCGTTTGGTATACAAGGAAGGTAATGTGGCTAGCACTACGCTTCAACCGCCTATTATTACCTCAGGATTGTGAATCCCAAATACTCATTTAAGGCTGAGTCGACCTAGGTACCCAAACTATTTTTTTTAATAAAAATAGTCGGCTGATGCAATGCCGGGTGTGGGATTCGAACCCACTACCTTCAGATTGGTAGACGAGAGCCTGTACCTCTACGCCACCGGGCACCTGAGATAGAGAGCATCAAATGTTTAAAAAATTAACTTATTTTTTTAAGATAATTTTATAACCGATATTCCCATTGGAATGAGATTTAGGGCGTCTACGTTATGCTAAGCGCTTGAAAGGTGAAAACTACCCTCACCCCCTACATACATTTTAGCAGAAATGTTTCACAAACTAGGTCTTTGTACTATGTCCTATATTTTTTTATCTTATTTACAAAAACGCTAACCGCGTACCTACTTATAATATAGAAAGATAATAGTGTTTTACAGTAATATGACCTAAAAAATATATTTCCCGTCGCATGTTGTCTTATAGTGTGAATCGGCCCTAAATCTCGAACTAAATGAGACCGCTTAGCATCCAATTTTGATATGCACCATGGGAGGCGGAGCTTAGCGTGTCGTATAGCTAGATATACCTGAGCTTTATGGCTAAGAAACGGTAGTATCTTCTTGGAATGGCCTATGAATGCTTTATTGAGTTTTCCGTTACTTTGTGTGATTGCATTATTAAATATAACGTTAATATTACTTTGTTACAAAGAACTATACAGGAATAATATCTATACCTTTGTAGTAGGTTGATTTCTAAAAAAAATCAACGAAACAACATTAATAGAACGTAAACGGCATATAATAGATGTATCTATTTTAGTTTTTTTCTTTATTCTTTCCGTTTTTTGCCACTGACGATGGGAGGAGATATGTTAAACCTCCTAAAAGAAGCTGTTTTCCTTGGTTTGGTGTTCCAAATTTGTGTTCCTCCTTAATACTACTAATAAGCTGATTTCCGTTTGGATTCAACGCAGGGCTGTTTAGAAAAAAATAACATTGTTATTCTGTAGATTTTCTTTCAGTGGCGAAAAACGCAGAATTCATTAGAGATACACTTTACACAGTGTAATTTTCGATTTTTTTATGAAACTAAATATGCTACATACATGTTTGTCCTAGCGTCCTTAGTTCCTTAAATACAGGGCTAATTTATAATGTGCAGTAGTGAACAGATGCTGAATACAGATATGATGCGCAGCAGTGAACGCAACGTATCCGGCAGCCAGACGGTCCGCACTCTGTTCAGGAGAGCATAGCAAATTAATAAAATAAAAACCGAAATGAAAATATAAAATGACACCAATCACAAGCAAATTGTAAATCCAATGAACGGATGCATGAAAACCAAACTTAAGGAGGAAATCTAAAGTGTGGGTGTATAACAGAGATATATAGATAGTGAGAATGTACATTGACGAGTACGCATCAAAAATATTCTTATGTCATGGAGGCCGCCATTGTCTACCTTAGGGCTACAGGGGGAATCAATAAGTAATACCAGCTGTGATTTGTAATGCTCATTTGTCCGCTATTTTTTGTCGCCCTGTTGGGCGCTTGCCATTGGTTGAGTCAAAACCTGTCACTTTAATCTCTTATCAATCTACAAATATTAAAAAAATACATTAACACGTCCAACGCATCAGATAAGAGGTTTTTTTATTAACAGTATAGAATACCCAGTACACTATTTTTTGTTCCAAGTTTCAATATATTAATACCATATGATCGAAAACAACGGCGTCAAAGACGGCTGGGGAATGACAATCCATGGTAATTTTGGCGAGGTCAAGACCTAGATGTCATTACTTAGCCCATACTTTATATTTTTTAATGGCGCTAACTGCCAGTTGGCCTTACGAAGGTTGTAATTTATTTTTAGATTGAATAAAAATGATTATAAAATGGTGTAGTTTAAAATTCGAGAAAAAATATTTTTTGGAAGTAGATTTGTGTGCCTAGAGACGTTCTATTCTTTTTTGATCTTACACTGATCTATAATAATTAGTGTTACTTTTGACAAGTTTTATGTCAACTTTTAGTAAATGACGTCTAGGCATTGACCTCGCCAAAATTATCATCGATTGTCATTCACCAGTCGTCTTTGACGCCGTTTTTTCTATCATACGGTACAAGAATTTGAAAGCCGGAATTAGATTGAAAACCCGTCGCTAATTTCGATAGAAAATTCTCTTTAGTCACGCTCAGCACATTAATTTTTCAAGAACAAAGCTATACCGTACGCATTAACAATAAAAAAGAAACAAGGGAAGCAATAAATTCTCCCTCTCCATCGTAGTAAGTCGGTCAAAAAGCCACTAAGGCACGTACAGATAACTCTAAAGCCTCCCATACACTTCGGTTATTTTGCCCGGTTTTAACCGAGCGGAATGGGAATCCTCCAACGGTCTAAGACGCTCGAAGAAATTTATCAGAACTTACCGACCGAGAAAAATCAAATATTTTTCTTCATTTAAGTAAGAACCATCTTCGGATTGTCATGGGGTTTTTGACAGGACACTGTCTTCTCGACGAAATACATCAGTAGATAGAAGCTAAGAAATAACATCAAACGCCGATTCGGTGGGGAAAATGGGGAAACACCAGAACACCTCATCACTGAATGCGCCGAGACGACAACCATTTGTGCCATGAACTTTGGTACGACTGATATCGGAGATAGAGAATTAGTCTCTGTGAATCCGTCTCAGATACTGGCTTGTATCAAATCCTTGGGACTGTATGATGAGCTATAACTCAAGAAAGAGGTACACAATAGATCTATAAGGTCGAGATGATTAACTCCTTCCACTCTATTCTATATTCTACTCAAAGAGGGAAAGACAAAGCAAAGAGATTCCGCGCAATTGACAAGTCTTTCACATCACAAAGAGGTTGCACTGTATTTGCAATTTACTCAATGTGTCTAGTATATTTATTAAAGGTACCTATTTATTAATTATTGTAAAACTGCTTCAAATCATAGACTTCTGTGAAAATTATACATTACTGTATTTAATATCTATACGTTATTTTATTGAAACCAAAACAATAATAACATTATACAATAACAATATTTTTACTAACATCTATGTCACATCCATAAACTTGAAGTATTTCTCTAGCACAAAGAATTCCACATTGAATGCATTCACTCACTGATTGGTTTTCAACATATTTTGCCAAAAATCCACCAGCAAACGCATCTCCAGCGCCAGTACTATCCACTAAATTCTCCACCTTTTCAATGTCATAATATTGAAAATTATTCCCATCAAACGTTATAATAGGATGGCTACTTCTTGTTAAAACAAGAATTTTACTAGCCTTTTTTGAATTAAGAGAGAAAATCTGGGAGATCAAATTTTCCAAATCGATTAAATTATAGTCAGAGATGTCAGATATTTTTGCATAGACCCGGTATTCCTAAAAGAAAGGTTATATTAAATACAGCAAATTCGAAAAAAAAAACGACGTCAAAGACGGCTGGGAATGACAATCGATGATACTTTTGGCGAGGTCAATCTATAGACGACGTTTCCTAAAAATTGACATTAAATTTGTCAAAAATTAACTCTAATTATGCCAACCTTGTGGTCGAAATTATTGATCTGCTCTCTATTAGACGCAAGGTCGCTGATTCGAATCGAGCTCAGGGCATGGATGTTAAATGTGTGTGTGAGTCTGTGTTCGTCCAATTTAGAGTTAAAGTTTAAGTTTAAGCGATGAGTAAAAAATTAGAAAGGTAATTTACCCGAATGGCGCTGGCAGTCTAGGCAATCAAAAACGAAAAAAAAAACTAATTATAGAAAGTTTAAAAAAGGCTAGAACGTTTGCAGACACACAAATTTATTTCCAAAATTATTTCGGTTTCTCGAATTTTAAACTTCGGTATTACGGTTTCTCGAATTTTAAACTACACCATTTAAAAACAATTTTAACTCGATATAAAAATAGTCATTACAACTTTCTTAAGGTCAACTGGCTGTAAGTTATTAAAAAATGTACAAATGTAAGAGTACAGGCCTAGTAAATGATATCTAGGGTTTGACCTCGCCAAAATTACCGTCGATTGTCATTCCCCAGCCTTTTTTGGCGCCGTTTTTTTTTCGATCGTATGGTATGAACAACACAAAGTTATAAAGAAGAATATTAAAGCTAGATATTATACAGGGTAGTCCAAACTGTAATTGGGAAACTTCGATAACATATATTCTGCTAAAGAAATTACCTTAAAGGGGTGTAGCTGAGTGTAATGGATATTCTCCTTCATTAGTTAAATAAATAAAATAGATAAAATAATTAGAAAAATAGGTATAAGTTTGCGATTCTGCAAGTTCGGCTTTTCACGTGGAGAAAGATACGTCACAATATTTTCCAATACCGTTTGATAGAGAGTTATCCCGTGGTTTAAAAAGAATATTTAAGAAATTGTAAACTTGTGTATAGTGCTAATAATAAATTACCACAATTACTAGGTAATCCTAAAGAAAAAAACACCTCCACTTGAAAGGTCGGGTATTAATGATTTTAAAAGAAAAGATTGTAATCAGAAATATGTTGGGCAAACTGGAAGATCAATATTAACTAGATTTAAAGAACATATGGATCAGATAAGATATTGTGGACTGTATTAACTGATATTGTAAACATTGTATAGATATTAATAATTTAAAATTAATTATACAAGTCTCAAATTACAGGCAATTAGATGCACATGAGAACGTCAAAATTAATAAATGTAAAGATAGTATGAACAGAAGACAATGGTCCAATTCCTTCTAGTTCTTCCAGTCGTTTTAACTCACGTGGCTAGTTGTTGCCACACCTACTCGGTGCCAACCGAGCACCTAAATAAACGGTCAGTTTGTAATTATTAGTTTAGTTTTTTAATCATCTGCTGATGACACTAACCTAGTTAACGAGACGCGCGTCCAGTGCAAAAATAAAAGTGTTTTGGTGTATTGTGGTGAATTAGTGTTTTATTTTACTGATGTAACAACAAAGGTTTCAACCCCCATCTGTAATAAATACATGTCATGATTGATAAAAATTAAACATGTTCACTAAATCGTTATTTAAATAAAAAGATAAATGTGGAAACTTAAATGTCGAAATTTATAATAAGGCACTTTCTGTTGAACCTCCGGCACAAAATAATTTCCAAATCTATTATTTCAGTCTAATAACTACCTAGACAACACGTTTATTTTTTGTCAATGATGACATGTATTGAGTATTTCGATTCCAAATATCTCCGAGAACGGTTACTCAAGGCGATTTCTACAAAGAGACCTTTTTTACTTATTTTTATATGCAGACGTCGTTAAAGTTTTCCGATTACCATTCGTATCTGTACGATCGGTACATCTAATATACCCTGTATATTAGATGTACCTACTAAAAAGATACTAAAATAATTCTAGCTTATGCACATTCATTATTATAATACCTCTTCATTTCCAATGACAATATCAGCAGTTTCAAACAAATACTTCGAGTTTTCCCGATGTTTTTCCAAGATATAGGGTGCACCTAAATTTATTACAATTTTCTTATTGTTTCTTTGAAAATCATGGCAGATTTGAAAAACTTCTTCCGAAAAAGATACCAGGGAATATGTCTGAAAATATTTTATTCTGATAGAAATGTTTACTAGTAACGTATGATAAAAAAACGGCGTTGGAAAAATGGGGAATGACAATCGATAATAATTTTGGCAGGTCAAGCCCTAGACATCATTTACCAAAAATTGACATAAAACTTGTCAAAAATTAACACTAATTATAGAAAGATTAAACAGGATAGATACACAAATCTATTTAAAAAAGATGTTTTTTGAATTTTAACTACACCATTTAGAAATAGATTTTCGTCAATATAAAAATAAATTACAACTCTGGCCAACTGGCAAGCCTATGGCTTGACCTCGCCAAACTTATCATCAATTGTCATATCGCAGCTGTCTTTGACGCCGATTTTTTTTTTCTATCCTATGGTACTTACTGGTGTATAAAAAACATTATATTTCCCAAAATTTTCTTTAATATCATCTAAACAAATCTTTTGGTTGTTTTTTTCGGAATTAATCAACAAGGAATTTGTGATTAGAGAACGATTTCTACCATTATCAGAAAGCAAAACTGCACACTGTACTGTTTCTGTATCTCGTTCGAAAAAATAAAAATTAATATTCTCGCCCTATTTAATTGTTCTTTAATCGCATCACTAAATTTATCTTGCCCTATTACACCTAAAATATATTTTCTTAAATAAACAAATGTACCTATATCTTGAATAAATTAACAATAAAAGTGATAGGTAGTTTAAATTGGCTACAAGCGCGGTCCAGACGCAACGACTGATCAGATAAATAGTAGAGGTGTATGGACAGCCAAGTTTGAACAAATTTTACAACTAAAAAAACTCGGAAGACTGAGTAAAAAGTTTGAGCCAGCGTTGCTAGAAATTTTCGAGCGAATCTCTACAATGACTGCTTGAACTAAAATAATCATGCAAGACGTCATGATCTGCTAGTAGATATGTTTTCCGTTTACCTATTTATTTTTATTCAACATCAAGAACTTAGGTTTAGTTATGGTATGTGTGTAATAAGATCTCTAAAATTTAATAATTTTAATTATTAATAATCTAATTATTAAAATGTGTATCCATTTTTTGTTAATGTTAAAATTTTCCATTTCAATGTTAAAATCTTTCGAATTGCGGACTTTTTGACAGCAACACTGCTTTAAACTAAGGCATCCTTAATGAAATAAATAAATAAATATATAGTCGTTTATTTCCGACAGGCCGAAGCCCACTTAAGGAAATTCGAAACAATAGGTAAACAACGTAAACAAAAGGTAAACAAGGTGTTAAAGTGAAAAAATAGACGTAGGAAAAACAATAAGTACCTACTCGTACTACATTTAAACACAACTTGGTCTGTACCAGCGGCGTAGCGTGGCGTGAATACACGGGGATGTAATTTGTAAATTCAATTAACATTTTACCAACACAATAAAGTTTATATTTATATTAATTTTGAAGTTACAAAAATAAAATATACAAAAAATGTAACAGGTTATAAAAATAATCAAATCAATTCCAAAAAGAACTAAATTTAGGTAAAAAAACATCTAGTATGCATATTTGGGAAAAATTTATTACATTTTCTATTATATTGACAAGGCTGACAAAAAAGTTTAATGAGTGCCTTAATTATAACAACATAACCAGTGTTCACTTTTATAAACATTTTTACTAAAATATATATTAAAAAAATAAATCTTAGAAGAAAATTCTTGGGGGTAGCGGTCTGAAGGCAAAAATTAAACAATTTTTTACATACACCAATAAGCTTTCGAAAATTTTATTTCCTTTTTCAAGGCTACAAAATATTACAATAATCAACTGAATTTAATATAATATTATATAAATATATATTAAAATTCAAAATATGCTGTGGAGGTCCTTCTTCAATATTTTTTAATTTTCCTGAATACACCACAAAACTGAAGTCTTACTTCAAAATTATTTATATTTTACAGCAGTACTCAGAATCAGTCATCGCGACGCGCGTCAATATTTTTTATTTTATGCCGCGATGTATTTCAGAAACCGCATCACTCACCGACTAAAACAGGGAACGGGAGACGTAATCCCGGTCAGAAAGTTAGCTGACCTCGGCTCGTGTTCGGCGGCGTTCAAGATGTAATGGTACGTATACGCGCGTTCGCGGCGCAGAGCACCAATGTATACGTACCATAACGAGGACAGTCGCGTTATCGCGCTGTCGTGATATTTTTATTTTTAGTGTTTAGCGTATGTCTTAGTGTTATTTGAATAAATTTAGTGAGAATTTTAATTTATTATAGATCTCACTGACTTTTTTAAATAAAAATGGTATTACAACATTTTGAAGGGATGCGACGCATCACCCGCATCGATGGAAGTTTCACCGCTGAATCGAATTTTATTGGTTTATTTCAAAAATGACAGGTAATAGCTTAACACGATTGAAACCCACCTTTAGCCGTTGATTGTGGACCGCACTTTAAACACAACAAATAAAATCAATCATACCTATGTAAAAAACGGATCCAGGTTTTTTGACTACCCACTGAAATATTCTAGCAGTGTTTGTAACACTTCCGCCAGGAATAAACCTAGGATTTAGCTCCAAAATATATGCGAATATCCCTCTTTCTTTTTCTGTAGCTTTTCTCGCTTCATTCGCACGAAATCCATATTTATTCAAGACATTTTCGTCAACACTAACAATAACATCGATCATTGGTTTCCCAAAACAAAGTAACATTTTGACTGAAACGCAAATTAAGACAAGAATTCCTTGTAAATTTATTATTGAATAAAGATACAATGACACAATTTGTATATAGATAAATTTGTTTAAAGAATTCTCTTATCTCTATTCTTTATATATGATTAAGTAACTAAATAATACATTATTTTTCCCACATTATATATTATTATATGAAACTTGGCTATTAAAATCACATCCAACACATTGTACAATTTCTCTTGCACACCATATACCACATTTGACACAGGTATCTAACTCTGCATTTTCAATATACTTGGCTAAAAATCCTCCAATGAAGGCATCACCTGCCCCATTGGTATCAACAATATTTTCAACTGGTTCAACATCAAAATATCTAATTAATTTATTTTCATATGTTAAAACTGATTCATATCCTCTTGTTACCAGTAACAAACGATCAGAATTTGTAGAAAAGATACTGTCCGTATCTATTATGATATCATCTAAGGTTTTCCCTTCCAAAGTCGCTTTATTATTTCTTGCAAAGCATAAAAATTCCTGAAATAATTTGAATATAAAAACTCACAGAATATACCATATGATCATTTATAAACACTTTAAATACAAAAAATGTTCATTTTATACAGGATATTACATTAAAAAAATAGAGATATAGAATATACATAAAATATTCCTATTTTGGTGACGCCATAAAAAATACCCAGTAAATGATAATGAAAATTTTCCTTTAGATATAGAGAGTGTTTTTAACCAAAGTTTTAGTAAAAAACTGGCGCCGGTAGGCACGTATAGCCGCCCATACTAAAATATGTTAATATCTCGAAAACTGCGACTTTGACTGATTTTGATGTTATTACAAATTTTGTTGCAAATATTATTCCTAATCTTAATTTGAAAACCGTGTTTCGCTAGCTACTGTAATTTTGGAGTTACGATTTTTTTAAATTTTTAACCCCCTCCTATACCCCCTTACCAACCCCCCACCCCCACCAAAAACTAATGGCCAGATTCTCGGGTGCCACAGTATTTTTCTGGCAAATTTGGTTAAAATCGGTTCAGCGGTTTTTGAGTTATCATGTTACAGACGGACAGACGGACAGACAGACACCACGAAAATATTTTGTATTTAGGTCATATATGACCCAAATAACTCATTTTGAGTGAAATTAAAAAAACTTTTTTTTTGCCGATCCTAATAGCCTACCATACCTATTGGTATGGTCGGCTAAAAATCTAAAATCTTATCATAACTTTTTTTGTGACACCCTGTATACAATAAAATATTTTTAGGATAAAACTTTTTTTCATATATGCGTCGGCGATATTGGATTTCCTCGCACTAATGGGTATGTATAATTTTTTATCTTGTAAAACCACCCTGTATGTATAATTTTTTACCTTTTCATTTCCAACTACAACATGAGAATTTTTATACAGATATGAAACTAAATCTGGATATTTATTAATAACAAAATCAGCACCCAAATTAATGATAATCTTCTTGTTAAGCTTTTTGAACTCCTCAACTACATTTTTAGTAACTTCAATAGATACAGAAAGAAATAATGCCTAAAACAATAAGTTCTTTTCTACGTATATTTATTTCAAAGAATAAATTACTATGAAATATTATGAATACATACAGAGATATATAGAAACAAGGAGCTCTCAATTGTTTCCCTTAATTTATTTGAACTTAACTCCTTAACTGAAAACAGTTGAGATGCACCCAAGTTCGTAATTAGAGATCTATGTTGTCCATTTCCAGAAATAAAAACAGCGCATTTTCCAGTATCAATATCATCAACAATTGGTAAATAACAATCAATATGCTCACTTTCCAATTTATTTTTAATTAAACTTCCAAAGGTATCGTTGCCAATTGCTCCTAATAAACTGGTAATAATAAGTAAAGAAGACAAGTATATAGATTTAATATGCAAAAATTTACCAACATAGAATATATTAGAACTCCTGGAAATCCATTTAATTACTCTAGCAGTATTCGTTACACTACCTCCTGGTAAATATTTGGGATTCAATTTCAAGATGTGTTGAAAAATTGCTTTATAGGATGAATCCGCGCTAATCGTTTGGTCTGGTTGAATATTATATCTATTCAAAAAACCATTACTTACTTTCACAATAACATCAATTAACGGACTTCCAAAACAAATCAACATTTCTTTCATAAAATAAGTAAATTTCTTTATTAAATCAATCTCAGTTCAAAATTTTATTTGCAAAATTAGTTGCATGTTGCATAAGCAAGAAATTGTTTGCTTAATTATGAATAAAGAGTTGCCTAATCTATGAATTTCTTCTTCTTTTTAATTAATTTAAAGGCTTCTTATTCTTCTTTTAAATTCAATAAGCTGGCGCCTAAAAAAATAGATTTTATAATAAAAAAGCAAACGAATGATTTATTAAATTTTATATATGACCATTTAAAGGAAAAAAATTAAACGGTTGGCAACACTGATGGGCGGAGGGTAACTAAACGGTACTGTAAACAAAACGAACAAAATTAATAAAACATAAACGAGGTAGGCCAAAATATGGCGAACTTTATTGTTTTGTTTGTTGCAATTGCATCTTTTTATGTGCAAATAGGTAAGTAAATTAACCATATACAATTGCACAAATTCTATTTATGATAATAATTCATTTTAAATTGATAAATAGCGATAGATTGTTCGATTTTTACCGCTTCCTGTGAACGAAAAATTAATTTGGTTACCCCTTTAATGTACTAATTTAACTTTGTTGTTATAACAATTTAAAAGGGTGATATTAAAAAGTTTGTATGATTAGTCTTTAATCCTATTTTTCAATATAACAGTAGTGTTTTTAACATCGTTTTAAATATCTTAACTCGTTATTTGTATGAATTACTTTAGATGAATTAATAATATACTTCAAAATTAATAGTCCATTTGTTATTAAATTTAACAAAAGTTAATATATTATTACAGCCATCGGGCAAAGATCGCCCACTATATCCTATATTTCGCAGACACAAATCAAAGATATTGGAGGTACGGTAGAACTCTCTTGCTCTGTCCAATACACCCAGGATTATTCGGTGGTATGGATGAAAGTAGACAAAGTAGTGACAGGAAACAGTTTACCCATTTCATCTGGAAGTGGATTAATTTTACACGACTCAAGGTTCTCTCTTCGGTATGATCCAGTAAGTTTGCTTAATTAACATTAATTAAGAAGAATGATGTTTTAATTTGTGGTTATATTTAAAATTACAGACTAGTTCCACATATGTTCTGCAAATCAAAGACATTCAAGAGACTGATGCCGGTACTTATTCCTGCCAAATTATTATTTCCCCCAACAATAGAGTTAGTGCCGAAGTAGAGGTCGAGGTGCGAAGACCGCCGTTTATATCTGACAATTCGACTAGATCTGTGGTAGTTTCGGAAGGCGAAGGTATTTATAATATTCACTTTATTTAGTGCCAGTCTTTTAAGAGGTGGTAGATATGGTTAAGAGAAACACATTTACTCTTTACCATTTTTAAAATAAATTGATAATAACCGAGTTATGAGTTATTTAACGTTGAAAATTAAAAAAAAAATAATTTTTAATTTTTTAAAAGTGGCATTCTAGATTTGAATATGATTAAGTTTCTTCCATAAGTTCTCCATGCTAACTTTATTCTTCTGTTGATTTCTGATATTAGAGATCCCAAGCTTTGTATTAGTTGTCCCAAATATATATAGTCTTCTACTATTTTCAATGTTGTGTTATTTATTAAAATGTCTTTTCAATATATTCTCAATAGTTCGTTTTACATTACTTTAGTTGTTGTTAAATTCATTTTGAGGCCTACTTTATTACTGGATGTGGGTAGATTGTTAATTTGTGCTTGTATTAACTACTACTAACATAAAACCCTTTTTACCAGACATTTTCTTTACTTGATCAGCGTGGTTGCTGACTTTATAACAAGAATGTAAGATTATAAGAAAAAGAAAAGTGTTCCTTGAGTTTCAAACAAATTTTTATTTACTAGAAATTTAATTTGGTAATAGTTTCGACAGTTTTATGATATGCACGCAGCTTTTACGATTAAGCAACAAAATTATTAATAATTAAAATTATACAGCTGTTCAAATGGAATGTTACGCTGGTGGATATCCTCCACCAAAAATCTCATGGAGACGTGAAAACAACGCGATCCTACCGACTGGTGGATCAATTTACAGGGGAACCACACTTAAAATCAAGTCAGTTCATAAAGAAGATCGTGGTACTTATTACTGTGTTGCAGAAAATGGTGTGGGAAGGGGTACTAAACGTAAGTATTACGTAAAATTTTAACTCACTTATATAAACTTATTTTTGTGAATATGCATATTAACAGGTAATATAGCTGTTGAGGTGGAGTTTGCCCCTGTTGTTACAGTATCCAAACCTAGGTTAGGTCAAGCTTTACAGTATGATATGGATTTGGAGTGCCACGTAGAAGCCTATCCACCGCCAGCTATTACTTGGGAGAAAGATGGCATTACTCTATCGAATAATCAGCATTATAAAATCTCACATTTTGCTGTGGCAGATGAGTTTACTGATACCACTCTTAGGGTAGGATTTTTGATTAAGTTTTAACTTGTATTTACTAAAAAAAAATAAAATTTGAAGGTTATTACAATTGAGAAAAGACAATACGGACAGTACAAATGTAAAGCAGCAAATAAGTTAGGAACTTCTGAAGAACAGGTGGAACTATTTGGTAAGTTATATGCTATTCAGTTTTTATTTAATAAATTGAAAGATTATGTGGCTGTATTCATATCTTTGTGGCATGGCATAGGTCATTATGCCCTATGATCGAAAAAAAAACGGCGTCCAGGGGCCCGATTCTGTAAACATATGACTCATCAATCGTATACAAATAGCATAGGCTAGACAGGAAATTTCTTGCTACGGAACTTACAGAATCCCACTGCAGTTAGCTTGGAAATGACGATGACATTCCCCATATAGCACAGGTCTACAATGATTTTGGTGCCGCCAAAACTAAAACTGATTTTAAGTATATTAGATACCGTGATTCTACCAGTATACTTGCTTTTTTAATGCTATGTGTAGTTTTCGAGAAATCGCAAGTATAACAAAAAAGGAAAATAAACAATTTAAAATAATTAATGAGATTATTGTACAGGTTAAAAGCTACTTTTTTTAATTTTCTACGATGGTGATCCTAAAAAGGCGGGATGGCACTATCAAAGTTACTTGGACCAAGTATACTTGGATGCTGCCATATAACTGTACTTATAATTATGCTGGGCGCGTCTCACTTGTACGCTGCTTGTGTAGTATTGACTTTTTGATCAAAGTTGAGTTAGAAGGCGTTTTAACATCAAAGTAAGTTGGATGCTACGAAGCCGTCCAACTTTGATAAAACATTTGATACCATCTAAATAGTGTAGAAGTGAGACGTGCATAACATCTGTATAGGTATTATATGGCAGCATCTGGTTGACTTGATCCAAGGCTTTAGGACATTCCCGTGTCTATGTGGCTGTGCAGATAATGTACCTTGATATTATATTATATACTCATATTACATTGAAGATTTTTAATGCTCCTTAACAGGTCTGTAACTAATTCCTCGTAATTTTTAGCTTTCTTATTTCCTAAGAAATTTTGGTTGATTTTATTCCCTAAGAAAAAATGGCAAAAAAATAAAACGATATGATAAAATATTTTTTTTCTAATTTTGACAATTAAAGTGACCCTTTTCATACTCCTTTGACTTTTTCAAATATGTAACTAGTTACGACATATTTTTCTTTTCACGACTAATCATTAAATAAATGATTCGTCACTTTGTCGCTTAAAGAACAAAAAAGAAGCAATTTTAGGTCATTTTTACAACATATACAATTAAAAAATATAGCATAAAGTTAATATTTCTTTATATAAGGCATAGCTTCAGGAATAAAAGTTTACTACATAGTTACCATTAGATATATCTATATTGTATAACTATTTTTGGTAAATACCTATAGTTATGAACCTGCACGTAGTTTCACTGTTTTCACCCCTCTACATGACTTCTTGGGTATTAGTTAACCAAATTATAACATGGAATTATCAGCACCAAAAAAAATATTTTTTGTAGGCCTGTGAAGTTTTACATATATAAAATGACAGCGATCTTCATTTCATAGCCATCGCTGACGCCGTGTTTTTCGATCATATTGTACATCGAATGCCGAAGAAACAAAGTAAACACATCTTAAATTTTAACTGTTAGGTAGTAGGTAACTACGTTGGTTGATATTACATGTATATGTATATTTTGAGTAGGTTTATTTTGGTATGATTATTGTTGTGCCTTGGAATTATTTATTATTTAAATTTCTAGATTGTAGAGGACCTATATTTGACATAATTTTTAACTGGTGTAATTCATTAGATCTGTTTTAAAATTATTAAAATAAAATATAAAAACATAAATTAAACGAGAAAATAAAACAGAAGTTCGTCTTTTAAAATTGCGTCTATAAAGATTTTTTTTATAATATATTTATTAAATTTTATAGAACTTGACAGATATTATATAAACTATAGTACAATTCTTTTAAAAGTTCCTCAATATGGCCGACCTAGTTCCGAAAATTGGTAATTTTTTTTAATGAATAAATAAGTTGGCGTTAGCGTGTTCAGAATTTACTTACTCTTTGGTTAACAACAACCAATGACTAAAGAATCCAAGGACAAATAACACCCGAGAGCAAACTGTGCCGATGTCACCAAACAGTGCCGTGGCACATATTTTTCTTAACCTAGCTGTTTGAAGCAATATTTATATTTTCTGATAATCGTTTTGACTACGCCTATGATGTATCAACTAATTAATTACGAAAAAAACGTATTAGAATGTTAACAAAAGGTACAAAACTAGTATCGACGTATAGAACATATCAAGTACATATAGATGTTAATTGAAATTGAAGAAAAATTATCGAATTCAATAAGAAAACGCTAAAAAGTTGGAGTGGACTGTTTATTTACCTATGAAACGTAACTCCTGGCTCTTTCTTATCATTGCGCCTTTTACACTTGAAAACTAAACAAATTACCATTGTAATAAAGTTTATACAAGTTCACTACACACGACTAACTATTAAAAATCGCTAAAATTGTCGCTGGTGACCAGCTGATGACTCATTGTTTGCCACCAAAAGAAAAGGCGTCTAAGGTCGCAAATTCTGCTGCAGCCCGTATAGGGGCTTTACATGTCCTTATATTCTTTAGTCATTGACAACAACATTTTTCAGGACATTTCTCTTAAAATTTATGTTTTTATTTCAGTACAGTTAATCACATTGATATGTGTGCAAAAACAGCTATATATTTTAAAAAATCTTATTTAGATAGTTCTTTTATATACTAAACTGTATCATCTACAAAGTCTTTAGCAAAAAGTTATAAGGTAATAAATTTTGTAGATATAATTTTCGAAAATTTATATATAAAGATTAGAACACAATCCTCTGAGGAAAAAAGAAATATTCAAAAACTCATTAAATACACTATTAAAAATAACAACATACAAAAATAGTCATCCATGCAAACTGCAATAATCAGAACATTATCTACATTGTACCTTTATTAAATTTGTGTTCACACTTCTGTCAGGAAAGCCAGAAATGTTTGTTTAAATATTAACTTATTTTAAATTGCCAGAAACACATCAGAATATCTCACAACCACAACTATAGGTTTGAAATCAGTACTAAATTTTATAAGTAGTAAGTGATGCGTCAACTAACAAGTATAGGATAAAAAAGAATTATTAATATAGTGTACTATACCATCTCCTTCGGCTTATTTATGAAGTGACTTTCCTTTCAAATGTGATGAATACCGGTAAAATAAAACATAATTTTTGGTTTGGTTTGGTGTTTGATATTCTAACTACATCTATTACAAACCTTAAGTGCTTTTAGTGAGTAACTGTATTTCCTATTATTCTTTGTGTATACTGTAAAGTAAAAAAATATATATTTCAAAAAATACAAAAACAATGTAATATATATCAAACAGATTCATATAAAAACTACTTACACTTATTACAAACCTGAAAATTACTGATTCGAAGAAACTTCTCAAAATAATTAGAGGCCTTTTTACAAACATCTGGACTAATTTATTTTCACGAATTTGTGGACGAGTCAATGTTTTCGAATACATTTTTAAGCGTTTTACACATTTTGAATATCTTCCAGGCTATTCCTCAGTTCTTGATCAGTGAAAAGATTATTGATAACTATATAATTAGTACTGCAGGTTAATTAAAAGAACAAAATCAAGTAGAATCTGTGAATAGAAACTCAAAAAATAATGAAAATATTTAGAAAAAGGGGCCGTAAAAGTCAATGTCTGCCAAGTGTCAGAGTTCAATTAGATTTACCACAGATTATCAATTTTAACGATTTGAACTACAGTCGATTCCAGTCTAGATATTTGCGTTTTTTAAGCCTCCCATACTGAAGTCCGCCATATTGGGAAGTTTTAAATGATTACAAGTATACCTGCATTTATTTGCATCATGTAGATTAGTTGTTGCATTTTGCTTTGTTTGTGTGTAGAGTCCATCATTCCTGTGTGTCCGCCAGCCTGTGGGTCTAGTCGGTATGGAGAAGCTTCTACTTTATCGACAAGTAGCGCAACTTTGTTCATTTCAATTATTATTTTTATATACAGGTAAGGTTATAATTTAGTAATGATAGAATTAAAATTTTAAAATCTGTAACCACTATTTCGTAGAATGGGTTAATTCAAATGCCATTACAAGGCATAGATAAATGAAACAAGTTTAGATTGGAAAGTGCCCATAAGGACAATGTAAACACTATTTGGCGCTGTTCTTGCAACGGTCGCGACCCAAAACTTTTGAAAATTTCGGAGCGGTTCGGCTTTTTCCGGAATTATATCGCCAAATGCAAACCTATGAAACATTGGAAACCGATGTTATGCCACGATCCACGATGGTTTTTGCTGTTCACAGTTCACAGCACAGCTTTTTAAGTTTTTAATACCACTTTTTCACAATTATCACCGGTTGGAGTAAATAAAACTTGAATTAAACTCACAAGATAGCAATAATTACTTTGAAAATGGACGCTATAAACACTTTCCGGAATTTCTTTAATGAGAGCGGTTTAGATTTTGAAAGAATATTATGATTTTTGAAGACTTTGACAAGAGAAAATTAATTATGTTTTTGTTTGCCGTTGTTCTTGGCGACCGCTATAGCAGCGCCAGATCGCGTATAACGGTCGCGACCCAAAATAATTTCGCGACCTAAAATTTTTACGGGCTTTCTGATGGGGAGTGATGAGCGATATATCACAAACTGTGATTTAATCACTGATAAACAATCACGTAATGGAACTGTTACCTACACAACGGTGGCGTGATCACGACTTTAAGCATCCTACAGTAGCCATGGGACAGACTGAAAGTCGTGATCACATCACGCTTTTGTGATTTTTTAAATCTCTGATATTAGAAATCAGGGTATCAGTTGTCACAATATCCTACATCAGCTGTAGCAAAGAATAGTATACACTCTAGAAATCTCGTCTCATATCAAAATCAGGTCTGTATATGGGGCTGCCTATATTCTATGTTCTAGAGTCTAGAGCAGTGATTCCCAAAGTGGTCCAGGTGGACCCCCAGGGGTCCACGGGAGACTTGCTGGGGGTCTACGTAGGCGTGAACAAAAAATGGGGGTCCATAAGATGTTAATGGGGGTCCACGAAAATTTATCTGCTTTTGATAGTAAAGAGCAAAAATGTAAGCATAGTTTTTATAAGGGCCTACCTACATTGTTTTAAGTACCTATCTAAGCAGATAATATTTTAATAAGGCAAGCGACTGTTACTTGTCCAAACTTGCGTATTCGATATTACGTACAATTTCGTGTACAGACTTGCAAAGCGCTATCCGCCCGACAATGCTTAATGCTTGTTCAGACATGAACTTGATCACCACTATAAATACTTGATGCCAAAGGCAAACGCATTCATTTGTTTCCGGAATTTCGAAAAAAAGGCGGAATTTGGAAAAAGTTGTGAGAAAATTTATATCTGTGTTTGCTAGTGCCGGAGAAAAGTAAGTAACCTACCTTTTTTTGTTATAGTACTTAAGTATTTTGTTTACGTGTACTAGTCGGTTGATCACAACGGCCTGTATAGATAGGTAACTTAGTAACTTACAGATATTTTAATTGTCCTCTTTCGATTTGAAGACAAACACAGCACGTTTTATTCAATTGTTTTTTCACGAGAGAAACACTGCCTCTCTAAAAGGCCGAATAAGCAATATTGCAGAGCAATTAATTTTGTAATTTTTCTTGCAAATAACTACTAATTTTATAAAACAGTAATTTCATAATCATTTTAAATTGGTTTTGAAGTAACTATTTTATCAAAACTATTCCTTTTCGGAAAGAGCGAGCGGTGCGCGGGCGACGGGAAAAGGGCAGGGCTTGGACTTCGATGCCAGTTTGTCACGTTTTAACAATGAAGCCGCAGACAAAAAATACGCAAATACACGGAGCGCGTGAACTCATTGATTTAATAAAATGTTAGTTATCGTTTTTATGGACAATTTTGGGATTTCGACTTTTATTTTTCCTACACAAATATGATCAGTATTCGATACTGAGTACACCAATTTTTATTTATACTATTAAAAATTAGTGGTAAATTATGTACTTTAAAATTGATACCGTTTTGTGAAAACGTCTGTATTTGTCTCAGCGGTTTATTAGTTGGTCCCTTTACAAGCCGTAATTCTATTTCCGCGTGCTGACAAAGGCTGCGGTGTGATACCTATATTCAGAAAAAAACTTGGTTACTAAAATATTTTTTTTTTACAGGTAAGGTAACTGACACGAAACATGGCTACAGCAAAGAAAAAATGTCGACAATATAGTATCGATTATTTGAAATATGGTTTTGTTCCATCAGAGGCAGACAAACAATTGCCCATGTGCCTATTATGCAACAAAGTTTTGAGCAATGACTCTATGAAACCATCAAAGCTCGAAGATCATCTAAAAAGGTGTCATACTGATAAAATAGGTAAAGATTTAAAATATTTTCAAACATTGAAAGAAAAATATGGAAAGAGACCCACCATGCACAGTATGTTCGCTTCAACATCTCAAAGTAACGATGATGGCTTGCGGGCATCTTACAATATCTCATTACTTATAGCAAAATCTGGAAAACCGCACACTATCGGAGAACAATTAATTTTACCCGCTGTTGAAGAGGTTTTAAAAACTGTTTTGCACAAATCTCCATTTGACGTACTAAAAAGAATTCCATTAAGTAACAATACTGTACAAAGACGCATTGATGAAATGAGCTCTGATATCGAAAGCTTTTTGTGCAATCATCTGCAAAAAACTCATTTTTCTATACAACTGGACGAGTCAACGTTACCCAGTAATGAAGCATTACTATTGGCATATGTCCGATTTATTGTTGAGGAAGAAATTCACGAAGAATTGCTATTTGCCAGAACTTTGGAGACTGACACTAAAGGCGAATCAATATTTAATGTCCTGAGTAATTTTTTTACGGAAAAATCGATCCCATTTACAAACATTATTTCAGTGGCAACAGACGGAGCTCCTGCAATGGTCGGGCGATATCGTGGGTTTATAAGTCATCTCAAAAGAATTATACCAGGACTTACAGCTATTCATTGCGTAATCCACCGACAACATCTTGTGGCAAAACATTTAAGTGACAGGTTGAACCAATCTCTTCATTTTGTAATAAAAGCTGTCAACAAAATCAGAAGCAATGCATTGAATACGCGTTTATTTGCTCAATTGTGCGACGAAAATGATGAAGACTTCCAACGACTGCTCTTACATACTGAAGTACGCTGGTTGTCGAAAGGTGCATGCTTAACGAGATTTTACTCTGTTTTCGATTCCATATTAGAGTTCTTAGAAAGTAGAGATCCAGATTTAAAAGAAAACTTGATCAAATTCAAAGCAGACATTGCGTATTTGACAGATTTGTTTAAAAAATTTAATGATATTAACTTGCAGTTACAAGGGGACAGCCTGAATTTAATAAAAACAAAGGGGATAATTTCGGCTTTTCTTGGGAAATTGAAATTTATGAAGCAAAACATTAGTCGGCGCGAATTCTCTCAATTTCCAAACTTGTCGCAGGTAGAATGTATTGATGAGGATATCCATACCTACAGTCAACATTTAAGTGCTCTGCATGATGACTTCAAAACCAGGTTTGAAGATATACTGACGATGGATATACCACCATGGATCATAAATCCATTTGATGAAACGGAAGTGGCCAATGTTGTATTACAAGAGGAGCTGCTCGAGCTAAGCACTAATGAGGAGCTGAAGGTGAAATTTAGAAAAGGCTACCCAACATTTTGGCTGCAAGCAGAAATACCCGAAAAATATCCTGGACTGTGGGAAATCGCAAGGAAATTTTTAATAGCTTTTCCCTCGTCATACCTTGTCGAAAGGAGTTTTAGTGCCGTTACAAACCTCTTAACAAAAAAAGGAGCAAATTAAACATCACAGAGCAGGGGGATTTGCGGTTATTGCTCACAAAAATAAAGCCAAACATTGATCGTTTGCTGACACTCCATCAGATACATCCTTCCCATTAATTAAAATTATGACCTGAACCTATATTACCTTAATATTTTTTCTTGTAATTCTATTCTTTTAATAAATAAAGTGATATAAAATGTACCATTTTTCGTTTTTATTTTACATATCGGAATATAGGGACAGAACTCAGAAGTGACACAATTTTTATTTTTTGGCGACTTTAAGAATGTGGTAGAAATGCAGCAGCAGGGGGTCCACCGAAACCAGTAAAATTTTGAAAGTGGTCCACGAGAAAAATAAGTTTGGGAACTACTGGTCTAGAGCGTATAATATTCTTTGGCATCCAATCCAACAGTATGAAAGTCGTGATCACGTTATCAATTTAAAGCATTGATATTATCTAGTTTAATTATACTCGATATTAATAAATGTTTAATTTAAAAAAATATACGGGGTGGTCCGAACTGTATTCCGGAAACTTCGGCAGCATATTCTGCAGATAAAAATAAGTAGAAAAGTTCGTTAAATGTATGTCCTGAAAGGCTTAGTTTCGGAGATACAGGGTGTAGAAATTTCATTTTTATTTCGATTTTTTCCAAATAATTTCGACAGTAACATCAATATTTGTGTAAATATTGGTGTTTGGTGGTTTTTTTGACATGAGAAATTTATTTTTTTGTCAATATGACTCCTATATGTAGAACGCGCCACCTACATGTGCTTTAACTGTTTTGAAAAGTAATAGCTTTTCGTCCGTACCTGTATAAAACTACTGAGTAAAAAAATATACAATTTAGTGACTTTTTACGTAAAAAATGTTTCTGGGTAAAAATCGCTACGAGCATCCGTTCTCAAGATATATAGAATTGAAACAGTTAATACATATGTCATTGTTGACAAACAATAAACACGTTGAGTAGATATAGTTATTTGGCAAAATAAAACTGTTTATAATAGGCACCTGCTGAACATGGTTAGCGAAACGCGCGTCCTGTGTAAAAGTAAAAGTGTTTTGATGTATTGTGGTGATTTAGTGTTTTTATTTTGCTGTGTAACACCAAATGTTCCAACCCTCAACTGTAATATAGTTATTTGACTGAAATAATAAATTACGGAAATTTATATATATTTTTTTAAATTAATATATGAACATGTTTATTTTATGTCGGCAACAGCCCAGCTACGTAGAAACACCAGTTCCCATTAGAACACCGAAGTTAAGCGACGTAAGGCGATACTAGTGGATAGACGGGTCACCGGTTCGAAACTCTATATCGTGCTGTTGTCCTATAAAGGCAAAAGTGTAAAATCTATTGACACACACTGCTCATTCACGCCACCGGTTCGAGGCCGGATGAGATCGGATATCTCGTGAGTAAGAGTCGATTTAGACACTTGCCAAGTCGGTAGGCCATTGACCATGATATGGCCGAGGACCGCGGTTCGAATTCCGCGTAAACAAAGTAAGCCCCGTCCAGATTACCCCTGGCAGCAAAAAGGAGACGTTAACTGAAATCTTTTTTACTTTATTTTATGTCAATGATGATAGATATTGATACTTTCGATTCCAAATATCTTGAGAACCATTACTCGTAGCGATTTTTACCAAGAGACCTTTTTTACGTAAAAAACATCGCAAAAGTATATTTTTTACTCAGTAGGTTTATACAGGTACGGACGAAAAATTATTACTCTTCAAGCTAGTTAAAAAATATGTAGGTGACGCCCTCTACAAGTAGGAGTCATACTAACATCAAAATCAAATTGCTCATGTCAAGAAACTTCCAGACACCAATTTTCATCCAAATATTGACGTTACTTCAGAAATTATTTGGAAAAAATAGAAATAAAAATGAAACTTCTACACCCTGTATCTCTGACACTAAGCATTTTGGGACATACATTTATACGAACTGTTTTACTTATGTTTTTCTGCAGAATAAGTTGCCGAAGTTTCCGGAATATAGTTAGGACCACCCTGTATAATTTATTTTTTCACTCGATTATAACTTAATTTGATTTAAATTTTTAGAAGTTTCAACGCCCAACACTAACTATCCAGGATTAACATGGTTGAACCACGGTAGCAAAATCTACCCTACTTATAACTTTGTCTTTCTTATTTTACCGATGTGCATTTTTTCATAGATACTTTTTTACACTAAATTTTTAACAGAAAATGACTGATTTAGCTAGGTTTTTAGCTAGCTTACTTACACAAATAGTAATTATACAAGAAGTATTAGACGCGAAAACTAAATGTAAAGTACTGTAATTTTGTGTGATTTTTTTGCAGCTAGGTTAAGTAGGGTCTTTATTTATAAGTCCGTATATAAACTCAATGAATGCATAACTGTATAAGATTATAATAAGCAGCTTACAACTACTTTTTGTGATGACGGCCACTATACTCATGAATATATTTGTGATTTTTACATTTTTTACCTTTTTATAACAGAGAAGAATGTAACTTCACCAATAAGGAAATACTAAAATATTTTATTTGCACTAGTATTTTTATATAATATTTTTCTAGTATCTTGCATATTTATTTTAATTTGTATATATTAATTTTATTTTAGGTGTTAAACGGGATTATGTAATTTTTATTTACAGGGCGTCCCATTTTCGTGTGTTTTACAGGATTTCTCGTTTATGAGTAGACTAGGTTGATGTATGTTAAAAATTAAATAGTGCATTATTTACCTTATTGATGAAAATAAGTGGTAAAGTACACTCACTGGCAAAAAAACCGGCCACTAACAACTAGTCCCAATTTCAAAGTTGGATTTCTCGCGAACCACTCATTAGATTTTGATGATTTTTTTTTAAATTGTAAATTAATTCCTTCTTAACGGATGCTACGTCAGCAATTTTTGTTCCGAATATATTTTGAGCATATACAGGGCACAACAAAAAGACAAAGTTTTTTGCCCGAACTTTGTAACACCCTGTAGGGTGCAGCAGCTATAGTAGTTATTGCTAAATCAAATCACATTGTAGCCTCATCTTTTGTGAGCATTTTATTTTTTTAATCACGACATTATCTCTGTTTGTATTGGAGATACGCTGCTTTAAAACAAACGCATCGAAAAAAACTTTAAAAACAAATCAAACATCAGAACGTAGGTAAGTTTAATCTGAAAAGTAACTAAAACATGTAAATTAAACAGAAAGTTCGGGCAAAAAACTTGATCTTATTGTTGTGCCCTGTATATGCTCAAAATAAATTCGGAATAAAAATTTCTGACGTAGCATCCGTTAAATAGGAATTAATTTATAATTTAAAAAAAAATTATCAAAATCTAATGAGTGGTTCGCGAGAAATCCAACTTTGAAATTGGGTCTAGTTTTTAGTGGCCGGTTTTTTTTGCCGGTGAGTTTATATTATATTTTTAGAAAGCTCAAAACGAAGCAAATAAAATAAACAAAAATAATATACAGGGTGTCCTGTTTAAAAAAAATAAGTTTGAGTCATATTTCGAAAAAGACGGACTACGCCACTAGATTCTACATGAACAACTCTACAGAACTCAGGTTTCACCTTTTCGATAAATTACAAGAAAGCCAAGATATGATGGGGTCGAAAAATGCAGCATTTTAAATTCGCCCTGTATTTCAGTAACTAAGAATGCTAGGCATTCTTAGTTACTGAAATCCGCATCATTGTATCTCTGCCCATAAACGAGAAACTCTATAAAACACACGAAAATTGGATACTTTGAACAAGGCCTAAAAAGTAAACGGATTTTTTAAAATAACTTTCACCTAATAAGTCAATCGAATATTATGAGATTAGTATATTGTTTGTTGTTCTCTAGTCTAAAGCCTCGTCTACACATATCGTTTTACATGTCGGTTAAAACGGAATTTACCTGCCAGGTAAGGCGGATTAAAGAGAAGCGTACACACTGGAAGTTCTATTTGAAGTTTTAAATCAGTTTTGTTAAAGGTCATGGAGGAAGTATTGCTTCTATCAATTATTGCACTGTGTTTAGTGAAGCTGATAATAACACGACATTTTACTACAAAATTGTATTTATTGTTTTAATTTCATTTGTAAACACGCAAACCAGTAATTTTGTAAAATAACATTTTGTAAAACTATATGCAAAAATATAAATTTTTAAAAGTTGCTTATTAAAAATGCTGGGGTAAACTTTTTTTAGCTGAAATCGCTTATAAAAAAACAACAAAACATCCAGTATATAGAAGCCTCCTCAAGCACAAAATCATAAAAATTTCTCTGCATTATTATCTTTTTTCCGACTTTAGAACAACTGAAATCAGTTAAATGAAAACATGTTCCTACTGTACATTCTAAACAATTTTCTTGTGTAGGTATGGACTTAACCTAGTAGATACTGTAATTTAGACATCAATCCCGTACCGAGAAAAAAAACGAAAATAAACAAAAACGAACCAACACACCAAACCAAACCAAATCAAAACACGGTGTAATCTAAAACGCGTTAATTCCAATTGCCGAGTGCTTTTCAAATCTTTCTAATGGTACACTTCCGCAAGAAGTTTTTTTTTCTAGAATGAAAAACAGAAACGTGTTTACGTCTAACTGGTTTCAGTTATTCAGTTGAAAAACTGCAAAATATACATTTCCGCAGAAAAAAAATTGTGAGTTTCTATTTAGAAAGGCTTCCAAATACTAAATAAACAAATATTTCTTACGTAACTGATTTCAGCTAAACTAAAGTAGTGATGCTTTCAGTAATTCTATAGTTGAAAAACTGAAAATGATGCATTTGCGTAGAAACTTTTTGTGGCATATGTACTATTCAAAAAGGCTTCCAAACACTAAATAAACAAATATTTATCTTAATTACCCTCTTAATTACTTAATTACCCCCTTAATTCCGTACAATCTCTCTACAATCGAGGTTTTACTTTAACTACGTTTTGACTGGACAGGAAAACGTTAGGTGTAAACGGTTTAACATAAATAAAATTAGTATAATATCAACATTCCTTAATTGAGAACTAACAAATAGTTCAAAAAGGAATCTCTTAATTTCGTTACGATTCAGTGGCGGATTCGGATTTTTTTAAAAAAGTTAATTTTTAAAATACCAATTACACGAATTTTTGTCAGACAATAACGAAAAATTACTGTATTAAATATAAAGTTTTCTTAACTTTGTAACCACCTATTGTTCCGCCACTGGTATCGATTTCGATTTATTATTTTAGACAATTTTTCATCGAATAGTATTTTGAGATTAATTTTTATTTGCTTTTTTTTTCTAGTCTAAAAAAATAAAAATATAATGACATCAAAAAATGAATCTCATATTTTATATAAGGCCTAATCTTTTTTTTATATATATTTTTAAGATATTGTTCTAACAATATAATATCTTCAAACGCCAAACAATCTTTATAAAAGATATTTTAGTTAGGAAGTATTGACAAACTGCATAGATAAGGATATTTTACTGATTTTAGGGAATTATTTCGTTTTATACCAGTAATTGTATATTTTTAAATGTACCTTTATATAATTTTAATTCGTCCAGTTGTATGATATTCAAAGTGGTATTTTTCATTTTTTATAATTGTAATAAATTTATTTCATGCAGAAAATTGAATTTTATTTCTTAATCCTATAAATTTGAGGTTAAACTCAGAAAACGAGTATAGTCTGTCCAACGATTCAGGGACATCCAATAAATGACAGAAAATGCCATTTAGCTGTCAGTTAAAATGATAGACAATGATGTTATGACGCTATTCGACCAATAGGAAAATAGCATTTCGGCGCAAGCGTATTTCTTTTATCTCCATAACAAGCACAGACTTACGTCCCAATCATACAAACTCTATTATCTCTCCTTCAATATAATTTTAAGCAAATGAAACTGCAGTTACTATTTTCCACATACATATAATTTAAAACTTAAACCTAAAATACAGTAAAAAACATATAAACAAATGAGTTACACAGTAACAAAACAGACATCTTTGATGTCAGACTATATCATACGATAAAGTAAGCATTCTTAGAGACATGGGTTAACAAAATATTTAATAACCTAATTTTCACTTTTGTTTTGTCATTCTAATGCTTACTTAAGTACGATTTGATATTTTTAAAACTTAAAATAAATAATAAATATACTTAAACGAGACAGAATTATTAAAATTATACACAAAAGTGCGTAAAACATAGTGAACAAAGTTTTTAAGTAACAAAACTGATTGTAACTGGTCTTATTATAAAAGTGCTGAAACATTTTTGTAACAGCATCACTTGATATTTGTTAAGACCAAAAATACTCTTTAAAGAGAATCGAAATCACAGGTAGTATATATATTTAAAAATAAATGTTAAATTAATCTTTTAGGGTACTTATCCCATTTTTTTGGGGATATTCTGTTTTGTTGTATTAAGGCGCGTTTCCATGAGTCAAATGAATTGATCAAGTCACAGAGAGGAATTCAACTGATTTGCAAATTCCGAGTTTACACATTTCATATCAAAAAGCTTTTACCTACTAGTTGATTCAAAACGGCGACAGTGCGTAAGGCGTACTTCAAACTGCCAAAATATTGGAAACAGGATTGACAGAAAGCATATTGCGTAAAAAACTAGATGTAAAATGGGTCAGAAAATGAATTAGCTACAGACCTAATTATGGTGCATCTAACAATTTAATACCTAAACTATCCTCGTAGACACATTAATGCGTAACGCTATTTGTACTGGGCATAAGCTAGAAATTACTCTTCTTTAACTAATTTTGTATTTCGGAATTTTTGAAGAAATTTAATAAACTTCAACAGCGTTTTCTTCTGTCCAACTACCTCCCGCCATTTTAAAAACACCCTTGAACGCCAAAAGTTAAACCATAACCAACTAAGACATGAATCAACTGGTTTGATCAATGGCATGATTTGTCGAGCTTAGACGGTCACATATCCATACGAAATGAATTCCAAGTGACTTGATCAGTTGACTTGGCACTTGTAAACGCACCTTTAGAATAAGGAGATTCAACAGTGAGTGACAAAGTGATTTTGGAAAACTTGACAAAAAAATTGATAACAGGTAAGTGAAATTTTTATTATATGCGGCAGTGAACACCTTTTTACATATATTTTGATACTGATCTATAACGTGTCATGTAACCCCACTTTTTACATATACAGGTAGTTTTCGAAAATTGTTGCCACTGACAGCTGTCAACTTAAATGTATGCTAAATAACATTAAAGTAACTAGAAGAGATCGATATTATAGCAGTTTGTACCATGGAGAATAGAGGTAAGGTGGAACATCTATTGTGGGACTTGATATGAAAAAGTGGTCAAAATGGGAAAAACAAGGGTTCACTAAATAACCACAGTGCAATAAGAGATCGAACTGAACTTAGCGGCAATGCGCCCCTTCAGAAATCGCATATGTTTTTCGCATATATTTCTTTCTCTTTTTAACGACCATACACGAAGATAAATCTTCTTAACTCTATCCCCTATAGTTTAAATACAACTTATAATAATACTTAAGAGAAAAATATTCTATTACAACAAAACCAATCCCCAAAACCGTTCCATTTACACCGATCACCCTGTAAATTAGAAATGTCATGGCCCAGATCCAAACCAACTAATACTTAGGTACGACAACATATTGAATATGACTAGTTTTGAATTCTTATATACCTATATCAATAATACTAGCGGTGTAGACATGAAAAATTGGAGCAAGTAGTCAGACTAGGGCGCTTCTGTTTTTTGGGGCGGTTTTATCACATTTTTTTATTCTCAATGAGTAAAATGACGAAAATATCACATAAACAGGGAGGAATAATTAAATCACAAGTAGCAGCAGCATTGATCCACTTAATGTTTATTCGACATCATTCAACGTTACGTCGTCCACATATATTATCGTATTCTAGATGAAAGAAATTATTGACGTCATTACGGCGCATAGTTTCTGCTTGGATTTGTGGCTGTCATTGGATTTGAGGTTATAATTTTATTCTGAGGAATATCGATCAGTGTCAAAAATAATTATGTAAAATACAAAAATCGTTTTTAAATAGCATACCTTGTAGCTGATGCATTGTAACTTGGCATTTCTACATCAAATCTATTTTACATTATTGAATTTCTTGTTAAATACAATGATTTAATTTTTTAGACATTCTGAACTTATCAATACATGAGTATCAAAGAGCATATCACATATAAAAGCCCTAAATCTTGATGTATGAATAGAACTAATTGGTATATGTAGTAAATTGATACACAATCAAACAGAAAGAAGGCCTAACATAATATCTACGTACCTCAAATTAATAAAATAGAACTTATTCAATTACTGATTTCGTAACGCACTTAAAACCTTCTAAACAATATGAACTGATCTCAGACACACCCTAAAACGCTTATTTGATGTATGTTGATGACGTAACGTTGACCATAATGTTATAAAAATGTATAATTTAATTATTTATTTAACAAGGATAAAATATATATATTCCCATTTGCTCTAATATTCTCTCAATTTTTATTTGGCTACTTTTTCGTAAAATTTCCAACACTTGTTATAATAATCACGAAACAGTTGTGTACTGTAGTGATATATTTATTTGAGAAAATATTATATTTCTCTATAACTCAATAAATAAATATAGTTCGTTAAAAATGTATACATAGTTCTTATTAAAAGTAATATATGTACTTGCAAAAAGCAAGGGATAAATGGTAAATTAGCTTACATGAGATTGCCAAGATTACAGTTAAACTCCCGTATCTCGAACTTCCTTATTGTAAATATTCTCAAACACTCATTTTTTTCAAGTAATTTGGTTTTTACAAGTATGAATATGTAATACTATCTCAATAAATCGAATTTTTTATCTCTACTACTACACTCACCGGCCACTAAAAACTAGTCCCAATTTCAAAGTTGAATTTCTCGCGAACCACTCATTAGATTTTGATGTTTTTCTTTTTAAATTGTAAATTAATTCCTTCTGAACGTCAGCAATTTTTATTCCGAATTTATTTTGAGCATATACAGGGCACAACAATAAGACGAAGTTTTTTGCCCGAACTTTGTAACACCCTGTAGAGTGCAGCAGCTGTAGTAGCTATTGCTAAATCAAATCACATTGTAGCCTCATCTTTTGTGAGCATTTTGTTTTTTTTTGTAATCACGACATTATCTCTATTTGTATTGGAGATACGCTGCTTTACAACAAACGCATCGAAAAAAACTTTAAAAACAAATCAAACATCAGAACGTAGATAAATTTAATCTGAAAACTAACTAAAACATGAAAATTAAACAGAAAGGTAAAGAAATTTTAAGGAAGTAATATCTAGTGTCCACTCGCCTGGTGAAATTTATCGTTTCCATATACCGATTCCAGGGGTGGAACTCTGTAACGAAATAGCGATCGGTAGCGATGAAGTATTCTGAGCTTGGCCGTACAAACTAAACGGCAAGCGACAGTATTCTTCATCGGTACCGATCGCTATTTCGTTACATCGGCATCCTGAACTGTTCGAAATATACCCAGGGTATCGGAGACATAACGTTGACTTCGCCCATCCTCAATTAAAGCCACAATACGAGTAACATCCGTTACAGATAATGGCATTTTTTAATTTGACAACCGTTGTTGTCATATTGCAAATACTCATAAATCCGTTTTCGCCTATGTCGCCTTGATTATTAACACAAAACTTTCTGCCTGCGAAGCATTTTTACGAGACGTTCGTTTTAAAAGAGCATATCTGCAATACAAAAAGAGATAATGTGGTGATTAAAAAAAACAAAATGCTCACAAAAGATGAGGCTACAATGCGATTTAATTTAGCAATAGCTACTACCGCTGCTGCACCCTACAGGGTGATACAAAGTTCGGACAAAAAACTTCGGCTTATTGTTGTGCCCTGTATATGCTCAAAATAAATTCGGAATAAAAATTTCTGACGTAGCATCCGTTGAAAAGGAATTAATTTACAATTTAGAAAAGAATCATCAAAATCTAATGAGTGGTTCGCGAGAAATCCAACTTTGAAATTGAGTCTGGTTTTTAGTGGCCGGTTTTTTTGCCGGTGAGTTTATTTTCGGTCCCTTGGAGATTCGAATTAAGCAAGTTCAACTGTATATCCTACACGACGTCAAACAATGTCAAAACGAGAAAAGCATTCGTGATATTTCTAAAATACATATAAGTATTACTCCTATAAGGCTAATAATGGCTTCAAACGTCTCCTGAGAGACGGCGACAACATGCAGGATGTTATAACATCTAAGTCCAAACAAGGGTAGATATAGGCATCCAAATTAACCTATCAACTATAATATACACGAGTCACGTGATATATTTAAACAGCGCCGGGCGCTGTTTGGAATTGGAAGGTCTCTATAATGCTGGAACATCGATGTTGACCTCACAGATCATATAGATTCTAAATAATTTCCATATTACTCAATTTCAGCGAATCGCTATGCTATTTTCTAAGGAAACTGTAAACTATTGAGTTGGGTTGGAGAAATATGGTTTTACCTGCTGTTTCGAAATCAATATTGTTATTTCTAATTTCTATCAATTTAAAATTAAAATTTTCTTTTTCAAAAAGAATTTTTACTAATCTTTAGTAATTGGTTAAAATAAATGATAAATGTGAAAAACAAACACTAATGTGATAGAAAAATGAAGATGATCTCCCCTATTTTTGACATTTTTCAGTAACCCTTTTCTAATAAAAATCTACATTGCATACAAGTTAACCATATATAGCGCTATCAAACGGCAATTAGATGGAAACAAAACAATTTTTATAATATACGAGTATATCAACATAATATTTTGGTTTTAAAATCAAAATTTGGTAACATTCAAACTATTAACGACTGAACATCCATGCATCGGATAAAATTGCGCAACGCTAGGTATAATGCGATATACATACAATCGCTTATGACGATCGGTATACCTTCCTATTTAACTCTCTTGCTCTCCTACTTGAATATTTATGGTTTTCTATTTCATAGTCTTAGCAGAGGAACTGTGTGATGTATCATTATACCTGGTGCGTCTCAAAAGCTGCTCACCCCTATAACTTTTTTATTTTTATTTAAAAATCGAAATTTAGTATGTTAGTATACGACATAAATTCGGATTGATTGACGTATTCAATTGTATTCGGTCACTTGTTGTTTAACCGGAAATGACTTCATCTCTTGATTTTTAAATTGCAACTTCGGTATTTTGTTACTTTATTTGATAAAAAATGACTCTCTGAATAGAATGACATATATAGCATATGTAAACTTTAACATATTCGAATATGGGTTATTTGAAGTTGCGACATGCGATTCATAACGACAATTTGACTCGAAATACCAACTGTGTGGTACCAAATTATTCGTAAAAAAATTCGTTCTCCAAATATGCCAATGAGCCACCCTCGTTCCATTTGAACAAATTATTGAGACATGATTAAAAATACGATTTTAACCGGCCAGGACAAGACACTAAAAACATTAGACGGCCAAATCTATTTTTTCAAGGCTCCCTAATTAAAAATTAGTGTTTTAACACAGCCATGGCACTCTAGATTGAACTTTAAAATACAATTTTGTGTTAAGCGAAACTGTCAAATGTTGACATATGATATGTCATTTTGTTCAGTGCCATTTTCTTTCGAATAAAGTAAAAAAATATTGAGAGTGCTATTTAAAAATCAAAAGTTGTAGTAATTTCCGGTGAAACAGGAAGTGGCCGACAAGAATTAAATACGTCAATCAGTCCTAATTTATGTCATATACTAACATTCCAAATCTCGTTTTTTATCTGAAAAAATAGGGGTGAGCCACTTTTGAGATGCATCCGGTATACTAGCCTTATAGAAGAATTCCTTATATGCTAAAATAAAATATATAAGATACTTTTAAAATATCTCTGTTATAAAACAGAATAAACTGAACACAATTTAATATATTTTTATGCAACCCCTTTTACATCGGCCCAGTCTAACCCTTGCTCCCTATAGCTAGTTAAATACGTCGTGCTTCTTAATTAGCTTTAACACGAATCTACGGAAAAACATTACGTCTATGCCATTACCTAAACATACGAGTATACTCCAACAAAACAAAAACACAAAACGATCATTCGAAGAAGGGGGGGTATTTTTGGAGTAATTTCTAACAAACACACCCTTCACGGTAGAGTATTGTTGTAAAAACACGAATATAAAACATGTAGTAATACTTAGAGCATAAATAATAAACGAATAGAGTACGTAATCATAGTAATTCGAGGGAGGAAGGAAACAATAAGTGAGGTTAGGGCGAATTAAGGCGTGGCCTCGGTTGCCACTTGGTTACGGGGAGTGGGCTTGGCCCTTTTTGTTTTTCTTCAGCGAGATGTCCTCGACGTCGTCGCCCTTCTTCACCTCGGTGTAGCGCTCGCCTTTGAGGCTGACGATCTTGTTGTCGCGGTAGCGGACCAGTTTCTTAGGTTCGACCTTGGGCGCGACCGGACGATATTCCTGCGCATGTGTGTACAGTTTTAGAGAGATTTTAGTCAAAAATCGAAACAGAGGAAATTACATGCAAATTTTGAACTGTCCAAATATTGGCATATACAGGGTGGCCCATTGTCGAAGATATGAAAAAAAGTTTCCTACAGATGTTGCATGGTTTATAAAACGGCATATCCTAAAAATAATTTGCTGTATACGGGGTCTCAAAAAAAATTGTGATAAAGTTTTATTTTTTTTAATTGCACCGCCCATTTTTTGTAGATAATTAGTAGTAGACTATTTTTATTTGAAGCACTATCGCCATTCTATTTCTTATTTACTAAAACTTTGGTTAAAAATATTATATCGGAAAAGTGGTAAAAACTAGAGTGAATTTAACTTTTTTAATACTTAGATATACTTTCCTAAATACCAAGGATAACAGAATAAACTCGCGTATAAAATACAGGGTAATTATTGTGGTGTCGCCTACATCGCAATAATTAAATTGCTATATCTCAATTTTTTTAAAATACAACAGCCTGTATTTAATTTTTCTTTAAGATGGCAATTGAAAAATTATTAATTAAATTTCTTTGGGATGCAGAATTAAAAATTGAACATTTTTTGTATTTATAAAGTTTTCCTAAATTTTTAACGGTTTCGCAGATATTCGCGGTATTATATTACATATAGCTATTCCAACAGGACATTTTTACCAAAACCACCTAATATATGATCTTTGTCTGGTATTTTACCGTTGAAAACCCTGTATGTCATATAATACAGTGAATATCTACAACACCGCTAAAAATTTGAGACCACTTTAAATACAAAAATTCATTATTTAAGTCTGCACCTAAATGAAAAATAATATACAGGGTGTTGCATTTTAAATATTCGGATTTTGGTGATGCCATAAAAATACACTATATATGATAATGCAATTTTTTCTTCATGGTTTTACTCTGTTATCCTTAGTGTTTAGGAAATTAATGCTAAGTATTAATAAAGTTATATTCGCTCCAGTGTTTAACCACTTTTCGGATATAGTGCTTTTAACTAAATTTTTAGTAAATAAGAAATAGAATGGCTATACCGTATAATTCTTCAAACTGAAATAGTGTACTATATGCAGAATTTTATGCTAAATCCAAATATCTATAGAAAAATGGGTGCTACAATTTAAAAAAACTTAAAACTTTATCATAACTTTTTTGTGACACTCTGTATACAACAAAATATTTTTAAGATATACACCATTATAAACCATAAAAATAAAAAAAAATCATATCTTCGACAACAACGACGATATTGGACTTCCTCGCACTAATGGCCCACCCTGTATAATCCTAAAATGTCTACAACTTGCAATGGCATGTCCAAAGTTGTTCAAATTTGGCACGTGTATTCAGCATTTGCAGACCTTTAAAAAAACTATTTACGAAATGGCTATAAAATCAAGAAAGGGGGCAATATTAAGATAGTTTAAAATGTGCATGGGATTTCCTACGTTGGCAACGACGATGCATCAGTCGGTAGAATAAACATATAAATAATATAAGAACAATTAAATCACATAGGTACTGTGTTCGCCACAAAAATTTTTACAATACAAATATTTCCATAAAATAAACTTCTGTGTCTTCTGTGTATGTGATTTTTTCATTAAAATAAACTTACCTTATTTAAAGCGTCCTTATCGATATAAGAATATCTCTCGATAATTCGGCTTTTAATTTCGGCATCGTCGATGGTTTGTTTGGCCACTTGAATCGTTAATGTAGTGTTTTGGCTCAGGCACTGACCATTCTCCTGACGATCGATCAGGATTTGTGTGGCACGTTCTATGTCACCGGCAGCAATGGCCAGACAATGTTTCACCTAAAAAACGATCAATATGAAATATGTTTTACGACTGGTAAGATTTCGACACACGATGTCAGAAGAAAAGGCAGATGACGTCCATGCCATACCATTTATTTCACGAAAAAAGTCAAATATTTTTTTCGTGATGAGTTTATATATAAATCCGTCATGGCGTGAGTCGTCTCTTGTTGTTTTTAACTAGCCTTATTGGTTTATTTCAAAAATTACATCATTATCGTATTTCAATATGATTGGGGTAACGATGTATAGTCTGTCCAACGAAAAGATCCTTGACAGTGATAGATGTGTCTGTCATTTTAATTTCAAAGTAGTTTATTTTATTTTACAAAGAAATAAGTTGGTACAACTGGAACGCATAGCAGGAAATTAATATACATATGTATTTAAAATTTGACTGACAAGTAACTTCAAAATATTGTGAAAAAAACTGTATAAAACTGAAAAAATGTAATCGAGTTATTTTATTTAATAAAAAACGGTATGTGTTAATATAATAAAAATATAAAAAAGAACTATTTCTTACTTTCAAGCTTTATGAAACTTCCCGCATTTATGATTATATTTATCAATATAACTTATGTACAAATACAAATTTGTAATATTCCGCAGGAATAAATAAAACAAACTATTTTATTAATAATAACACTTACCAAATTTTATACCTCACAGGTTGATTAATTAACTTTAATCTTAATTTTTTAAACCAGTACCTTTTGACATCATTTTTCTGAAGTACTAAAATCCATTATTTACCTATCGTGCGATGTCGATATTTTACAGCTACTCCAGTTTTTAGTATGTGTTTAGTATGGTCCTTCTACCATATTCGAGATGCACTTATCTACGACGAGATGGTATACGAACTTTATTGATAGTAACTTTATTGGTGTATCTGTATAAGACTTTCTGCCTGGGCAGCGAGTATTAACCATAAACTGTGCTCTGGGTTCTACAGTTAATTTTCACTCGATTTTTCCTCCACTTGACTTCAAAAGACACAAAACGCACGTAATAACACGAATCAAAATACATCATCTTCCAAAACGCAGGGTATTTGACAAAAGTTGTCACAAAATTATAACCTATAATTTGGCAAGACTTTGACAAACGTCAAAAATCTAAAGGCGAGTTCATACGCATCGGCGTCCATTTGTCATTTATCGTTCCGTCAAACCAATTAAATTGAAATACGATCTGTCATTTTTGAAATAAACCAATAAAACTGGTTAAAAACAACAAGTGACGACGCATGACGAATTTATATTTAAACCCATCCATAGTTAACTTAAAAATTATTAGAAACTTTTTTTAGTAAAATAAATAGATTGGTATGGGACGTCATCTGCTTTTCTTCTGTCATCGTCTGTCGAAATCTTACCTGAGAAAAAAAAACAGAGTATATGGCGCACGGACGCAGATGCGTATGAACTTGAATTAAGATTTTTGAAACTTGTCAAACTCTTGTCAAATAAATATATATAACAAATAAAGGTTATAATTTCTGTCGAATTATATAATATAACAAATAAGCAACGTTCTGAAAAATGATCAATATTTTGGATATTGCTTTTGCATTTTGGCTTGTGTTATTACATGTGTTTTGTTTTTTAGAGTCGCGTGGAGGAAAAATGGAAGATGGATACAACTCTGGAAGATGGATACCCGCTAGATTCGTATATTAAACACCGCTAGAATCCGCTAAGGTCGATATTGAACCTGAAATTTTGCTTTTTCGCTTATTTTTGAACTTTTTATTAGAGCTTTCATCACCTGATGAGAAGAATTTAACGTGATTTCGAAGATTCTAGGACTAGGTACTATAAGAATATATAATTTTGACGCGACTATTGAGGCAAATTTTGAAAAAATTCGTTTTTTAGAATCGAAATATTAATTTCTGTGTCAATTTTACTTATATTTTATTCAAAAATGTAAACAACTAAAAATCCCGCTAGCGGCTAAATAATACTTTTCCAGCTTAACTGAAAAATAAACCGGTAGATCTAGAGGGAAAACTGCTAAGTTGGCAACAGTGGCCATCTCGTATATGATACTAAAAACTAGAGTAGGTGTAAAATAATAGAGACATTATATTATGATAGATAAATAACAAGAGCTTTTAATACTGTAGAGAGGTAAGGTGATTTAAAAAAAATAAGATCAAAGTTAATTAATCAACTTTAAAATACACAATTCTGTAAGTGTTTGTAAATTATTGAAATTATTATTAATAAAATATTTTGTTTTATTTATGGTGTTTTTTATTTATTCCTGTGAAATATTAATACATTTTTTGTTAGTACATAAATTAAATTTGTACTTATATGGTGTTTTGTTTAACATACACCTTTGTTTTATATTAACACAGGCCCTAAACTTTTTTTTAGATAAAAAAAACTCAATTAGATTTCTTAAGTTTTTAGTTTTTTTTACATTTTGAAGTAATAATTTGTCACGAAAATTTTAAAATATATTAATTTTCCGTTTTGCATTCCAATTGTACCAACTTATGTATTTTTTTGTAATATATAATAGACTACTTTGAAATTAAAATGGCGTACACATCTATCACTGTCAGGGATTTTATCTTTAGACCTAACTAAACATTTATTTTTGATCTACCTCAATAGTGCAAACTGACGGAAACATTTCTTGCAATATATCCATCTCATCTGGAAAATCACAACAGGAACTATCCGTAGATCCTCCATCGCTCATTTCAGAAAGCTTGTGAATCCTTTTAGGAGTTTCAAAACTCTCTGAATTGCTATTAGATCTACAAAAAAAAACATATTATTGTGATTCACATAATATAGGAAAATTAATAAAACTTGGCATGCACGTTATCAAAATATTTGACGTATACACGTTGCAATGTTGCCATGGCTACGTTTTTTACTTTGACAAGTGTCAAATAAAGTTGGTAATTTTTTTCAAATTAATTTTAGACACAATACACATAAAAAAAACATTTTTTCTACATTATTACTTTGTCTATGATTATTACACAAACAAATACTAATTAAATGAAGTTATTAGCAAGATTTCTAGATGAAAGTTGAAAAATGTAAAATTCTAATTGTGTATCATTAGTCTTCACTTTTTGTGAGATTTTACTCACATTATAAACTGATATTAGGCGCAGCTTAAACACGCTGTAAAATCTCTGTATTTTTCATAAAAGCTGCAAAAATTAAGCAACAATATAAATGTTTAACGGCATAAGAGGCTTACCATGGTCTCTTTCCTGTATAAAACAATTGAGTACAGATGAGACCAGTTGCTGATTCTGACATTTAGTGTTTTTTTTTATCGCAATGAACATCACAGTTTTAAGTAAACAAAACGCAGATTCGTCAAAGAAAACTCAGAATAAAATTAAATATAACAAATATCAGATTTGCCAAGAAAAATCTCACTTATGACCACTGGCAACATTTGCCATGACTACCAACACAAAACGTTTTATCGGTCAATTCATTTACTTCATGCAACAGCTTGTCTTTTTTTAGCCAGGATACCTATAAGATTATAAGAGAAAGGAAAAAGTTTGCTCTGAGTTTCAAACAAATTTTTATTTATTAGAAATTTAATTTTGTAATAATTTTCACGTCTTTGATGCAGTGCAAGCCAACTTTTATTGATTATTCTATAAAGATTCAAATGATAAAATAAATACCTGACTTTTACTTTGGCAGGGACAATCTCTGGTAAACTAATTTCCAGATTGGGGCTTTTTTCCTCTGATTCATCCATTTTTCTCAACTTTTCCTCCAAATCAAACATCCACTCACAGACAATACTATGGTTAATATTTCCAAATTCTGGAAAATAAGCCTCCATCATTTCACAAAAACCTACAATAAAATTATTGCTTTAATTAAGAAAATTCAACACTAGATTCGCTAGTTCCTACTGAAAAAACTTTATGTATTAATATGTTAATCTGTATTAATAAATATTATCCGTAGTGATATATAGGTATCCTTAGACCTCTAAATTTATACCTTCTACATCAAACTGGGAGTCAGATCCAACATCTTCCAGGAATGCTATTACATAGGACAAAACTATTTCATCAATTAGATTTAAATCTGCTTCGGGGATATGCTTTTTAACAAACTCAAATAAGGAATCTTTAATTGTACTTTCTTGATCCGCTATTGTTTTTGTAGACATTCTACTTAACAGCCTAAAATCGTTTATTTTTATCGTATAGTATCTCAACGGTTAAATTTAAATCTATATTATTTATAAACATTATACAAGCCAATAAATTCTAAATACCTTGTCTCCCAAGTTCGAAAAACGTTACCAAATAAATACAACTATTTCTGGATAGGACGTAGATGGGCCGATGCGATCAAATAAACTAAATTCAATATTTTGTTTTATATAATTGCGCTAGAAACTGAGATTTTCTAGATAGTTCCTTTAAATTTTAATTATAAATTTTATAAACTAAATCAATACTACATGCCAAACTCGATTCACCAAAACAAAATTCTTAAAGTCCATATAGATGGCGCTAAACGTCAAAAATAAATCTTCTTTTCGAAAGTTTATGGCACAATAAAAATCTAGAATTAAAAATATATGATGGGTCTATACTTAGGTCTATATAATTTTGTTTAGGAAAATTAATCCTAGAATTGTAATTTTTGTGACTTTTGAAAGAAAAAAATCCATTCTTAACATTTTTTGTTTATCTTATTTATTTAAAGTAAATATTTATACCTAACATATTTAATTCTAGACGATTAAAACAAATAAAATATAAACAAGACTTTAAGCAGATAGATTTATTATCAATTAATTGAAACAATGGAAAAGTTTTTGATATAAATATTTATTAAATTTAGACTTCAGGTTATCGTTAGTATTTACATAAAGTTTATTTTTAAAAATATATACAAATGCAACTTAAATATTTAACTTATGTTATCTTTCAGTTATCACTCAAATTCACTCATTATAAAGCTTAAAAAATGTCTGCAAACACATTGTACGTTATAAACAACTATAGTCTGTTCAGTGAGAGGATACATGACTGTGATAATTGGGTTTGTCATTTCGGTCATATTTGAATCTCCATCTGTCAAAATCTTGTCAAAAAAAGGAAGATTTGGACAGACGTCATCCAAGAAGTGACAGAAAATACAATTACTGTCCTCCATTCACGCAGTTGTGCAGCTCTGAACTGTTCAACAAAGCAATACTCTCACTCCATTCAATTGAGTCATAAAGTTCAGAACGGTTCCGCGCCTTATGGATGCACCAGGCTATCGCGCACAGCTCCTTTCAGAACCGTGCTGAGTAGCCCAGGGCGTAAAGCTCTGGAACTTGAAACTGGCGAATGGAGGGCGGCAAATTACTATCCTCCATTCACGCAGTTGTGCAGCTCAGAACTGTTCAAGAACGCAATACTCTCACTCCATTCAATTGAGTCATAAAGTTCAGAACTGTTCCGCGCCATATGGAGGCACCAGGCTATCGCGCACAGCTCCTTTCAGAACCGTTCTGAGTAGCCCAGGGCGTTATGCTCTGGAATGGAGGACAGCAAATGTACCTAGTTTATCTATGAATGTACCTGCGAATTAATATGACAGACACAACCATGAAGGACCCTCTCGTTGGACGGACTATACAGGGTGTTCCTTAATGGACTACCAATATTTAAGGGGACGATTCTAAAAATAACTTCGTGTGTAGGGTATGTCTTAAAAGTCCTAAACATCTTAACTTTAGAGATACAGGGTCGTAACATTTTCTAAAAAAATAACTTTTGTTCATAATAACTCTGATGTTATTATAGATATCTTAATTATCTTAATGTATCTTGATACACGTCTTCTATATGCATCAACATGCTTTTTTTTATGTGCAAACAATTTTATTTATTTCAACCTGTGGCGTCCGTACGGATTTTATATTGAATATTTTTGGAGAAAAAGATGGCACGCCACTGACTTCTCTTTTTTTGACGAAAATGTTTTTTTTAGAAAAGTTTACCGTCCCTGTATCGCAAAAGTTAAGATATTTACAACATACATTCTTATTAATTTTTTTTTTCTTAAAACAGGTTCAAGAATCGTCCCCTTTAATACTAGCATGTTATTAATAAAAATCTTCTATATATCACAAATAAAAAACAATAGCAACACTTAAAAATTAAATCTAAATTAATAATGAGTTGCCAAAATATTCCTTAAAAAATAAATAACTTTCAAAATATATAGTGTTTACAAAAAGTTTAAAAACCAATTTATTAAAAAAATAAATTCTGCGACGTCTGAACGAATGGACTTACATACTATCGATGCCAAATAAACTTTTACGTCATCGACAGGGCGATTATTAAATTCAATATTGCCATCCATGAATATATTCGGCGCCAGGCTAACTACCTGGAATTTAAATTTCCCGCTGGCAATCTAGGTGGTAGCTCTGCTGTAAAAAATATATAGTTGTCATATTTATTTACTAATATTTTGATTAGTTTTGATTACTTCTGTATTACGGGTTTTTCATTAATTTGAATTGTGTTGAAGTTCTAAGTTTAAAATTTTGTATTAGAAGACCTTGCAGTCAAAAATTGTTCTTTTTAGAACAGCTTGTGGTGCAAAGTGTACAAGATTTCGAAGCTGCTTAACAGCTGTTGCAAAAAAATCAGCGCGTCCTTATTAGATTATTTCGAACGGAAACTTAAGTGCTGTTAGGTGAGTTTCGTTGATATAAATGATAACTGTTATGTTTATAATTAATTCATTTTTGTTTCTTAAAATATTTTGATTAAAAGAAAATATGTAGAAGTCGGCCACACTGTGCCGGTCTAGTTGAATCACGCGACTAAAAGTTTATTTGGTGCGATCAACAAGCAATTTTTGGCCCTAAAATCAACTATGGTCTGAGATTTGGTATCCTATTGGTAACACTTATTTTAAACTGAATTTCTGGGTGATGATTGTTTATTGTTTACCACTGAACTGCCTCTGGATATTGTTTTGTATGTTTTACGTATCTGAGGGCAGCAACAGCAAAGATCTTTTATTAAACCGCCTAGACTTTCACAAGAATCGCTTCTGAAGATGCCGCTGGATACCTCGTCGCCGCTTGTGGACCCTATAAAAATTTCCAAGTCGCTTTTTGGAAAACCCTCGCTGAAAAAAAAAACAAATAGGTTATGTAAAAAAACATAAAAATACTGGAGAAGATGCTTATATATAGGCGGGCCTATAGGGGATAGAGGTAAGGATAATTATCTTCGTGTATGTGGTCATCACAGAGGGAACACTTCAGATGGCGCTGTTGTAGCAAAAGTTCTACATTTGAAAGAAGCGCCGACAAATTTTAGAACAAGAACGCAATTTCTGACACGCGTTGCTACTCTTTTTTGTTCAATGTTATGTCAAGACTTAAATATTGGACAAGTTGCAAAGAGTAAAGTGTTTTGGTGTATTATGGTGAATTAGAGTTTTATTTTGCTGTTGTAACACCAAGGTTCCAACCCTCAACTGTAATATAATATATAACTTACCTATAATATAATTTAATAGTTTCATAGGCATCCATAATGACGGCGATAAACAAACTAAGAACGACGTAGATGTATAAACTAATGAAAGAATATAAATAAACTCTGGAGAACCACCATAGTAGTCCAGATTTGGTCGACATAATAGTGAACGTTGCGAACATATCATCTCCATTGATCAGCGAGAACAAACACTCGGAAGTGGTGGAAATAGACCTAAATTTAAGATGGTAGGGACCCAAAATAAGCCATCCACAAAATGTAAAACCAGCGTAAATCAGTAGAGTGCAAAGTAAAAATCTTGCTACCTAAAATAGAACAAAAATAGATTGTCATCTGTCGTCTTTTTGAAGCAGTCTGAATAATATAAAAAAAAAGTATTATAATACCTTGTAAGTAATTATGTATCGAGAAACTATGGTTACACTTGTTGAATTTCAGAATTTATGTCAGTTTAATAATATATGTTCGCACTTTGGTGATTAGGCGTAAACATAGATAAAGAAAATAAATTTAGATTGGAATGCCCGTCAAAATATATATTTGTTTTGGGTCGCGGCCGTTGTACGCTATCTGGCGCTGTTATAGCGGTTGCTAAGAACAACCGCCAAACAAGAACAGAAATAATTTTCTCTTGTAAAAGTCAGAATCGTCAAAAATTAAAAATCTTTCAAAATTTAAACCGCCCTCATTGAAAAAATACCGAAAAGTGTCTTTTTGCGTCAATTCTTTTGTGTCGTTTAAAGCGTCCATTCTCAAAGTAATTATTGCTATCTTGTGAGTTTTATTTAAATTTTATTTACTCAAACTCGTAATAATTGTGCAAAAGTGGCATTAAAAGCTTAAAAAGCTGTGTCGTGAAAACTGTGAACTGCAAAAAACATCGTGGATCGTGGCATAACGTCGGTTTCCAATGTTTCATAGGCATTTCATACATGTCCTTATATAACATAAAGTTTCTTGTATGCAACACCCTGTATTTTATTTATAAAATTAAAACAAATTAATAATAAATTTGAATAAATAATATTTGGCGACATAATTCAGGAAAAAGCCGAACCGATCCGGAATTATCAAAAGTTTTGGGTCGCGACCGTTGCAAGAATAGCGTCAAATAGTATAGATATTGTCCTGATGGGCACTTTCCAATCTAAACTTGTTTCGTTTATCTATGGGCGTAAAGCAAAGCGCTTTACTTTTATGCCTAGGCGTTAAAATGACTTTTTAATTGTCAATCACATCGCAAAAATTAATACTTTTGTACATTACAAGCGAGGCACAAAAATTAATTTTTCAGATTCTTCGAAAATTATAAAATATTTTAATCTAAAAAAAATAAGTAAACATAGAGGCAGCATGACATATGAAGAACCTCATATATGCTTACTTATTTCTCTCGGCGACTTTAACTTACCTGCGGTGCGGCTTTTTGCAGCGTTAAAATGACAACGTTGTACGTTTTAAAGAATCCTAAGTAACGCAGCACTCCAAACCAGACTAGCATGTTTCCTATGCCCAAAAATAAACTGCAAATGTTCCATTCGTCGCTTGTAAATTCTTCCCTTTCGATTTGCTCTTTTATTGCGGAGCCTACAATTAAAAATTACAAATTTTGACAGCATATTGCATATAGTCTGTCCAGCGAGGGGATATGTGTCTCTCATTTTAATTCACAGATAAATTGTATTTTCTGTGTTTTTTTGGATGTTGCCTGTCGAAATCTTCCCTGAATCGTTGGGCAGACTATAGGCCTGGTTCATATCAGTTGATTTCGACAAATTTCGAGGGGCAAACCGCTGGTTATATTTATTGTACAAGCACTTGGTAATACTGGTATTTTTTGGTACTTTTGTTACTAATTTGGTATTTTTGGTACTAATTTGGTATTATTTGGTAATAAACTGGTATTATTTGGTAATAAACTGGTTTTATTTGGTATTAAACAGGTATTTTGTTGGACATCTGGCAACGGTGGATATGGATTAAACGCACGTGGCGACGGCCGGGAAGCTGATTGCATCATTTCTGGAGGTGGGCAAGTCTGCAATTTTTCTGGAGCTGCTACGCTCTGCGACTGCTCCAGTAAAAGCACTGTAACAAGTAGCAACGATTTTTTGGAGCAGTTAACCTATAAATTGAAAATGTAGTTTTATAGGTTAATTGTTCCGAAAAATCGCACTCGGTGTTCGGCACTGTTCGGTGTATTTTCTAAAAAAGAACCGGACTACCGGTGTGATTGTGATAGGCCATATCATCGCTTATTTTTTATTTATTTATACCGTATGATCGAAAAACAAACGGCATCAGCGATAGCTATGAAATGAAGACCGCTGGCATTCTATATGTAAAATTATATGGGGAATGTTATCGATCGTCATTTCCAAACCAATTGGACGCCGTTTTTTTTCGATCATACGATACCAGTGGCGATTTTAACATCGGTGCAATCAGTGTAAGTCACCGACGCGACGGGCCCCAAGCCTCCCGGGCCCTTACGAACGAGATTCGAATTTTTCCGAACTGCGGGCGGTTTGGCAGCGGTTAGCCCCTCGACAAATTCCGACCGCAGCGCTTCAACAGCAAAAATCTGAATTATCAGTAGCCGCCGTTATGTTGATAGCATTAAAATAATATTGAAACTCTGGTTTTGACATAATATTTAAGTATTTTAGTTTTTCGCTAGTGCCGTTATTGAGACTATAAAATACTCAGGTACGAGGTTTGTGTAATGTAACGCTGTTTCGGGTAGTAAAAAATAAGTGAAAAAGAATTCGAACTAAGCATCGTGTTGTGTTGTGACAATTTCAAATGTTAATAAAATTGCCGAAAAAATGTTAACGCGTAAAGGAGAGCGTAATGAGGGCGTTGTTGGGTGCAACAACATTCAATAACTCAACTTTCCCGGATATTAAACTCTCCCGAAACAACATTTTATAGCTTCATAGTTTCTCACACAGATTTGATCAAAAGCAAAAACGGATTCAAGCAGTTCGACGAAACAAGTGAGTAAACAAAGTGCTCGTTACATAATCAAGAAATTAAATAGACATATACTATGAGAGGATATAATAAAATATAATTTGCAATATTAATGGTTTACTTTTTTTAATCAATTGGGATCAAATGTTTTATGAACATCTTCTAAAATTATAATTATGTACCTTTAAAAAACTTCTTTATAGCCGAAATATCCCCAATTATGCCCCACTAGCAAAACCGGTGAATAAAACTATGAACTATGAAGTCTACCGTAGTTGAACTCATCTAAAAAGTTTTTTTAACTGGAATAATAAATTATAATACAAGTTAGACCTGAAGATATGAAAATATGAGGCGTTGCGGATAGTAAGGGCGAATTCAACAAAAGCTACTTTTGGGAAAATTGAGTTTAAAGAAATTTGCAGACGGGCGAATTCAACAAAAGAGCAGAGTAAAATAAACATGAACTGACAAGCAAGCTTACTAAACGAATCAGTCACGCGCTGCCAATATCGATGCCGACTCGGCTATCGCATATCTGAAACTTTCGTTTATTTCAAAGTGTTTGTTTGAAGGCGAAGTCAACAATTCAACCGTTCTATGAGGTAGGAATTGTAATGTAAAATGAAAATACGAAAAAAAAAATTTTGACAATGTTGAGTTCGCCCTTACTACCCGCAACGCCTCATATTTACTTTTTTATTTTTAGAATTTTCACAAATTATACTTCCCCTTCTTAACACTTTTAGAATAATTAAATAATATCTTTTTCATATACTCGCAATTTAAACCCGTGTATTTGTATATACTAGTTGTTTACGATAATCTCCGATGGTGGCAGCACCGGCGGAGAATGCACCAAGTCTATACTTTCTCTAGTTATCTTTTTCATCAATAACTTCAAGTATTTTATTTTTATTGACTTACCAATAATGATTAAAATGTCATTGACGATAATCATAATATACCACAAATTCAGAAACTTGTGCTGATCGTGATTACTTAATTTTCTATCGAAATTCTGTTCGAAAAAGATCATTGTGATTCTCTTGAGCTGTTGGGCACGCCACACGGCTCTGCTACACAACACTAGCGATATTATACAAATAGCGATCACAGTGTAATTGAGGAAACTTCGAAGCAAGGCCGATATTTCGTCATCGGTTATATACGTGGTATCACCTAAAAATAAACAGAAATTTTTCAATTTAATAATCAGTTTATTATTATTTTTTATTCAAATAAACGCACCTTTACAGGTTAGCCTGATTGGTTCGGCATCTAGTCCTACAACTACCTGGCCATCGTGATCGGCATTATCGAAAAAGATGTTAATGTCGAATTGGTAACAATTTGGAGCGCTAATTCTTAAAGAGTACATTTTTTTAGTATTGATAGCAATTATTAGCAGAGTATACAGAGTGTCTCTCTCTGTAAATTCATAATATTTCCGTTTATACTGAAACAACCGGGCGCCTCTTGAAAGTCTCAGCCCTATAACTTTTTTAATGTTTCAGTTAAAAAAAACGACTTTTGGTATGTTAGTTTATGACATAAATTAGGATTGATTGACGTATTCAATTGTTTTTGGTCACTTCCTGTTTCACCGAAAATGAATATAACTTTTCATTTTTAAATTGTATATTTCTATTTTATTCGATCTCGATTATTCGATTATCCCTCGGTATATTTCTATTTTATTCGATAGAAAATGACACTCTGAGTAGAATGACGTGTCATATGTCAACTTTTGCCATTTTTGCTTTAAAAAAATCGTATTTTAAATTTCAATCTAGAGTGTCATGGCTGTGTTAAAAGCACAATTTTTTAATCAAGGAGCCTTGGAAAAATAGATTTGATCGTCTAATGTTTTTCGTGTGTTGTCCTGGTCGGTTAAAAGATGCCTAAGGCTGGCTGCAACGACCTCCTGTAATCTTGCTGTTAAAACAAAACAATTTGGTTTTTATACATATATAAAAACCAGCTGTTATGTTTTAACAGCAGGATTACGGGACGTCGTTGCAGCCACCTAAAGTCGTATTTTTAATCATATCTCAATTTTTTCAAACGAAACAAGGGTGGCTCATTAGCATATTTGGAAAAAGCATTTTTTACGAATAATTTGGTACCACACACATGCTATATCGAGTCAAATTGTCGTTATGAACCGCATGTTACAATTTCAAATAAACCATATGAGAAAATGTCAAAAGTTGACATATGATTTGTCATTCTATTCAGAGTGTCATTTTCTATCCAATAGAGTAGAATATACCGAGGCTGCCATTTAAAAATCAAAAGTTGTAGTCATTTCCGGTAAAACAGGAAGTGACCAAACACAATTGAATATGTCAATTAATCCTAATTTATGTCATATACTAACATACCAAATCTGGTATTTTTGTCTGAAAAAATAGAAAAGTTATAGGGATGAGCCACTTTTCAGACTCACCCGGTATACAGGGTGTCCCAGAAATAAGTGTATTTTAACTGGTAGCATAGTTCGACCCCAGAAACACGCCCATAAAGTTTTTTTTGCGAAAAAAAATGTTGAAAATTTTATATTTTTCTTGACACTTTCCCGAAAATATTGGAAAACTTTTGAGTGCCGCTTGTTCAGTTTCTTGAAATTTGTTTATAATGCTTTGAGAGAATGCAATGTTGCCACCTTCTATGTTATCTACATTCTGTATGTTTATAAGGTCACATTTTTAACAAGCTGAGATTCATGTAATCTGGTGTAATTGCTTGGTATTCGTGGCTGATTAACGATTGCTGCCAGAGTGGCGGCTCTCAAAACGTTGCAATTTTTTTTTAAATTTTCAAAGTTAAATGGCACAGTTATTTTCAATTTGTTTTAAAAATGGTAAAGAAAAAATATGTATCTTTTGACCAGATCTACGACCCCTTAAAATACATGCACTTATTTCTAGGACACCCTGTATTTTTAGCTTAAATTTTAAGAACCTCCAACTTTTTATTGTTTTCATTCTTCTTAATTTAATCTACTACCTATGTTATCATATTATCAAGATAAATTAACCAAAAAGTAAAAAAAAATCCAAGTAAATTTTCGAAAAAATCTAATAATTAAGCTATCCGCGTCGAATAGCGTGAATAACCTTGTATATTTTTGGTAAATGAATCAAAGTTATAGAGAGACACTCTGCCAAGTGAACAAATTAAAAATTGATAAAAAATTACCTGCTAGCTGCTTTGAAGTTCACAGTTTTTAATGAAAACTTTAATTCAGCTCGCACAAGAGCTGAAAAGTTGACGTGCAAGTTATTTTCTCTAAATAACTGTAGCGAATCCAGTGATGCTCCTACATCGTTTTTAGATATATTAATACACGTCTCAACAATTTCACTGTTAAACACGTAGGACTCGTTATTCCCGTGTATAATGCCTTCTTTGTATTGGGATATGCAAAATGTCAAATCTTCAGGTGTATTATCTTCATTTGCATAAGAATATGACCCTTAAAATAACTTTTTCTATAAATATCTTGTACTTAACTTAAAAATAGATACACATATCAAAAATGAAAACAAATAAATGTTGGCGCGCACGTTATCCTAATATTTGGCGAATGCACGTTGCAATGTTGCCACTGCAATGTTGCAATTAAAAATTTAAGAAGAAAATCAATCAAAAATTAATAAAATCGCGCAAATATTTTACTGATAACGACTGCACTGTTCTCCAAGCTCGGTCTACTACCGTTCTCGTAAAAAAATAGGCGATTCATCCCGTCAATAAAAAATCGACAACTTTGCAAGTTTAATGTAATGAGTAGGCGTGTGTTTTGTTTGCGGTGTATATAGCTAGCAATCTATAAAATATATTAGTCAGTTGGCTTGGAAATGATAGAAAATTACAGCGATCTTTATTTCATAGTCATCGCTGACACCTTTCTTTCAATCACATTGTTGTTTCGACGTCGTTGATGACGTGCACGCCAACTGATACTGTTTTCTCTATACAGGGCGTTCTCTGATAATTATTTCTTTACCTATAGCTTTATCTACATTAATATACCCAGTGTAAGCGTAATTTATGGTGCTATAAAAATCATCTTCTTTATACACCGCTAGAGGGCCGCTAGATGGAGGATAAGCATTCACCTCTCGAGTAGAATCCCAATTTTTTAAGAATAAATGTGAAAATGTCACCCTATTATCCCACGTGTAATTTATATGATTGTAACGACTAAAAAAAAATTGCATATTTTTGTATTGGGAATTTAGAACCTTTACCCAGGGTGTTTTAAAAAAACATGTGCCATCTCTCACATAAAAATAAGATTTCTTTTTTATATCGACATATGTAGGTCCGATTCTGCTTTGTTTCGAAGCTACAGGGGGTTAAAGTCTTATTTTTTTTTCAATTTATTTTAATTTTCTTCTAAGTGCTTTTAGCGATTCGAATAAAATTTTAAAGGTAAATGTTACTATAAGTGCAACATATTTTACTGCTGAAAAAATGTCGCCAGGGACGTGCATATGGGTTATCACTAGAATATTTTTCTAAAAAAAAATTGTGCGCCACTGGCTTTTTTCTGTTGTTTGCAAAATTGTGTAGGCCGTTTCATGCTCATTAAGGGTTGTCCAACATATCATGGCCTTAATCCAAGTCTAATAGCAACCTTTAAAATATTCTAATGTAATTAACTGGCCAAAGTGTTACTATGCTTACCCATCAAAAATATGAAAAAGTTTCTGTAAGCATGGGAGCGGAAATGCATACTTTTAAAGTTACAAGTAGCATCAGTGATTTAAATAAATTTTAATAAAATTTAATAAAAAAATATACCAAATAAATAATTTATTAATTTTATTTTTAATTTAATTTTATTAATTGTGAGTAATAAAATTGCATTTATCTCATCAAGTAGATCGAAATCGACAAAATCAACACAACAAAATATTCCAGTGTTATTCCATATGCACGTCCCTGGTGAATCATTTGTCAACACTTTTTTAGCATTAAAATAGTACTTATATAACATTTACCCTCAAAATTTAATTTGAATCGCTAAAAGCACTTATAGAAAATTATAATAAATAAAAAAAATGGTATAAGATATGTTGATATAAAAAATACATCTTATTTTTGCATGAAGAAACTCCCCATGAGAGATGGCATGTTTTTGGAAACACCCTATATACCTACCTGTATGCAAATAGGCACAGCTGCATGGTTACAAAAAAGATCTTAATCACCTGTACAACGAACTTAAATGGAAACCTTCTTTTGGCTTGCCATTTTTCAATGGGGTTCATAAAGAAAAACTGAAGTTTTCTTCTCATTTTTTCTTCGGTTAAAAGAGGCATAACTGTACTGTGACAACATCTAAGAGACAAATACAAAAGGATAAAAGTGAAAATAAGGTAATATTCATACACCACAATATATAACAATAGCTATAATACTATCTATAATAACCTATTTATTTATTTATTTACTAAAGCTATTATGTTTAAATTAATATAAACAATGCGAATATCCTTTGTAATATACATTTTAATATTTAGATTTATCTGTTCTAGCCATATGGATCTAATTTTGTAGAATTGGTAATTCCTACTCTGATTTCAAGTTTATCCACAAAACATCCCCCTTTAGAACTTTTTCTTTAATGGCCATAAGCGGGAGTAAAAGACCAACCGCCCGAACAAACACTAGAGGCGCCACCGGTCATCAAATGGTGTAAAAATTGCGAAAATTTAATTATCTAATTTTGACACAAGGGGTCGCGCTTAACTTTTTTATTTTTTATTTTAATTTTAACTCAATATTCATTGTTTTCAAACTATATTATTATACTTTGTTGTATTTTGTGAATGTATAAATGTTTTCTTAGTATAAAGTTGCATTATATTAATTTAAATTATATTTACATATTTAAAATTTAAATATTATGACATATATGTCAGTTGCCGTCTAAAATGTCATCTTGATAACAAAAAGTTAGTTAATGTCAGAAATAGTTAAAATCATGTTAAACTATTAAAATTTACAAGTTATAATTAGATATTTTATATTATTTCAAAATAATACAATAATAGTACAGCGTTATGTTGATATGCAGGTCCAAAACAAAAAGTGCCGTTATATTTTTCAGTTTTCGTTGTCAGCCGCGGAAGTTTCAGTGATTTTAGTGTTGTCGGATATTTTTATTTGTGAAATAGAAATAATTGCGTTTAGATTGTTCTTTGATTGTTGAAAACGAAAAGTGGAAGTTTTATTGCAATGTAAGTAAGCGTTTGTCCATTTTATATTTTACTTTTTTCATACCTACGACAAATATACATATATTGAAATTTTATAATTCGTTTTATTTAAAAAATGTTAGAAAACAAGCTTGTAATCCTGTAATTGACATAATTGTTATGTAATATATTCCATTTAAATGTAATATATTACTTTACAATTAAAAAAATGTAAATTTAAAAAATATATACAGGCAATAATTGAAATTTTTAGCTTGCGAACAAACACGAGAGGTGCTTTATTATTTACTTTCATTTCTTAACATGACAGACGAAGTTCTAAAGGGGGATGTTTTGTGAGTTTATCATAAAACAAGATAACAATAAAAAACCAGCATTAAAAAAACAATATATATAGACATAGCCGACTTGAATTTATTTAGTTAACAAAATTGGCGATGTCTGGAAACAACAAAATATATAATTTTTTGTAGCAAAACACCAAAAAATGTAAACATAAAACAAAATTAATAACTACCTGCGATGTCTAATATCACACTGCACCTCGTCACTATCGCACATCGTTTCCACGCTGTTTTCACTCTGCTGCGAAGAATCGTCCATACTGTTATCTCTAAATTTATTTGTTCTTGATTAAATACATTAATTGAATATTTCCCTTTTCTTTGTTGGATCTTTAATCAGGTGATGCCATATGACTTTTACGTTGTAAATAGAGATGAAGTTAGAATCGTTCAGCCACCACAGATCTGTAATATATCGCTTCATATATAATTTATATATGCGTATTTTTCACTTCAGTGGGCGACAAGTTATTGTTAATCTAAGGCGACAATTAAACCAATTTTAATTTAGCTATTGGCAACAATGAGTTTAAATGGCATTTGACTTTAATAACCTTGGCGTTTGACAGTATTTGTTTGTCATTGCGGATTTCATTTTCCTTTTAAATTATTTTTGACACCGAGAAATGCATTCGCTTTTTAGGAAAACAATTCTAGGCTTATCGCCTCAAACGTATTTAAAAAACGGAACCGCATTACTACATACGAGGTTGGTGCAAAATACAGTTATTAAATAGTATACATTTAGAAAGAAGTTTTTTATCTCTGTTATGTAATTTGTGAGACTACTATTTAACAGTTGCGGGCTGTTGTTTACTAGTAGTCTCTTAAAATTAAGGGACGTATCAGTAAATAGAATTATTTTAGCAACAATAATAGTGCAAAATGGTTTCCCGATGAGGATTATTTCCAACAGTTTAAAGGGCCCGTAATGTATCCAGATGAAGTCACAAAAAACTGGGCTATGCAGCCGTGGAGTGGTAAGAAAGCACCTACAGAAAAGGCAGTAAAAAATATAACGATTAACTTTGGGCCTCAGCACCCAGCTGCTCACGGTGTATTACGTTTAGTATTGGAACTTGATGGTGAGGTAAGAAATATTTATAGTATTATGTAGGACAATTTTAAGTATTTCTTAGGATTATATAGAGTTCTACAGGGTGTCAGTTATTAGAAAAAATGTTTTAGGTTGTGAGGCGTTCAGACCCTCATATCGGCTTACTACACAGAGGCACAGAAAAATTAATCGAGTATAAAACATATACACAGGCCTTACCTTATTTTGATCGTTTAGATTATGTATCCATGATGTGTAATGAACAATGCTACAGTTTAGCCATTGAAAAACTGTTAAATATTGATGTGCCATTAAGGGCTAAGTATATAAGAGGTAAAAAATTAATTAAACCTATGAAATTAGCTATATAATATGCTATATATAAAATGCTTTTTTTTAAGTTCTTTTTGGTGAAATTACGAGAATTTTAAACCATATTATGGGTATTTGTACTCATGCCCTTGATATTGGTGCACTCACACCTTTCTTCTGGCTTTTCGAGGAACGAGAAAAACTAATGGAGTTTTATGAAAGAGTTTCTGGTGCTCGTATGCATGCAGCCTATGTCCGGCCTGGTGGAGTAGCCCTTGTAAGTAAGTAGGGCTAAGAACAACTCGATTTAGAACATTTCAAATAGTCTAAGATCAGACTGCAGGATTAGTACTATCATCATGTAGTTAAATTAGTATATAAAATGGTTTCTCTTTTTTTGTTTTGATGGAACTGCTAAAAATTTAAAATACTTTAAATACAAAAAATGTTCATTTTTTAATTTTTCCTCCAACAAAGAAATAATATACAGGGTATACCATTATAAAAACAAAGAAAAACTATTTTAGAAAGTTTGGCATACAATTTTGAACACCCTGTATGGTTTAAGATTACAATATTTATAGCAAAGTAAGTACAGACCCACAGACCAACTATAGTAAATACCGAGTATAGTTTTGATTTCAGGAGATTTCTTGAATTTTTAATATTTTTTCCCCTATTCATAAATATACATAAAAATTAGATTTTGATTAACTACATGAAAAGTACTAATTCTGCAGCCGGATCCTGTACTAAAATTAGTAATAAGGAATTTTAGTTTATTATTTAATATATTATAATAATGTATTATAATAATTGCTTTTTAGGATCTGCCGTTGGGCTTGCTGGATGATATTTATGAATTTGCCAATAAATTTAATGAAAGGTTAGATGAAGTAGAGGATCTTTTGACAAATAACAGATTATGGATTCAGAGGACTGAAGATATTGGTGTTGTGTCTGCAGAGGATGCTCTGAATTATGGATTTAGGTAAATTGTTTGATAAAAAAAGTGTTCTATCCTGTACAATGTAATTTTTTTTAAATATTTTAACCTGCATAAACCCCGGGTCCAAAAGTTCCTTTAAATACCAAGTGGGTTGCAAATGCACCCAAACATTTTTTTTGTTGAAATTATTTTTAAATATGTTTTTTATGAAGGTATATCATCAAAATAAAAACACTAAATCACCACAATACACCAAAACACTTTTACTTTTACACTGGACGCGCGTTTCGCTAACCATGTTAGCATCATCAGCAGATGATTATAAAAGTTTTTCAATTATTTTTTCAAAACAAAAAAAAATCACTTTCTTTTGCAGGTTTCGTTTTATACTTTTCTTTCGCTTTTTTGAGCCTTCTTTTTCGTTGTGTAGCAGTTTCGTTTTTGTTTGTTTTTTTATTTATTGTTTCCATGTTGTTCCCACGAGTAATGGACATTTTAACGGTCGACCCCCCCAGAGGTCCAGTAGAGGGGCAAGGCTATAATATACAAGAGGCGCCCAATCTTGAGGGGAAAACGCTTGCGACATTACATTTTTAGCCACCCTAATGCCATACAGTCCTCAGCACGTTTTAACCTATTACCTTAACTTGGGTAGTAAAGCTACCGCTAACTACGTAGGTACATCTAATCACCTATTTTTTTTATCTGTCCTTCTAACGTCACACAATCTTGGACACAACTGTTTTGGACACGACTACTCATGCCCTCACCTAATACGCTATTTTGTAACGACGTCCATCTTGGATTTTAACTTTTGTCATAATCACAGAGACGACACTAAAGCCCCGTTCTCAGAACTGCGTCGTGTCGACAGCGACACTGATTGACACTTCAAACGACCAATGGGAGCTGTACTAAATTTAAAATTGACAGCTGTTTGAATTTTGTACAAATTTCATTGGTTCTTTTAACGTGTCGCTGGCGACAGTCGCAGTTCTGAGAACGGGGCTTAAAGCTCCGTTCTCAGAACAACGTCGTGTCGCGGGCGACAGAGTTTGACACTTCAAACGACCAATGGGAGCTGTACTAAATTTAAAATTGACAGCTGTTTGAATTTTGTACAAATCTGATTGGTTCTTTTGTCGTGTCGCTGGCGACAGTCGCAGTTCTGAGAACGGGACTTAAAACTCACGAAAACCTCGGAAGCATTCGGATCCTACACGGAGAGTTCGGTTTTGTTCGGCGAGAAGCGCTTTGCGGGAATTTTGAACATTATGAATAATCGAGAATCGGAACAATAATAATTTTATTATGCGAAATTGCTAACAGTAGTTCAGTTGACTGTTTTGGTTGTTCATTTTGTTTTTTATAGTTTCTAGTCTATTTTTAGAAATATGGCTATTATTTAAAAACTGATCTGCATTCATATATTTTTAAAACATACAAATATCATTAAAGTTAAAGTTACGAAATGTAATTTGTCATTATTTGCAAGGAAGGTGGTTAATGTATTTGGCTGATATTTGGTAATATCAGAGGTAATATACCTATATTGCCTACATCAAGTGATTTTAGTCAAAGTTGCATTGATGATTGGTGTAAATTAAAAATTGTTTCATTTACAGATTGCATGATCACTATCTAATTTGATGCATAAGTGAGAACCATAGGTTTACTTGGAGGGAGCTCATTATTCTCGAATTCTACTCTAGTTATTATCATTATGTCCTACATATGAATGAAGATCGGTTAGAAAAATTTGTAATACAGTACAGGGCAGAGAATATTATGTTCTGAATCAAGTTGAAATCTTTTATTAAAATATCAGTTCTTAAATTGAATCACATTTTCATGGGGAAATAAACGTTTTGGGAAAATTTGTTAGCTTAATTACTGTAACATATTAGAAATAAAAAAACAAATTTATAGTTCTAATTTTATTAGAATATGTTGCAGTTTCGATTACGGCCTATAAGAAGAAACTGCAAGAAACTTATGGGTGTTCTAGGTCAAGAAAATACAATAATTACAACAATACAATACAATAATTTTAACAATAAACAATACCACATCGTACAGGAAGTAAGTACTATAAAATAAATATAAAACCCTTAACCAACTGTCAATACATATTTACTTAAGTAAGACCAAAAACAAAATAAATAAAGCCTTAAACCAATAACCTCTTTCACTTTGTTGGGAATAATTCTTGCTTATACATTTTCCTTTTATGGCTCATTTATTATGATCTTTTTATTGAACTACTGGCCTTCTCTGTTCATTTAGAAGAATTGTTTAGAACAAATGTGTAATGTGTCCTAAAAATAAAGAGACTATTTGACATAGTGTTTCTTTTGACTGACTGATTTACTATGATTACAATAATAATTGTAAGTTTTTTTTCCATATAGTCGTTATATTTTCTTGACTTGGCGAATGCATAATTTATCTTGATCTTCTGTTTTTTCGTACCACGGTTTATAACTTTCTTTGTGGTAAAGTCATAGGCAAAGTAATGCGTTTCCATTTCCAATTTTACTTCATAGTTGTTGTAATACACTGCAACTTCGACAAACTATACAGACTACCAGATTTATTACACAGTGGGCAAATAATACGTTTCTTCTTATTATAGTGTTTTTCACAAAATTAAGTGAAACAACACAAATTAAAAATAATCCAGTCTGTAATATTAGTTATCAAAGTTCTATGAATCAATGTTCAATGAATTCACAAATTGTAAATCTTCTTTAAAGTGCTTTTTAGTATTTTTGGTATTATTTAAAAATACAGGAATGCTGTAATGTTTTTAACTTTGTTTTTAAATAGGGCCATATTTACTATGATATTTATAAAAATGCCGTTGTTTACAAAGTCCATCAGCGGTAAAGTTCAGCTGAGTTTGACGTAGACCGCGGTTGCGCGGTTCAGCTTCCGAGTATTTTGTCCTTGGAGAAGGAAAGAGAGACTCTCTTTCCTTGTCTAGGGTATCGTGAGTTTTAGTGTCGTCTATAATCACAGTATTCTACTAGTGTAGTCCTTTCATTTGATAGCCATATTGAGGGGGTTGTGGAAAAATATGAAATCCGCCATTTTGTACCGGCGGCCATCTTAGATTTACAATGTTATTGATATTACTATATTGTATTGTCATCGGAACTAAAGGTGTGTACCAAATTTCAGATCAATCTGACAACAGGAAGGTACTTAAATTTCAATTTCTAATTTTGACCCAAATAAACAAACAAATAAATACCGTACGGGTCGAGCTAAATAAAACCGTTTAAAAAGGTGCTCTTTGCTAGTTCGAATCAGTGAATGGTTTTCAAGATATTTGCGTTTAAAGGTTTCCGATGCATCGATTTTAGCATTAGCGAAATGAGAAGATTATTTAAAATTTCTTTACATTTTATCATTTCACTAATACTTACTGTAAGAGTCTCAATTTATTTTTTCTTTGGTTCAGTGAAAAATAAATAGCCTTACTGGCGTACAGTAGTAAACTTAAATCTCTCGGGCGCCACCTCTGTTATTTATAGTGGAAGAGGACCACGTTTCGCCAATACGGGTAGCTTTTATACAGTGGAGATACCAGGGAGTGATGAAATGAAAAGAAATAAAACACACAGTTAACTATAACATAACATTAAGGCTTTATTTAATTAATTAACTATATGCTAAATACCCCAGGAAGTTTCACGACTTTAAATTGTAATGAAAGTGAAAGAAAATTTATAATGAAAGACTCGTAAAATGAAATTTACAACAACAATCGAGCACCTCTAGAGTTTTGACCGTATAATCTCGATATGCAACTCACTGTCCGATTTAATCACGCGAATTCAAAGCGCGTTTTTGACATGACGTTCTAGTAAATAAAACGACGCGAGTTCCTAACCAGCGTCCTAGTAAACACAGACATGTACGTACCGGAGCGATATACTATTTTATAACCCGACTTTCTAAACGTCGGCGACGTCGTTACAGACGTCCCGGGATAAACAAACGCGAGCCCTGGATCGTTCGCCGTAGAACGAAACGGCGTCCTGTGGGATAATTACGCACCCGAGCCCTGAATCGTGCGCAGTAGAACGAAACGGCGTCCTGTGGGATAGATACGCACGCGAGCCCTGAATCGGTCGCAGTAGGACGAAACGGAGTCCTGTGGGATAGGTACGCACGCGAGCCCTGAATCGTTCGCAGTAGGACGAAACGGAGTCCTGTGGGATAGGTACGCACGCGAGCCCTGAATCGTTCGCAGTAGGACGAAACGGAGTCCTGTGGGATAGGTACGCAGCGAGCCCTGGATCGTTCGCAGTAGAACGAAACGGCGTCTCGGTTAGTCGTCTGGATAAGCACAGTCCACACCGCCCGGTCAGGACCACCTCGGGATGTCGGCGAGATCCCACGGCGCTCCTGATGAGAATACGGGAACTACAGAACCAGTCTCGGGATGGACGAGATCCTGCCTTAGCTCCAAGGATATTCGCGCCCGTATATTTGTTGTACTACCTTAACCGCTATCTGTCTCCCTTTTAACCAAAAGAAATCGGTCTTCGCGTCCACGGGATCCGGACAAAATGCCTCAACCTTGCATGTATTTTTACTTCTATAGTAGGACAGTTGACACCTTGAGCGGATACAAGTCTGGTTAAATTTTACGTACGCGCGTTTCGGAACAAGATGCCTCTACCTTGCACGTATTTTTACTTCTACAGTAGGACACGAGACACCTGGAGCGAATTTAACTATCTCTATCTCCCTTATTCTATAACGCGTTAAGGCAGTAAAACAAACCGTATTAACAATAAAAAGAAAACGACCTACTCTCGATCACTTTGGCGGCTGGACTTACCTTCTTCAGAGCGGCAACGGCGGCTGGCAGCAGGGTACTTGGCAGGGCACTCCGGGCTCGAACTTCACTGTTCACGTGCGATCACACCACTGACTACCTGGCGCCATAGAGAAAGTTAATAGTTTAGAGAGTGGTGAATCGCGTGGTAAAATGTTGGGAGATTGCGCTTTTAGCGCCCTCTACTTGGCTACAGGTACGAACTATGAAAGAGCGGGAGATTTAAATTATTATTATACTTATTATTTTTAAGGTAATTAAAACTAAGAGTGCCCTTAACCAAAAACAGTGATATAAATAGAGATACCTACTCAAATTTTATATTATCATGATACTAAAGGATATAAATACAGCATTTATAATCAGTACATGCATTTATAATCAATACAGCTTTTACACCTTTTTATTCAAAGCCTTACACGCTAATATAAAATTTGACTATCTCCATTTATTTCACTATTTTTGGTTAAGGGCACTCTTAATTTTAATTTTCCTTTTTTTATGGGAAAACGATTAAATGGGAAGAATTGAATGGGAATGGAAAGAATGACCAATTATTGTATTTTGTATTAATTTATAATACCCCTACTCTACTAAATATCTAGCTACATTGTACTTACAGTTAAATAGCTACATTGTACTAGTTATATCCATATTTACAGTTTTATGATGGCTATTATTTTATTTCAACGTGCTACCAATTGATTCGCTCCGACTTGAGTACTTACTATACCTCGAGATGGCTCCAGGAATTATTTATCTTTACAGGCCTAGAATATGAAGATTCACAGTAGAATTTTTGGTTTTACTACCTATTAGAAACAAACCTACCCCCCTACATCAAGGGACATACAATTATGCCTTGTTCTCGGCCATGATATTCCTTCCATTCTATATCCAACATCCAACTTAGCAGACCTTCTGGTTCACAACAGGGCCTAGACTGGCCGGATGATATTTTAACAGAATAGCCCTTGATATCTCTTTCACACTTTCATTTAATAATTAAATAGGAGGGCTGGATGGTATAATTTCTAGAAAGAATAGCCTGTGAAATAAAAACTTCTGCATGGACATTACCTTTCTTACATTTGTCTGCTATTTTTTTAATAAAAAACAACTGTTTAGTTTGCACAAAAATAAAATTAACAATCAAAAATATCTTAAAAAATGATCAAGCCTTGTACTACGCCGCGTGCCGCTTTTTGAACAAACAACAAACAAAAGAATGAGGTTAGCGGCGTTGCCAATGTCAATTTTCTAAACCACCCAAAAATCTAAATTAAATTCGCCAATTTGGGGAGAAAAATGTCCCGATTCACCAAAAATTCCCCATATGATTATTTTAACAAAAAAAAAATAATTTTAATAAAAATACAATATTTATTATATATATGTTAGAGAGATTAAACTGTAAATTACCTCCTTGTTTTTTAATCCCTTCCCTAGTAGTCATTAAATAATTTGAGGTCACTAAATTTTCTTTCAACTGAAGCATTTGCAAAGGGAAGCACAAGTAAAAAGCAGATTATAATTTTAAGTTGGGAAAGATATATCGTCCCGCTCCGTTTTTAAAGCTAAAAATTTTACGCCATTTTCAATCAGCAATAAAATGTTGAAACTCCCCTTATTTTCGCCCCCTATTGCTAAAATCCCCACAAAACTCCCAATCGGCTCCGGACTCCCCAAAATTTGGGGAATTCCCCACAAATTGGCAACGCTGGAGGTTAGCGTGATCTTTCTGAATATGCTAAGACTAACGGACTAGTGTCAAAACACAGATAGCTAGATGGACGTATTTCGGCACTTGCGTCGATGCGCTACAGGTACATTTGCCTGCGCGTCGTATGTCTTCTGGCAGTCTTTTAATTTTTCTGTTTGTCTATGCCTGGCGCTCTCGCTGCCAGGGTATACTCAAACGACCCTCCCCTCCACTCGACCGGTACTGGTAGGGCCAGCTTCTCGGCTGCCGTACCGAACTATAGCGAGTAACGCCGATCAAAACTCTATTACAATATGGTCATTAAATATCTAACATATTTAATTCAACAGTAAGAACACTAATGAAGTTCATTACCATAATGAGTTAACAATAAAATACTAACTATCCTAACCTTGTTTACAGAAAAGGTCCCTATTATTTAAGTACAGTATACGGGGTGTCCCAGAAATGAGTTCCGAAATTTATGAACTTCATTACATTACATAAACTAACTTTAAACGCAAATATCCTGAAAACCGTTCATCTTTTCGAACGAAAGGAAGAGCACCTGTTTTAGGTAAAATGTCCTAGCTTTTTATATCATTTGTTGAAATTACTATATCTATATATAAGGATGAAAGAAGTAGCACCAGTAGTACTCTCTACCCTAATGGAAAGTATCTTTTCAGTGCTGTTACGGAATTTTTCACAATCGCCATTCGCTTTGGCATTAAAATGTGTGTAAGAGTACCAAAGTTCACGAAAAACGGTTTACCAATGTTCTTAAAAATAAACAAAATATCGGAAAAACTTCTTCCAGAAGCATTTTGGGGCATATGTTCATAGGAACTTTTGGTTTTATTTTTATCTGTAGAATCACCCACCGAAGTTAGATACACTATTTTTTTGATACCCTGTATACAGTTGTTGTAAATTACTGTCATATTTTCTTATAATTTAGTGGTGTCATGTTACGTGGATCGGGTATAAAATGGGACTTGCGAAAATCCCAACCTTACGATGCCTATGATCTGGTTGAATTTGATATTCCTATTGGTACCAAGGGTGACTGTTACGACCGGTATTTATGTCGTGTAGAAGAAATGAGACAATCGCTGAGAATTATCCATCAGTGCTTGAACCAAATGCCAGCAGGCGAAATCAAAACGGATGATGCGAAATTGACACCACCCAGCAGAGCAGAAATGAAGGTATATATTTTTAGTTTTTCAATGACTAACGAATACAAGAACCAATAGCACCAAAAATCAAATTGTTACCAGTTAGGCCAGTCAATCTGGAGGTTGAGGTGGAAAAAATTAGTAAACAACCGATATCAACGGAAATAAGTAGAGTCCCATTCGGTCCCAGTGGGGGAAGTTTGAAAAAAATCGCCATCTTGGATTTTCTTTTTTTCAAATATCTCTGCATAACTTTTTTCGAAAAAGCTAGATATGTTTTTTGTAGAGAAGTCAATTTAGAATATTTTACCTTCAATCATTTTTTTTTTCTAAAATAAATAGTAATAGAGATAGAGCAATTTTTTACTATACGTTTTATAAATTTTCCAGTTTTTAAACCAATCAGCTATACTTTTTGCGTTAACAGAATAGTGTTAATATAGATAAACCAAGTATAAATTTAAGCATTAAAATAATTACAAATAACGTTGAGAGAGGCGGTTTTTTTTAAACTTCGCCCACTGGGACCGAATGGGACTTTTGAGGTGTTAAATAGGAGATCATTATCTACACATTCTCGTTGAGATCGGTTGGTTACTAATTTTTTCCACCTTTACATATAATACTCGGCTACGTTTACTGGCCTAAGTTGACACCAAAGTTATTTGGCCAGTGACGTGCCAGATGGTTAACCATAAAAGTACCATAGTTTCACAAAAATTGCAAATAATATTTTTTAAATTATTATTCAGTGATTTATAATTTTATGTTTTGCGTATCTGCTTTATATAATACAACTGATTATTCAATTTTTTAGCTCACAAAACTAGTTTGTATATGAGGCAAAACCCGTCTTATCCCGAAAACGTTGTTTCGAGATAATACGCAAAAACTGTTTTAGCAAATGTTTGAAATGTTATTTTATATGTAAAAAAACGTGCCAGTTAGGTGGAACCATCGTTTTGTATCTCGTTTTTCTAGAAATAAAAATTTTGAATTTTTAAAGAGAAAAACCAAAAATAATTCGGATTTTTTTATGTTTCTTTATAATTTACTTCTTTTCAGACATCTATGGAAGCGCTTATTCACCATTTCAAGTTGTTCACTCAAGGTTACCAAGTTCCTCCTGGTTCCACATACACTGCAATAGAAGCTCCCAAGGGTGAATTTGGTGTTTATTTAGTTTCTGATGGAAGCTCGAAACCTTACAGGTAAAATAAATTAATTTTTATGATTAGAATTGTTTTTTGCGATATTATACTAGGATAAATATAAAAAAATTTATAAAGTATTAGTTTATTGATCGTTTTGTGATTATTATTATACAGGGTGGTCTGAATTGTATTCTGGAAATATCGGCAGCATATTCTGCCGATAAAAATAAGTAAAAAAGGCCTTATAAATTTATGTCCTAAAATGCTTCGTTTCCATAATACAGGGTGTAGAAGTTTCATTTTTATTTCTATTTTTTCGATAATTTCTGAACTAATCTAAATATTTGAATGAAAATTGGTGTCGATTTTTTGATATGAGAAATTTGATTTTGATGTCGATCTGACTCCTACTTATAGAGGGCGCCACCTACATATTTTTAACTGGTTGGAAGAGTAAGAACTTTTTGTCAGTATCAGTATAAAACCACTGATTGAAAAAATATACATATCTGCCGTTTTTTTATATCTGCCGTTATCAAGATATTTGTAACATTTCCATTCCATTTAGACAAAAATAAGCATGTTGAATAGATGGCTATGTGACTCAAATGATAAATTTGGGCACTTTTTTTTTAATTTGCGAAATTTTAATCGAAGTACCTACGTTAGTTCAGAAATTACTTGTAAAAAATCGAAATAAAAATGAAAGTTCTACACCCTGTACCTCAGAAACGAAGCATTTTAGGACATAAATGTATACGAACTTTTTTAATTGTTTATATTATCTAAATTATTTGCAGAAGATGCTGCCGAAGTTTCCCGAATACAATTCGGATCACTCTTATATAGGTAGATACGGTAGAGACTCATATATCAATAATTTTGAAGTCAACGTCATTCTTTCTTGGGGAATAACTATTTCAATTATTTTGTACTGCTTATTTTTATATTGCGTCATGGTAAGCATTTATGTTACTTTCAGGTGCAAGATCAAGGCTCCAGGATTCGCCCATTTGGCTGCTTTGGATAAAATTGGCAAGAATCACATGCTTGCCGATATTGTAGCTATTATTGGTACACTCGATATTGTGTTCGGCGAAGTTGATCGATAAATCGATACACTTAGATTATTGTTATTACGAATTAAAGAAACGAACACGTTTTGTTGGATTTTGTCAGATTTCCGGTGACATGTTTAATTATTTTTATTTGTTGAAAAATATAGGCAATTCTAAAAATATATCTTAAGGAAGATTCACAGCAAAGCGTGTATTATAAGTATTTATAAATAAAAAAACACTGAAGTAAAATACAAGGTATTAAAAATATATGTTGTTTTTTTAGTTTATTTTTTACCAAAATGAATAAAAGATTACCTGTGGCTAACCAATATACATACAATACGGTTGAAAAAACTGTCAGAGTTGGCTTGGAACTGAAGAACCTGGAGGACTCCATTCGTAACCTAGAATGGGAATCCTCCAACGGTCTCAGATACTTGAAAAAGTTCTTCAGAACTTATGACGGAGAAAAATCTAAAATTTTCCATGATTTAAGTAAGAACATCTTCGGATTGTCACGGAGTTTCTGGCAGAACACTGTCAGCCCCAACGAACACCTTAGTAGATTGAAGCTGAGAAACAATGGCGAATAGAGATTCTGTGGGGAAAACGGGGAAACACCAGAACACCTAACTCGCAACTGAGCGCGCCGAGACGACAACCGTTCGTGCCATAAACTTTGGTACGGCTGATATCGAAAATGGAGAGCTAGCGTCTGTGGAGCCGTCTCAGGTACTGGCTTTTGCCAAAGCCTTGAGACTGTATGATGAGTTATAACCTGTTATGACTCAAAAAAGTAGAACACACAATAAGTAAGGTCGCGGTGCTTAACCTCCCTCCTAAACATTCTACGACAGGTTGATGTTATATTGATGATACCAATATACATACAATACGGTCGAAAAAAACGTTGTCAGAGTTGGCTTAGAATGAAAATTAATGTCATTTTTATGGTGAATGCCATATAATTATAAATTATATCGCCTCCTAACTGCATTCTGTGAAGCCGAGCCAGTAAAATGGGTATATTAGTTTTCTGAAGGAATTTGCATCATAAGTCGATCAGTTAGGAGATCAGAAGCTTAGTGCGCAAGCGTGGATTTTGAATTGTCGATCGGATAACTAGACCAATAAGAGACTAGACACTAGCATCAGCTGTTCATTCGTACGGCTTTCGATTGCACTTCGTTCGACAATGGCCAATCGATTTTCGGAATTTTGAAGTTTCGCAGTAAGCCAATGCTTCCCAAATAGAAGGACTTTTGTGAAATATATATGGACCAGTTATCTAGTTATCTCTGACTCAGCTTAAATTCCAACGCATTACAGGCATAAGGAATAATCCATATATGGGTCAATGTCATCGATCGTCATTTCTATGCAAACTTTAACAAAAGGTTAAGGAAGGAGTATAATGCTATCCGTGTATTGTATGTACAATTTGACAAGTATTTTCCCGAATTAAAGATAATCTAATATTTTAGATTTTTCGGAGAGTGTAAGAGTTTTATGTCCTCGTTTGATTGAAACCATTATGTCTAATATTGTAGGTTGTATGGGATCTATTATGTCCCCATTTCTTGAGTTATAACTCATCATACAGTCTCAGGGCTTTGACAAAAGCCAGTATCAGAGACAGCTTCATAGAGGTTAGTTCTCCACCTCCGACATCAGTCCTACCTAGTCCAAACCGCGATCCCGAAATCCCGGGATCTCGGGTGTATGTTTAATCCCAAAATCCCGATATTAAATCCCAGGATCCTGAAAATCCCGAAAATTTTAAATGTACAATCTAGGATGATTCGACTTCATACACTTTAGTTTTTAAAACATCATATTTTATTTATACCAAGCAAAACGTCAATATATAAAAGTTATATTCCCGTGTTTGCTATTTTTTTTTCTTTTTCAACAAGAATTAATTTTTTTAATCACTAAATATGAATGTTACTTTGTTTTGTCTATTTTAATAAAGCTCTTTTCTCATCTTTTTGATATATGTACCTGCATTTTTATTAAGCATATCATTAGATTAAATTTCTTCTTTCAATTTCAATTCTAATAGTCAATCTAATATAGGTTCTAATCCCGGGATTTCAAAGAGAAAACCCTAGGAAAAAGGAAACCCTAGTCCTACCAAAGTTTATGGCACGAATAGTTGTCGTCTTAGCGCACTCAGTGATGAGGTTTTGGTTCCCCATTTTCCCCACAGAATCTGCATTTGCCGTTGTTTCTTGGCTTCAATCTACTGATCTGTTCGTTGAGAAGACAGTATTATATGTTAAAAACCCCGTTACAATCCAAAGATTGTTCTTCCTTAAATCAAGGAAAAACTTGATTTTTCTTGGACGTAAATAATGAAAAATGTCTTCGAGTATCCACAAACTAATTAGTCTGTTGTTATCTTAGACTTATAGTTGTTGTCTTAGACCGTTGGAGGATTCCAATTCCATACGTCTAACATGCTCTAGAATCAAATTCAAAAATATAGACTCAGTTCATAAACAAAATGTTAACGTTTCTGCTTGTCTAGATTGGAAAATCCTGAGATTTCCCGTATGATGAAAAGTCCGGATTTCAGGGGTAAATGTTTTAAAATGCCCGAATAATACCACAGTACACGGATTATACTGGAATGCCTGGTCTAGAGACCCTCCGGACTATTAAAGTTATACTGTTCAGGGTGGGTCAAATTCGACGCTTTTAAATGGAAACACCCTTTTCTATAGGACATAGACGAAAACTATCGGCTAATATCGGTGTCTGGAGCTCAATTTTCATCAAAAACATGATGGTGAAAACCACACATCAATATCTGTTACCGTTTCAGAGTTACGGGGTGATTTTCAGAAATGTACATTTTTAACAAATCGCTGTAACTTTTTTGCTATGAAAAATTTTGTATTTCTATGAAAACATTTCCAAAGCACCTTTTTACGTAGAATTTAATGGTTTAAGAATAATTTTTTTAAAATTAATAATTTAAGAGTTATCAACAGAAAAATTGATTTTTTATTTGGGACCTATCTACCTCTCTATATTTTTAATTAACTGAAAAGAATTTAAAATTACCTTTCCAAAAATATAGCACACTTGATATTTTGTTATAATCCTCTTCGAAATACAGAATTTTTAAAAGTTAGCCACTTTTAACTAGTAGGCTTTGGACCCCTCATTGATGATATGCCCTTCAAGGAACTCGAAAACATATTTTTCCAGCAAGACGACGTACCGCCTCTGAACGCTGATTTCAGCAAATTTTTGCAGCCAATTTCAAGAATAATTGAATAGCTAACCAAGATCCCAGCCGTTGGCCGTCGAGGCCGCCTGACTTAGTGCCCATGGATCTAATCCTATGGATATATTTGCGGAAGAATAAAGGTTCCTTATTCTTCCGTATAATCTAGACAAGAATTAGAAATACTTAGCAGTTATGAGAGGGTATCTTTCACCCCCACTGAGTTAATGAATTCCTCAAGAAATGTTCAAAAACTGCCCGGTCTGTCCATAACAGAAGACGGTCGATATGTCGAATACCTGTAGTAAAATCTAACGTCTTTGTTTGCTATTTATTTTTATTGTTATTAGATATAGTTTAAATGTGTTGATGTTGGTTAAATATATTTTAAATAGTTATAAAATTCTGCATCTCTCCTAGCAAATATTATTTTCGTTTTAATTGATGCTCACAGCTAGATTTTTTGCATTACAGCCGGTGCCGTTCAAAGCCTACTTATTTAAAGCGGGCGAATTTTTATATACTCTATATCTCGAAGAAGAATCCAGCAAAATATCAAGTGTGTTATATTTTTGGAAAGGTAATTTTAAATTATTTTCAATAAATTAAAAATATACAGGGTGTCCCATATAAAAAATCAAATTTTCTGTTGATAATTCTTAAATTATTAATTTTAAAAAAATTATATTTAAACCATTAAATTCTACGTAAAAAGGTGCTTTGGAAATGTTTTCATAAAAATACAAAATTTTCCATAGCAAAAAAGTTACAGCGATTTGTTAAAAATGCATATTTTTGAAAGACACCCCGTAACTCCGTAACGGTAACAGATATCGATATGCAGTTTTCACCATCATGTTTTTGACAAAAATTGAACTCGAGACATCGATATGAGTTTTTGTCTATCTCCTATAGAAAAGGGTGTTCCCATTTAAAAGCGTCGAATTTGACCCACTCTGTACATTGTATGTTTTTCTATAAGCATAAACACTATTTATTAATTCTATATATGATTTTTTAATACTTTAAATATCATTGGGTTTTTCACAATATTATCATTAATTAATATTTAAGTACATAAAATATATATTAATTATATGCATATTATACGAGTCTACATTTTTTTATATAAATTAACTATATATGTTCCTTTCAATTATCATGCAATCATCATTATTATACAACACAAAAGAACTGTTTTTTATTTAAAAAGCACACACAGACATTACACTATGTTAGTCATCAAAATCCCTTCAGAATGAACATAAAAAGTTTATATCCAGTTCTTTCATATTTTTTCTTCCTATTTCTCATTATAGGTTGTAACGTCAGTATAAATCTAAATTAGAAAATTATTATTTTCTTCAAAGGTAATGCATTTTAGGCCGCTGGTGATTTTTCTGAGAAAGTAATGAGAGATAATATGGAGCAATGTGTACATTCTAGCGGTGTCTCTGCAGAAGATATAAAAAATCTGGAAAAGTTGACTACACCAAATCATAATCAAAACTGTTTCGCAAAATGTTTGGTAGAAAAATTGGGATTTATAACTCCGAGTGGTGACATAGATATGGACAAAGTAAAAAAAGTAAGGTTTTAACAAATTTGAAAATGATATTGTCGTAATATTCTTCAATTTAAAATATTATGAAATATGTAAAAATTTATACTAAAAACCTCTTTACTCTTGTGATTTTTTTATTCACTTTTTTTCATTCACCCTGTATTATAATAACTTATGGTATATCATTTTTAGCAGGTTTCTCCTCATTCTTAATCTAAAGGCGCATTCTCACGACTCGTGTATTGACAAACATTTGTAATTGGTATACAGAGTATACACGGTGCGTCGGGCATCTATACAGAATTTCTAAGCCTTATTATGCTGCAACCGCACATGCGGCATTTAGCGAACTCCGAGCGCTCGTGATCGGACTTCGCCTTTCCATCCACACATGCGGTCTCTGATAGCAACAACATAGAGACGAGCGCTCGTTCTCGTCGCCGATCGAGTCGCCGAACTCCGACTTCTCCATCCACACACATAGGAAATCGGCGAAGCCCTGATCGGAGATCGTCAAATGTCGCATGTGCGGTTCCGGCATTATATGAGCTACGCCGCACTGCCGCCAGACCCTGTAGGCCAGTAAAAATACTTGCCAAGTACACGAGTCGTGAGAACGCGCCATAAGGTTTTACCGGTTTTACCCAACTTTTGATTCACCGGGTGAATTAGTACAGGGTGTCCCATTTTATTGTGTTTTATGGGTTTAGGAGTAGAGATACAGAGATGCGGTTTTTACATTGTGTTGTTTATTTATAAATGACTACACACAAATTGGTCCTAGCCCTCTTATTTTATGAAATACAAAGCGAATTTAAAATTGTTGCCTTTTTCGGCCCCCATCGTATCTTGGCTATTTTATATAGTTTGTCGAAAAGGTAAAAATTCTGTAGTACATGCAGTCAGTGGCGGAATCATTGGATTCAGCCAAGTGATACGATAATATTGATTTCTTTAGTCACAAACGACTCTCGAGTATGTATTTTGTGTCCAGACCCTTAAAAACTCTACAGGCCCTAGTTTTCACCTTTTCGATAAGTTATAATATAACCAGGATACGAGGGGAGTTGAAAAATACATCGATTTCAAATTCTCCCTGTATTTCAGGAAGAGAGGGTTAGGAAAAATCTGTGGGTAGTGTCTTTAGTTTCATAAAAACATGTCTTGGTAATGTGCAACCACATCTTTGTATCTTTACGCATAAACAAGAAACCCTGTAAAACACATGAAAATGGGACACCCTGTACAATGCTTAAAATTTTTTTAGGAAGACGAGCTTCACGAACTATCCCCAGAATTAATGAAATGTCTTGGAGAAGTAGGGAAGATACAAGGATGTGACGATATGCTAAAAGTTTTCGAATGTAAACAAAAATACATGTAAGACAGATTTCATATTCTTTACTACTGGGTATATTAATAAGATAAATACAGTTTACATAAATTAAACTGCCTTTTATTTTTACGCAATCCAAAATTACAGTAGACAAACAAATACATAGTCTTAACCAGCTAAAGATTATATGACAGTAACAGTCTTTCATTTTAGTTCAAAGGTAAAATTGTTTTTTCCGTTATTTTTTAATCTTATTCACTTTTGTGGAACTTATATAAACGGTTTTTATGCCAATTTATCGATTATAAACAACCTTGCCAGGTTTATGGAAAAAAAGTAAGAAATACAGTGGCAGGAATAAAAAAATCTTTATTGCATAGAAAAATAACTTAATCCTTACTTTATGCACACCCTGTACATTATCATTCCCTGTTTTTTTTTGTAAGATATATACGGGTTGTCCAAATTGCAATCGGGAAATTTCAACAACAAAGATTCAAAAGAAATTGTTATATCATAATTTTTCTTTTAATTAAAAAAAGTAAAAAGTTCTCAAATTTACCTTTTCAGTCAAATATTATCTAGCCAATATCAATGATAACATGTTTTAATTATTTCCACTCCAAATATCTTCAGAACGTTTGCTCATAGCGATCTTTACCAAGACACATTTTTTATGGGAAAAACAACGAAAATGTTTATTTAGTTTTTCTCTCAGTGGTGCAATACATCAGCTACGTACGAAAAGTTATTACCTTTCAAATTGCAAAACAGTTAAAACTATAATTAAAACTGTGTAGGTGGCGCCCCGTGCGAGTATTGGTCATATTGACACCACAATCGAAGTTTTCATATCAAAAAACATCCATACACCAATTTTCACCCAAATATCGAGGCTAGTTTAGAAAAACTTCGAAATAAAAATGAAACCAACACCCTTTCCCTTCGACATGAATCATTTTAGAACATAAATTTATACGAACTTTTTTACTTATTTTTATCTGCATGCTGTCGAAGTTTCTCGATTTCAATTCGGACCACTCTGTATATCGGGTGCGTCTCAAAAGTGGCTCACCCCCTATAACTTTTTTATTTTTTCAGATAAAACAACGATATTTGGTACGTTAGTATATGACATAAATTGGGATTGATTGACGTATTCAATTGTTTTCGGCCACTTCCGGTTTCACCAGAAATGAATACAACTTTTGATTTTTAAATGGCACCCTCGGTATTTTTTTACTTTATTCGATAGAAAATGACACTCTGAATCGAATGACATATCGTATGTCAACTTTTGACATTCTGGCATATGGTTTATTTGAAATTGTAACATGCGGTTCATAACGACAATTTGACTCAAAATACCAAGTGTGTGGTATCAAATTATTCGTAAAAAATGCTTTTTTCAAATATGCCAATGAACCACCCTCGTTCTATTTAAAAAAATTGAGATATGATTAAAAATACGATTTGGGTATCTTTTAACCGGCCAGGGCAAGCCACTAAAAACATTAGACGATCAAATCTATTTTTCCAAGGCTCCTTGGTTAAAAATTAGTGTTTTTAACACAGCCGTGGCACCCTAGATTGAAATTTAAAATAGAATTTGTTTTTGAGTGACAATGATTCAGAATGTCATTTTCTATCGAATAAAGTAAAAAAATACCGAGGGTGCCATTTAAAAATCAAAAGTTGTAGTCATTCCCGGTGAAACCGGAAGTGACCGACAACAATTGAATACGTCAATCAATCCCAATTTATGTCATATACTAACATACCAAATCTCGTTGTTTTATCTGAAAAAATAAAACAGTTATAGGGGGTGAGCCACTTTTGAGATGCACCCGGTATACCATATTTTAAAGGGTAATGCTTAATTTATTAGTTTTGATTTATTAATTAGATAATTAGTATAAAATAATTAGGTCTAGCAAATGTACAATTTTGATCACACATATTGAAGTCTAAAATCTGAATTATTAAAATTATTTTAAGGTATACACTCATATAATCAAGCTAAATAAAAATTCTACTTATGTATTAAAGTATAGGTGTATAATTTTAAGTAAAGATTTAGAGCCTTGAATAAAATATTACATTACATATAAGTTATAAAATACAACTAATGTGTTGTATATATTAGTTTCTTCTTATACCGAATAGCAAATTGAAATAATTGGGTAAATATCTATATTCAGGTAATTTTGTATGTTAAAAAAGGAATAAAAATATCTGTTGAGATTTCTAAGGCCTATTCACATTCACACATGCCAGACGCGTCTCCGTTGCAGTCTTAGATTAAGAATAAGTTGCAGTACAGTCTGAGTCTCATTCAGTTCAGTATCTGTGACGGATATTCCTACTAGAGTTTCCGGAACCGGGGCTGTTTTTCGGAACCCAGAATTTAGGAAGACGCGACTGGCATGTATAAATAGAACTTTACTTAAATGTATTTTTTTGGTATAATTAGGTGACTTATATAACTGAAATGTCGACAAGTTTGATTGTAATTAAAAGTAAATGTTATTCTCGAAAAAATTACATATTTATTGAAGAATTTTTTTAGATTCAATTAGAAGTTTCTATGAAGTTCAGAATATCTTAATTACAAATTCTCTTTAGAGTGAATATAGAATTTAGGAAGTATATTAAAATTAATTAACTTTATTTCATCAATAGAGAATCTTTCAACGTACAGCGGCGGCTGGTAGAATTTCAATGTACTGTATCTCTGGTTTTCGGCATGGGCAAATTTTAGTGAGTTAACTTAGAGGGATCAAGTTTCGATTAACTGGAATAAGTTTTGTAAGAAATGTTTGTTTATTTAGTATTTGGAAGCCTTTCTAAATAGAAAGTCACGAAAATTTTTGTGCGGAAATGTATTATTTTCAGTTTTTCAAATTTGGAATAGCTGAAATCAGTTACTGTTTCTCATTACACATTTTTCTAAACATAAACACGTAAAAAACTTCTTGCGGAAGTGTACCATTTTCAGTTGTTGATAAAATATTGTAAAATGTAGCAATATTTGAACTTAAACTCACAATTAACTATAACTCTAGCGTTACAGCATTATTTCTAGCATGCTTAAAGCGTGTTTTGATTGCAAAGAATCGGTTTGAGTTATTGAATGTTATTGCATCCACCAACCACGTAATTACGCCCTCCTTTACGCGTTTACATTATTTCGGCAATTTTATTAACAGTTGAAATTGTCAGAACACAACGAGACCCCCAATTAGAGTTCCCTTTCACTTAATTTTTATCACTCAAACCAACGCAACGTTACATCACACAAACCTCGTACCTGAGTGTTTTATAGTTTCAAAACACTTGCAAAAAAACTAAAATACTTAAATATTATGACAAAGCCACGATTTCAATAATATTTGAATGCGATCAACATGAACTGTAACCGAGACGGTGTGAAATACATAGCGAAAATTTCTGATTTCTGCCGTAGAGAGCACTGCGGTCAGAATTTTTTTAAATCAACTGAAATGCACAAAGCCTATACACTAACAACACTGCCGACGTTTATTTAATTACTGTGGTGGTTTAAGTTTTTTTTTTCTTAATTTTAATATGAATTATATTGCTTTCGTTTAAACCTTTTTTTGTGGCGATTCTGTTTTTGTCATAATTTTAATACAAATTAGATTGCTTTGGCTAGTAGTATTGGCTAGTTGAAATTTTCATTACGATTCTCTGCCTATTTTTCTATATTAATATTTCTTATTTTACTATCTTATTATCTTTAATCTTTTTAAAAAAAATATTTTACTATAATCTTTTAAATGACAACGATGAATTTCCGCAAGGAATAAGAATGACAGCTCGCAGCAAAAATCTGGTTAAGCCACTGTTAAGCCAAAACTCTATAGGACTCATCTTTTTGAGAAGTTATAAAATAACCGAGATACGAAGTGGGTCGAAAAATGCAAAAATTAGCCCTGAATTTCATAAACTAAGAGAGCTAGAACAAATCTGCGTGTAGCATTGTTGATTGAAGAAATAAGAAGATACACAGCTTTATGGGCGATTTCGTGGCACACAACCTGCCCGAGATGTAGCTGGCGTTACCGTTAGCCTGTCCGAGAATTCCGAAATTTAGTTTAGCTCTGCGCCGCTGTGCGATAGTTGTTTACAGCGCAGCGAATAAAGAATGCTGTACCGTAGCAGACCGTAGTTCTGCTTTCAGTCGACAAAGTGAGTGATTGCCGGAAACAGTATTGCCAGAACTACTGATTAATCCGTAGATTTACGTATTTTGTGTACAGTGCGTTAATAATACGGATTTTCTATGATTAAACAATTTAATATAATGTTGCGGGCCGGTGTGGACTCGACCTAACCTCACAATATGGCCCGCCCTCGGATGACCTTAACATCGCATAGACACCACAATGATTCATTCGTTCGAGAAGAATCGAGTCCCACTGGAATGGACTAGTACATACGAGAACATTCGAAAACCTTCTCTACGCACCTAACGATCTTTGGACTATTCTAGATTTCTTTTGCTGTAGGTATAAAAGCCGGCGGCAGTGGCCTAGAGAGGGCAGTTATAAATATAACAGTGCAGTTGACGCGCTAAAATTCAAAATAAATTCTTAGTTATAAATCGTTTGTAAATAGTTCTATAAGTCTTTTATCGTTATTGTTTTTGTTAATTAGTGTTAAATAAATAGTGTTTAAATAAATTGTGACTTTCTATCCACACGGAACCGACGAAAAACCGACAATGCACATGGTCAAGCAAGACACATCTTCTACCTGGTCACCAAGGAATGGTCCCCGAGTAAGCCGACTTATCTCAATCTATGGAAGACCCTGATTGAACTGAGAGAAGCCCTGCTAAACAACAACATTGCACGATTAGCCATTCCGAAGCTGGCGTGTGGACTCGATGGTTTGAGTTGGCGTACAATCCGGAACATGATTGAAGTCTTGTTCAGATTTACGGGAATCGAGATCCTCGTTTGCTGCTACAACCCAAAGCTGAGATCGGGAGAGAAAACTGTAGATTGCTATTTCTACCAGACTTCGCAATGTACCAGGGGCCAGCTTTGCAAATACCTTCATTCACCGTATACATCTCGGGACGAGCATGTACCTAAGAAGGGGGCAGTGTTGCGGGCCGGTGTGGACTCGACCTAACCTCACAATATGGCCCGCCCTCGGATGACCTTAACATCGCATAGACACCACAATGATTCATTCGTTCGAGAAGAATCGAGTCCCACTGGAATGGACTAGTACATACGAGAACATTCGAAAACCTTCTCTACGCACCTAACGATCTTTGGACTATTCTAGATTTCTTTTGCTGTAGGTATAAAAGCCGGCGGCAGTGGACCTAGAGGGGGCAGTTATAAATATAACAGTGCAGTTGACGCGCTAAAATTCAAAATAAATTCTTAGTTATAAATCGTTTGTAAATAGTTCTATAAGTCTTTTATCGTTATTGTTTTTGTTAATTAGTGTTAAATAAATAGTGTTTAAATAAATTGTGACTTTCTATCCACACGGAACCGACGAAAAACGTAACAATAATATTATATGATTAAACAAAGAACGGCGTCAGAGTTGGCTTGGACATAAGATCGCTGTTATTTCCTATGTAAATCATTATGGCAAATGTAAATAATCGTCATTTCCGAGCCAACTAAACGACTTTTTTCGATCTAGCGACATATTCAGTACCTATAAAGGAATCTTTATTTTTGTTGTGTATTCTATGTTTAATACGAATAAATTTTCAATACATAAACGCGGATTTTTCATCCAAAGATATTTTCGTCAAACGTATTATATATTACACATTTTAATACGGCAACACTGTCGCTTTCAGATCCACACCGCCTTCGCTATGCCTTCGCTGGCCGAATTAGAGAAATTAAATGTTTTATGCGTTGACTGCAGAACGATTGGTGTCTCCACTGTACAGCACTTAAAGCCGGAGTTTCATGTATCCGAAATCCGATGACACGACGATCCGACGGTGGTCGAAATATTTTTACACCAATTTTTATCCGATATTTTTAACTACTCGTCCGACGTCGTATAAAGTTAAATTTTGTTTAACTTTTGTACGATATCGTGTGTTTTTAAAACTCACTTTTTTTGAAAATATTGGTTTTTAAAAACAAGTTTAGTGGGAAGTGGGCAATTTTAGGATATTTGGCGAGGAAGTTATTTTTATAAGTTTTTCTCCAATAATACATGTAATAATGTTGATACTGTTGATAGGTATGACAGGTCTAAATGTCAAAACTGTCAAATTTCAGAACGAACTTTCGGATGTATGTGACATGCTTTTTTTTATTTCAAAGGATAACTTCAAATTTCGGATGTCGTACCATCGGATTTCGGATGCATGAGACTCTGGCTTAACACGTAAGGGAAAATCAAATCAGCCTTGTCACGAATTCGCCCATTAGGTTGCCTATCTTTTCAAATTTTTTAAATCCACGGTAGCATCTTTAGTTTCATAAAAATGTAGCACTGTGTTGTTAAAACCACATCTTTCTAACCCTACTCTTATCTCGTTATTAACCTTGCAAAACTCACGAAAATGGGACACCCTGTACACAAAATGAGAAATAAAACGCAAATTGGAAAATTCTTTTCAATAATACAAGAAAGGTTCTGGTAACTAATTGACTAAAATTTTGGGGATGGGTCCCATGCCCATAGCAAGAGACATAGTACATCAAAATTCTACCTGTATGTAAGCTGCCTGTATCTACGTACAGATTTTAGATAAGAAGATGAAAGAACCTGGTAATATGTGGATTTCGAAATCCAACTCTATACTATACGAACCGTTTAAGTTGATAGTAAAACCAATGCAAATTTTTGGTATGTACCCCATCAACGGGATGACTGTCTGGATGTTTCGAATGTACGCAGCATTGCTCCATGTTATACTCACCATTCCTTTACCCTTATTCACCATTCTCTTCTTATTCGCCCAAAACGACTTGAACATCAGAACAGTAATGGACGCCTTGTTTATGTTCTCCGAAATCGGAATCACCATTCTCAAGTATCTAACCATCAGATCTTTCCCAGAGAAAACCAAAAAGGTACTGGACTGGTTGACTGTTGATTTGTTTAATACATACCACGAAGATCAGAAAAGAATCGTTCAAAAGACTTCGGAATCTTGCAGGAATGTATATCTGTATTTTTTGGCCACCTGTATGGGAACGTTGTTCACTTGGAATTTTAGACCGCTGTTTAACGGAGCTGATTCGTTGCAGACCACTGTGTGGCTGCCGTATAATCCCTTCGCGAATAATTATCTGTATGCTTGGACGTACTGTGCAATATTTCTAGGTAGGTTAAATTGGATAAAAAAAGAGAGTCAAAATCAGTTTTTTATGTCGTATTTTCCAAAATTAGATACTAAAAAGAAAAAAAAATTTACTGGTAGGGGAGCGTGTATAGGGTGGGCCAAATTGGTCACTTTTAAAGGGCCTTTTATGAAACACCCTTTTTATGAAAACATTTCCAAAGCACCTTTTTACGCAGTATTTAATGGTTTAAGTAAGTATATATATTTTTTAAATTAATAATTTAAGAGTTATCAACAGAAAAATTGATTTTTTTTTTATTTGGGACAACCTGTATCTTTTAATTAACTGAAAATAACTTAAAATTACCTTTTCAAAAATATAGCACATCTTGATATTTTGTTATAGTCCCCTTCGAAATGCAGAATTTTTAAAAGTTCGCAAGTTTTAACTAGTAGGTTTTGGACCCCTTATTGATGATCTGTCCCTAATGGAACTCGAAAACATATTTTTGCAGCAAGACGAGGCACCGTCCTACAACGCTCAAATTATCAGCAATTTTTTTTTGCAGCCCATTTCGAGAATAATTGAATAGCTAACCAAGGTACCTGCCGTTGGCCGTCCAGGCCGCCGGACTTAGCGCCCATGGATTTTTGTCTTTGGGGTAGACTAAAGGTTCTTACCTTATTTTTAAATTGCCATACTAGACAAGAATTAGAAGTACTTACTTAGCGGTTGTGCGAGGGTATTTTTCACCCCCACTGAGTTAATGAATTCCGCGAGAAATGTTCAGAAACGGTCCCGTCTGTGCATAACAGAAGACGGTCGACATTTCGAAAACTCCCTGTAGCAAAATCTCATGTCTTGGTTAGCTATTTATTTTTTTTGTTATTAAATATAGTTGAAACGTGTTTTTGTTGTTAAATATAGTTTAAATTGATATAAAATTCTGAATCTCTCATTGCAAATCTTATTTTCGTTTTAATTTGTTTCATTTTTCTCCATTACAGCAGGTGCTGTTCAAAGCCTACTTATTTAAAGTGGGCGAATTTTTAAAAACTCTATATCTCAAAGAGGAGTCGAGCAAAATATCAAGTATGCTATATTTTTGGAAAGGTAATTTTAAATGCTTTTCAATAAATTAAAAATATACAGGATGTCCCATATAAAAATCAAATTTTCTGTTGATAAATCTTAAATTATTAAGTTTAAAAAAATTTCACTTAAACCATTAAATTCTACGTAAAAAGATGTCCTGGAAAAACATTTCCAAAGTATCATAAAAATACAACATAGCAAAAAAGTTACAGCGAATTGTTAAAAAGCACATTTTTGTACCCCGTAACTCCGAAACGGTAACAGATATCGATATGCGGTTTTTACCATCATGAGTTCCAGACACCGACATAGTTTTCGTCTATTTCCTATAGATAAGGATGTTTCCCTTTAAAACTGTCGAAATTGACCCACCCTGTACAGGGTGGATCATTTTGGTTGTTTCTATAGGGTATCTAGGAAACCATGAGAAATATTCAAATTTTGATACTGCAGTCTCGGGTTCTTTTTTTGAAAAAATCACAATGGCGCAAACAGATCGTGGCTATCTTGATCGGTTTTGAAGCTACAGGGGGATTCTCAAATTTTGTTCTTTTTGAAGATGTTCGATAGTTTGTTTATTTCAACAACTACGCAAAAATGAATTAAACATTCTAAAGGCACATTTCTGAGTAGAATGCAGTGGCGTAGTCAGACTTTTTTCTAGTAGCTGAAATAAACAAACTATCGAACATCTTCAAAAAGTACAAAATTTGAGAATCCCCCTGTAGGTTCGAAACCGATCAAGATAGTCACGATCCGTTTGCGGCATTGTGATTTTTTCAAAAAAAGAACCCGAGATTGCAGAATCAAAATTTGAATATTTCTTACGGTTTCCTAGATACCCTATAGAAAACAACCAGAATACCTGTCCACCCTGTATACTGTACAGTTATATGGCAGCATCCAAGTGTACTTGGTCCAAGTAACTTTGATCATGTCAACTCGCTTTTAATTAAATTACAATATTCTAGGTACCTGCAATGCAGCTTTCGGAAATTCATCTCTGGATTGTCTAATTACTGGTTTAATATGTCAAGCTGCTGGCCAAATTAAAATCATTAAAAGTACAATGAAGAATATAATTAGGCACGCTGAAGAATCGATAGACAGTCAAAAAAAGAATTTATCCCCTGAAGATTGTGAGAAGTTGAAAAATAATTACATTTACAAGGATATATGTTTGTGCGTTGACAGATACAACTTAGTAAAAGAGTATGTATTCAAATCAAAACTACAATAACATTAAATCACCCTGCATGTAATAAAAACAAGATAGTATACTAAAATAAATAAAGCAAATGTTTACAAAATTATGTGTGCACTATGTGCGCATATTTGAAGTGAAACTTCTCGCTACAGCTATTAAATTGAAGGATTTGAAGGACATGTTTAAAAAAGTGTAGTTTGAAATGTTGAAGAAGTAATCAAATAAAAATTAATGAATAATTTGATTCACTTTCACAAAATTTGTATTGAAATGACCGTCTGTCCGTCTGAGGACTCCATTCGGGTACCTCTATCCACGTGACGAGTTTGGTTCCAATCGACCCATAATTAAGGAAAATCCTGATGATTTCGTACATTTAGAGGCATCAGTTCGAAACGTCGAGGGCGTTAGCCCGTCCCCAATTATGCCGAAATCGACCCACATTTTTCTTCAATATCAAATCCTTAGTCCTACCCTGCTGCAGATGTAGATCTGTAAATAAGTAAAATTGACAGATTTTCTGTAATTTACACTTTTTCTTGCTGGGTAGTATATTTCGCATGCAATTTACAAGAAAAGTATATATTTACAGAAAATCTGTAAATTTACAGAAAATTAAAATAATTAAAATGTACGAAAGCATAGAGCTGCCATAAAAACATTAAAAAATAGTTTTAGCAAAATTTACACTTTTTCTGTAAATTTACACTTTTTTCTGTAAATCAGTACAATTTACAGAATTTGCAATTATAGATAATATATAAAGATAATTTACAATTTACATTAATTTATACTTTTTCTTGCCGGATAGTATATTTCGCATGCAATTTACAGAAAAAGTATACATTTACAGAAAATTAAAATAATTAAAATGTACGAAAGCGTAAAGCTGTCATAAAAACATTAAAAAAATATTTTTAGCAAAATTTACACTTTTTTCTGTAAATCAGTAAAATTTACAGATTTTCTGTAAATTTACACTTTTTCTGTAAATCAGCAAAATTTACAGATTTTCTGTAATTTACACTTTCTAGGTAGTATATTTCGCATGAAATTTACAGAAAGTGTAAATTTACAAAAAATCTGTAAATTAACAGAAAAAGTGTAAATTTATAATTTACAGAGAAAGTGTAAATTTAGAGAAAAACTGTAAATTTTGTTAAACATATTTTTCAGTGTGGCAATGGCACCTCTACGCTTTCATAAAAATTAGAGCCAAAATAGATTTTACCCCCGCGATATCAAATATCCATCTATCAGGTACTTCCATATTTTTCTTAGTAAATTCATAAGATTGCGAGTCAATGTTTAGCGGATATTTTGATGAAGAACCCTGCTGTAAACGAAACGTCGTATCCAATATTGGCAGGGTGGGGGCGTGTGCACCGTCGCCTACCCACCAAATTTGGACGCAATCGAACGACATCAGCGTTTGACGTTTCTTGCGTCAAAGCCCCCTAGCTCATATAGAGCCTTAAGTTACAATGCTCCAAATAAAAACGCTTTTCGTGACGAGTTTCGTGACGCCAGATCGTGTGTCACGGCCTTGAATTTTTACTTCCAGCGCGCGTAAAGAAGTTCCACTTCAACAGACAATATAGTGATTAATACCAATGTTTAATCGAAAAAAATTGGAAAAATATAAATAGTAACGTTGTTTTCTTTTAGATTTGTGAACGACATTGAAGACACATTTTCTATACCATTATTTTGGCAGTTTGGGGCAAGTGTTTTTGTTATCTGCTTAGGATATTTACAATTTTTCTTTGTAAGTCATATATAAATTAATTTTAATCAAGCAAATTAATTATTTAAATAATTTTTAAAACCGTATGATCGAAAAAAAAACGGCGTCCAGTTGGGTTGGAAATGACATGCCCCATATAAAATGACAGTGATCTTCATTTTATAGCCATCGCTGACGCCGTTTTTTTTCGATCATACGGTACAATTGAAATTAGTACCTATAATATTATGCAAAAAATGTGTTTATAAATTCCTAATATATAAGTAAATGATATTTAGGTTTATTTTAGTGTGATTTTAGGTTGAATTGTGGAGTTTTAATTTTTTTACAATAGTATCCTTCGTAGTGACAATGAGCTGGGAAGTATTTCTATATTGTTATTTTGGATCTATTCTTTATAACGAGGTAAATACATTAATGGCAAATGTTTTAGAGTATTCAAATAAATGCTTGTTTTTTAAGATTTTTTAAAATATTTTATGTTACATATATACAGGGATAGGCAATAGTGCGTCGGGCATCTGTAGGTCCCAGGATAAAAACTTTAAATTTTTGTTTAAATGCAGACCTAAAGTTTGTACGAGGATGTATTTCAGGAAAATATTTTAACTGCTATAGGGTGGCTCAAAAAAGTGTGAGTGGATCGGGATGATTTTTTTAAATGGAACACGTGTATATTATTGCATTTTTGGCTTCCTTTCAGATCACTTTACATAATTCTAAAATATTAGTAAATATATGTCGATAACTTCAGAGATATTAATAAATAAATAAAAAATATATATTTTTCAACCTTCCTAAAAATTATGACAAATACAAGAACTGTCCTGAAATCAAAACGACATTAGGTATTTATTTTAGATGATTATACTTAACTTTGCTATAAATATCGTAATCTTAAATCATACAGGATTTTCAAAATTCTACGCCAAACTTTCAAAAATATAAAATAATTTTTCTTCGTTTTTTTAATGGAACACTCCGTTCTTTTTTTTTGTATTTAGAGTATTTCAAATTTTTTAACGGTTTCGCAGATATTCGCGGTTTTATATATCGTTTTGGTATTATCCACAATAATTTTTTATCAAAGCCACCCAATGATTTTGCTCCCATATTTTAGAGTTGACAGAGCCATATGAAATAATACTGCGTGTATCCGGAAAACTATTAAAAATTTTGAAATACTCTAAGTACAAAAATGTTCATTTTTTAATTTTCCATTCTAATGAAAAAATAATATACAAGGGTGTTCCATTAAAAAAAATCATCCCTCGACACACGGGCCTTTTTTGAGCCCCACCCCCCATAGAAGTTAAAATATTTTCCTGAAATACATCCTCATACATACTTTAGATTTGCACTTAAACAAAATTCCTAAGTATTTTTATTCTAGGAGCTACAGATATCCGACGCACTATTACCATTACCGGACCCTGTCTTTTTATGTATAAAATTGAACCATAGACTTAAAAAAGTCTATGAATTGAACCATTCACTATTTATAATTAAATGTAAAATTTCAGAGTGCTTCATTAATAACGGACATATACGTCACAGACTGGTTGAACTTGGATATTAAATGTCAAAAAGCTCTTGTAACCATAATGGAGAATGGAAAAAGGCCACTAATTATAAGAGCTGGAAAAATTATAGACATATCATTAGACACATTCGCTACAGTAATACTATTATTTCAAATAAAGTATGATCGAAAAAAAACGGCGTCCAGCTGGCTTGGAAATAAAGATCGATGACATTCCGCATACCGGGTGCGTCTCAAAAGTGGCTCACCCTTATAACTTTTTTATTTTTTCAGATAAAACAACGAGATTTGGTATGTTAATATATGACATAAATTGGGATTAATTGACGTATTCAATTGTTTTCGGTCACTTCCAGTTTCACCGGAAATGACTACAACTTTTGTTTTTTTTTACTTTATTCGATAGAAAATGACACTCTGAATCGAATGACATATCATACGTCAATTTTTGACATAGTCACTCAAAAACAAATTCTATTTTAAATTTCTAGAGTGCCATGGCTGTGTTAAAAACACTAATTTTTAATCAAGGAGCCTTGGAAAAATAGATTTGATCGTCTAATGTTTTTAGTGTCTCGTCCTGGCCGGTTAAAAGATGCCCAAATCGTATTTTTAATCATATCTCAATTTTTTCAAATGGAACGAGGGTGGCTCATTAACATATTTGTTATTTTTTCAAAAGCATTTTTTTACGAATAATTTGATACCACACACTTGGTATTTTGAGTCAAATTGTCGTTATGAACCGCATGTTACAATTTCAAATAAAACCATATGCCAAAACGTCAAAAGTTGACATATGATATGTCATTCGATTCAGAGTGTCATTTTCTATCGAATAAAGTAAAAAAATGCCGAGGGTGCCATTTAAAAGTCAAAAGTTGTAGTCATTTCCGGTGAAACCGGAAGTGACCGAAAACAATTGAATATGTCAATCAATCCCAATTTATGTCATATACCAAATATCGTTGTTTTATCTGAAAAAATAAAAAAGTTATAGGAGTGAGCCACTTTTGAGACGCACCCGGTATAATTTCATATACAAAATGACAACGACCATCCAAGCCATCTCCAAGCCATCTCCAAACCATATCCAAGCCATCTCTGACGCCGTTTTTTTTTCAATCGTACAGTATTACTTACGTAAGTTTATTAATTTTATTTTTTTAGATCTTAAAAAGAGCATATTCTGTGATGGCTGTGGTTAATAAATTCATTGAAAATTGAACGATATTAGCAAACCAAATACGACTAACCCGTAATGACAAATGACTGAGATTTTAAATAAATTTGAACACTAAAGATGCAAAATCATTTTTACACCCTTTTAATTTTAAGAAAAATCTAGCTTACTGTCTAGTACTACTACTGCCATTATTCGCTGACGAGTACCTATTTGACATGCATCAGAAGATGGTTACGCAAGGCGTTTTCTTTCATGAGCTTTTCTGTGACTGAAAAGCCCGATACGTGATGTTATCCCTCTTCCGCACTCCGGACATTCAAAAATCTCATTGTCTTGTTGCCTCTATAGTTTTTGGTTGCCGCTGTTTACTGAGTTGTACTACTATTGTGCGCTGCTTCTTCCCACTGATTCTGTATGTTTATTCCCTTTAAGTTTTCGTGGAAAATATCCTTGTCTCTTTTGAGTTGTCCACCCGGTTTCCTCTTACCGTCTACAAGCTCACCGTAAAGAAGAGATTTTGGTAGGCGGTTTTCTTGCATTCTGCATACGTGACCAGACCATCTTAAGCGAGATTTAGTAATCATAACTTTAACGCTCTGGTAGCTAGCTTTTTCTAGGACTGATACGTTTGGGACATGGTGGAACCATTTGATTCTTAAAAGTTGTCTAAGGGTCTAGATTTCTCTCAACATTATTTCAGCGTATTAGATAGCAAAAACATTTTTATAATTTATTTTGTTTTCAAATATAGCAAATAAATACAACACGCCATTTCAAGTAATATACTATTATATACGTTGTAAAATGTAATTAAATTGCAAAGGAAATTGCTATTGTGTATTTATTTATACCTATTTTTCCAAACATTTAAAATTTTTTAATCATATAGTTTTATTCAAACATCAAGTCCTACATAATGGGCCTACACATAAGGTTATACCTGTCATTCTTGCCTGCTCAGTCAAAACGTGTCTAGTAAAACTTTGTGTATAGAGGAAAAAACGGCCTGTGTTACTTGAACTGAATTAAGACATTCAGTTTTACAACAAAACTGTAGTTTCAACTACACTGAAAGAATTTGAGTGAATTTACAAAAAATAACATGGATGTATTAGGGCTCAAACGCTTTGACGACCAGGTCGCAGCGACCAGCCAACGGCCACACCAATAAAATGACCCAAGGCGCGAACAAAAAAACGAGGTTTGGTATGTTAGTATATGACAAAAATTAGGATTAATTAACGATTTAATTGTTTTTGGTCACTTCCTGTTTCACCGGACATGACTATCAACGGAAATGACTACAAATTTTCATTTTTAAATGGCACCCTCAGTATATCTCTACTTTATTGGATAGAAAATGACACTCTAATAGAATGACATACCATATGTCAAGTTTTGAGATTTTCGCATATGGTTTATTTGAAATTGTAAAATGCGATTCATAACGACAATTTGACTCGAAATACCAAGTGTGTGGTACCAAATTATTCCTAAAAAATGCCTTTTCCAAATATGCTAACGAGTCACCCTTGTGCCATTTGAAAAAATTGAGATATGATTAAAAATATGATTTGGGCATCTTTTAACCGGCCAGGACAACACAAGAAAAACATTAGACGATCAAATATATTTTTCCAAGGCTCCTCAATTAAAAATTAGTGTTTTTAACACAGCCACCCTAGATTCAAATTTAAAATAGGCCTTTTTTTAAAGCGAAAATGTCAAAAGTTAACGTATGATATGTCATTCTACTCAGAGTGGCATTTTCTATCGAATAAAGTAGAAATAAATCGAAAAAAAAAAGTAGTAATCATTTCCGGTGAAACAGGATGTGACCAAAAACAACTGAATACGTCAATCAATACTAATTTATGTCGTATACTAAAATACCAAATGTCGTTTTTGTATCTGAAAAAATAAAAAAGTTATAGGGGGTGAGCCACTTTCGAGTAACCCAGATTACAGCATTTTCAATACGCGACTTTAAAAATTTAATATTTTTGCATAGTTTTACAAAATAATGTAATTTACAAAATCGTATAGTATTAGTATTAGAGATATTTAATCATTTAAACCATAATAAATACAATTTTGTATTTGTATAGTAAAATTTCACGTGTTTTATTTTCAATTTTATTAAACAAAATTCTTCGTAAAATAAAACACTAAATCACCACAGTACACCAAAACACTTTTACTTTTACACTGGACGGGTTACAAATTTTTAACTATTTTGAGTTTATAATCATATGCTGATGATGCTAACATGGTTAGCGAAAGGCGCGTCCAGTGTAAAAGTAAAAGTGTTTTGGTGTATTGTGGTGATTTAGTGTTTTATTTTGCTGTGTAACACCAAAGGTTCCAACCCTCAACTGTAATAAAATTCTGTATTTTATAAAACCGCAGGTAAAATTGCAGTATATGCGCTAGTTTTTAATCCCGTCTTATCTGATAGGTAAAACTTTATGTGTAATAGGGGCTTTAGACAAAATTAAACTTTTAAAAAATGCTATTAAGAAAGGAAATTCTATTAACAAAAGACAAAAATCCAAGAAACAGAGTAAAAAAACAACAAAAAGAAGAAAGAAAAAAAAAACAATCTATTGCTCTATCATATTTCTGATATTTATTTAGAAGTAGTAATTAATAGAGACCTTACATTTTATAATCTACCCCTAAAACCTTAGATTATTTTTGAACTTATTTTATTCAGAATCACAGCAACAAAGTATTCTAAAATAACCCATTACAACAAAAATGTGAAGAAAAGGATATACAATTTATCAATATTTGTAGATATATACTTTTGTAATAATTGTATTAATAACTCCATAACTGCATTGTATTTTTGTACAGTATTAGCAACCATGGTGTTAAATTTATTGTCCATAAAATATGAAATTATAAAAAACCCATCTGAAATGTGAGACCTTCGTTTAGTAATTCTTTCAATTAAATGGAATAGGATGTGTGAAACAGGAAATTATTATTTGTTATTAAATTACTTATTGTTAGATTTTGACAAAAGATGGGTTATATATAAATATATTATAAACTAGCTGTAAAACATTATCATCCTGTGTGAGGTCTTCAAAGCTAACAAAATACTAGAAAATCTAAATTACGACAAAATGTCACAAAATATCTTCAGTCTGTGTTTAGTATTACTGTTGGGGGTTGAATTGGTAAGTATTAATATGCAGGGTGTTTCAAAAAGCATGTGCCATCTCTCGTTTGGAGATTCCTCACGTAAAAATAAGATTTATTTTTTATATCAACAACCTTGCAGGAATTGTGCTTATTACAACCTAACCGATTTTGCTTTGTTTCGTAGCTACAGGTAGTTAAATTTTCCTTTTTTTTCCATTTACTGTAATTTTCTTCCAAGTACTTTTTGTGAATGCTTCCAAGTGCGACATATTTTAATGCTAAAAAAGTGTGGACGGATTCACCAGGGACGTGCATATGGGTTATCACTGAAATATCTTTTCGGCCACTTCCTAAAAAAACATATGCACGTCCCTGGTGAACATGTCACTTTTTTCGCATCGCATTAAAATATGTGGCATTTATGGAATCTTTTACCTCCAAAATTTCATTCGAATCGCTAAAATCACTTGGAAGAAAATTATAATAAATAAAAGAATAAAATGAAGACCTTAGGGAATGAGTTTATAAAAATCGATTTTTAGTACTCAAATACATCACTTAAGGAACCTCTGCTCCAAGTTCATGCTCCAAGAATCAGTTTTAATTTTTTTTTGTGCAAACTTTCACTTTTAATTTCACCCCCTTAGGAGATAAATATTCATCAAAAATCGCTTCATAGTGCCCAATTGCTTCACTGAAGAATTCTTTGCATAAAAATGCATAGTCTTATTAGATCAGATCTTTACATTTTTTATACAAATTTTAAAAAATAAAAAGTTAGTAGTCATTTCCGGTGAAACAGGAAGTAATCGAAGTTACTTGAATACGTCAATCAATCCTGATATATTTCATATACATCTGAGAGTGGTACATCTCGAGAGTGGCTCACCCCTATAACTTTCTTATTTTTTCAGATAAAAAAAGAGATTTGGTAATTTAGTATATGACATAAATTAGGATTGATTGACGTATTCAATTGTTTTTGCATGGTCACTTCCTGTTTTACCGGAAATAACTACAACTTTTGATTTTTAAATAGCACCCTCGTTATATTTCTACTTTATTCCATAGAAAATAACATTCTGAATAGAAGGACATATAACATGCCAACTTTTGACATTTTCGCTTAAAGAAAAATCGTATTTTAAATTTCAATCTAGCCATGGCTGTGTTAAAAATACTAATTTTTAATCAAGGGGCCTTGGAAAAATAGATTTAATCGTCCAATGTTTTTCGTGTCTTGTTCTGGCCGGTTAAAAGATGCTCAAATCGTATTTTTAATTTCTTCAAATGGGACAAGGATGACTCATTTGCATAGTTGAAAAAGGCATTTTTTACGAATAATTTGATACTACAGACTTGGTATTTTGAGTCAAATTGTCGTCATGAACCGCATACAATATGACATATCATATATGTAATTCTATTCAGAGTGTCATTTTATATCGAGTAATTAAGTAGAAATATTATAAAATACGTTTAAAAATCAAAAGTCGTAGTTATTATTCCGGTAAAACAGGAAGTGACCAAAAACAATTGAATACGTCATTCAATCCTAATTCATGTCACATACTAATATACCAAAAATTGTTTTTTATCTGAAAAAATAAAAATGTTAGGGGTGAGCCAGTTTTGAGACGCACCTGGTATATTAAAATATCGAATCTCGGTTATGACTGAAAAGATTATAAATGTTTTAATGGTGAGCCACCCTTGAAAAACTCCCGGCATATCATAGGTTAAATAAAAGATAACTTAAAATTACGAATAAAAAACTTACAAAACATAAAAAACGTGGGGGATATTTTTGCCGAAAAACCTACACTTGTTATTTACTGGTTAATACTACTTCGCTTGGTTTAAAATTTCTATTTAGGTTGTAGGTAGCGCCTCTGAAGAAGATGGCCCACCAGCTCCAGGCATGCTCAAAATGCTGTACCCCAAATTGACGAAAGAGCAGGCGAAAAAATGCATAGACGAAACCGGCGTGTCCAGATCCGATTTCGAATCGAGCAGATCTGGTAATGAGCCCAATTCTAAATTACTTTGTTTCGCCAGATGCATGGTCTTGGCTAGCGGGACCCTAACTAAAGATGGAGAAATAATATCCGACCTAGTAAAAGTAAGTTATGTACGCCGTTTTTTTTAAGATCATACGGTATCTATCTAATTTGAGCCTCCTTTAGTCATTGCATGTTTTTCCTCTTGTAAAGACAATTCGGGGATATACTGTACAGGGTGAACCATTGGTTGTTTCTATAGGGTATCTAGAAAACCGTGAGAAATATTCAAAATTTGATACTGCAGTCTCGGGTTCTTTTTTTGAAAAAAAAAATACAATGGCGCAAACGGGCCGTGGCTATCTTGATCGGTTTCAAAGCTACAGGGGGATTCTCAGATTTTGTACTTTTTGAAGATGTTCGATAGTTTGTTTATTTCAGCAACCACGGAAAAATGAATTATACATTCTAAAGGCACTTTTCTGTGTAGAATGCAGTGGCGTAGTCAGACTTTTTTCGAAAAAAATATTTTTTGAGATATTAACTATACCTACTTATGTTTTTTTTAAATAGAATCCCTCTATCTGCTGCTGATTTATATTTTGAGCGGTATCCAGAGCGCAAGCAACCTAACCCAGCCATTTTTAAAAGGTTAGAAGACAGTTATCAATTTTGGATCTTTTCAACAACCGCGTCCGAAAAATTATCAGGAAGAAGATGAAGAAAATCAATATATTAATGTCCTCGGAGCCGAATACATGAATTAGCAATTAAATAAAATCGAATAATACGAAATATAAAAAATAAGTGTAACAAATAAAAAATAAGTGTGACAGAAACAGAAGAACATATTTTAATATAAACTCAAGAGGTTACTTCAATCGGGCTTCTCAGTTAATATAAAAAAAATAAAAACACAAAGACTACATTAAATGTTCAGACTGCTGCCCATTATTATCTAGACAGAGTTGGTACCGTCTCCGCACGCCGCCGCTAACAGCATTTCAATAGCTCTACTTGATGTTGTTGGATCTAGTGTTACGGCTCCGAGGACATTAATATATTGATTTTCTTCATCTTCTTTCTGATAATTTTTCGGACGCGGTTTTTGAAAAGATCCAAAATTGATTAAACTATCTTCTAACCTTTTAAAAATGGCTGGGTTAGGTTGCTCGCACTCTGGATACCGCTCAAAATATAAATCAGCTGCTATTTGCTTATGTTTGTTAGACTCAATATAACATTCTAACATATATTATATTTTTCAAAATTTTCAAATTTACTCATTTTTTATTATTTAAAATACACACACTTCAATCTGTTGAAATGAAATGTCAACAATGAAATTGAAATGAAATGCCAATCAAAGGTATGTTCCGATTACAATAACATCGTTCTATCTACTATCTACTAAGTGGATATTTTAAGAAAAATTTGAAATGTTGAGGTTAATAGTGAAAATAAATATAGTGTTATATATTTTCGGGAAGCCCATGCCAAGCTGAATAAGAAAATTTAAAAATATATAGGGGGTTCTATTTAAAAAAAAAACATAAGTATAGTTAATATCTCAAAAAATATTTTTTTCGAAAAAAGTCTGACTACGCCACTGCATTCTACACAGAAAAGTGCCTTTAGAATGTATAATTCATTTTTCCGTGGTGGCTAAAATAAACAAACTATCGAACATCTTAATAAAGTACAAAATTTGAGAATCCCCCTGTAGCTTCGACACCGATCAAGATAGCCACGATCCGTTTACGCTATTGTAATTTTTTCAAAAAAAGAACCCGAGACTGCAGTATCAACATTTGAATATTTCTCACGGTTTCCTAGATACCCTATAGAAACAACCAAAATGGTCCACCCTGTACATAGTTCAATCATCCATGTGTATGTGTACTATATGGCCATAACCTTATTTTTTAGGAAAATGCTCCAAAGTTTCTGGTCGGAAATGCTCTGGACGATGCAGTGACATGTCTGGAAGCGATACAAGATAAAATAGTCACGTGCGACGATATGAAAAAGGTGATAAAATGTATTCCAAAACCACCAAGGCGTCCAGAATAACATTAGATCATGTATAAGTGTTATACTATGCGAGTTATTGTCTTGTTTATGTTAAGGTTTTCCAATAAAGTTGTATAAGAAAAGTAATGTTTTATATTAGCATACGCGGATACTTTTAAATTCGCTTCATTTTTGTCGAAAAGATATCAGAGACATTCGATCGACATCAAAAATAAAAAAGTGCCCATTACATAATCAAAAAATTAAATAGGCATACCGTGCTGGCAACTGTTACTTTTGGGTCGGCATTTACATGTGTGGAAATAAATCGCATAGGGATCTTATTAAGTCGGAGTGAGAGAAATGCGACGGTGTGCTGTTGCGGTGTTGCCGGTACGCCTTTCCCTATCAAGTAAAGTAAAATCACGATCGCAAACCGCTTTTTTTTAAAGACTTTTCTTTCAAAAGATAACTAGATAAAATCATTAGACATGTTTCTGAGCATCTGAAATGGAATTATAAGGATATCGTTAAGGTGTCATTTTTTTTATAACGAGAAAACGTCAGTAATCGCGATAATTTAAAAATTCAACTTTTTAACACATAACAGACCATAACTCAAGAACCACTTAAGATATTGAAACTTCTTTTTATTTTCAAGATCGGATATTTTACAATATGTTTTCATAAGAAAAATTCGATAAGATTGTTTTTTCCATTCAAAAATTTTAAACAATCCATCCATTTACTTTTAGAGCATAGCAATTTTCAGCAATCGTGTAATTTTTTTATTGATAAAGATTTTCACATACTGTCTACAAAGAAAATACAGCAGAAATATTAACAAAGTTCTTGAAAAAACTACAATCTATTATTTCTAATAGATTTCGAGATATCGATTTTTGAATTCAGAGTCTAATAGCGCGACCACTATCCAACACCCACTCAATTCCACTTATTTTTACCAAAAATGCAAGTGTTTCTAGCTTGCACTTGCAAAAAAATTCAAGCTATAGGGAAAATTACAACGACTCGTTAATAAATAAACAAATTAAGTATCACGACACGTAATTAAATCGTGAGGCTAAACGCATGACGTACACCTTTCCCTTGAACTTTAAGTACTGACAGAGGTATTGATTGGGTCGACCGGTCAACTGCGACAAATCTGCTATATCCCCTTCCACGTCTCTTAGCGATGTGCACAGTTTCTCGGTTTATTTCATACGTTTGGCAACGTGTTTACTGTCCTCTCTGTGTTCAGTATATTATAAACGCATTGTACTCTTCTTACATACGGAAATCTCGACCCAAGACTAACCTTTGCCAGCCCTTGGTATACTATGAGAGGATAAATATAAACCAAACCAAAACAAATTTTTCGTGTATTTGCTATTTAAACTCGTGTATTTCTTTAATCCGCGGTTTACAGTATTCTCCGATGGTGGCAGATGGGTGGCAGCACCCGTGGAGAATGCACCAAGCCTATACAAAAGACTGAACCACAAGTCGTTGTAATGTAGATACAACTTGGCTTGTATGTTATATTTGCAACGTTTTGTCAACGTACCATTGGTAATGGTGTGGATCCGGTGGCTGACCTTGAAACGAGTTTTTGCTGCATATAGTCACAGACACTACGCAGACGCACATCTTCGATGTTGCCAGATTGCAAGTTATTTTGGAATTATTTTCAGTAGAAAACAAATATGTGCTTTTCAGTGTTTTTTTGTCAATATATACCGTATGATCGAAAAAACGGCGTCCAGTTGGCTGGGAAATGACGATTGAGGACATTTCCCATATAAAATGACAGCGATCTTCATTTCATAGTCATCGCTGACGCTATTTTTTTTCAATCATAGTACGCCGTATATTATTTATATTATTATTTTAATATTTCGCACAACACGTGAACGCTTATTATGTATTTTCATAGTAAATAAAATTAAATAGAAATAAAACTCTAGATTCCCATAATTAATCTAATTGCTCTAGATTATTATGCTACGTTTAAAAAGTGCTTCATTAAAAATTCGGATATGTCCTTTGGGTATGTCCAAGTTTTTTCTTTTTTTTTTAATTTTTAAATGCTGTAGCTCCATGTCATGTTCATAATAGGTTTTTTTTTAACAATCCATCAAAACTACGGAGGCTTTAAAAGCGTCCGTAAGCGTCCGTAATTAAAATTATAGAATCAGCTTCAGCAACATTAACAGTTACCTTGTTCAATTCTGCTATACATATATTGCATTAATTTTCTGCTACCTTCGGTAGCAATCTATTCTTACACCTAATGTATGTGATTTTCTTAGCATATATGATTTATAAGCCATATTTTTCCTAATGGAAGGATGGAATAGGATATGCAAAATTAAGATATTTTAACATTTATTTTCCAGACAAAGCATAATATAGTATTAAGATTAAGACATAACAAATATTATAAGAAAGATCTTAATATAAATCACAAACTAACTAAGTCTTAATTTCGTCTTGTAGTCTTGTATAAACATAGGTATAAAACTAATAAGATCAAAACTCAATCTTCTCCATATTGTCAAGATTTGGCATTTTAGAAAACAAGAAATTACAGTAAATTAAGAAAAGAATATCAAGGTACACGATATTAAATACTGTAATGTATTCTACGACACAAACCATCTCCCTTCTAAAGAGAAAAAGATAAAACATAAAGCTTATTCAGCTTATTTTAGTCTTATCAACACACTCTTCGACAAAATATTTGTCTAAAATTGCTAATAATCCACTAACTTGATATTTTTAAGAAATTATGATACAAACATTATAATCAAAGTAGGTAAAATGTTACCTTTATCTCCCATTGATGTGTATTGTTCTATAAAACTCGTCATGGTAGTACTTTAATACATATAACCAAAACTATTGTTGCCTGTAAATTACTTAGATTAACAATAAAAAGTAAATAACTAGAAATTAAACAACTTGGATGTGTAAAACTTGGAAAATAAGTTCGTCATAATAATGCTTTTATTTATTCACTATTCTAATAAACAATATGCATTCCTTCGGAAACTCTCTAGTTATTTATCTAGTAATGCTAACATGCTGTGTAACACTCTATTTGAAAGTCGATTAGAGAAAATAGTATGATTCATTGGCAAGCGATGTAAATATTTGTGATCAGGTAAAATTGTGATGTAAGAGGAGGCTTAGCTTGGTGGCGCGCGGCAGGTCAGTCAGTTGTTGATAGGCCGGCCGGCTGTGTAGTGTTGTGTTTTGTCACAGAGCTGACAAATGGAGGTTGCGAGTCTTTTGACAAATATAGTTGCAAGTCGTTTGACTGTAAGCCAACGGGGTCGTTTGACCACGGTAAGGAAACCTCTTGTGACGTCCTGCCTTCGAATTGGTCTTGAGAGTTTGAGGTCTCCATAATGTCTTCTCAATTGACGATGCGGCGTTGGGATAGTGAGCTACCCAATAGCCTATTCGATTGGGATGCGAATCTGTTTAGCGGCAGAGTTGCGGCCGGGGGAAGCCCCTATACTATTTCAGGTGACACTAGCTAGTTGTTGAAGATTATTAACCAATAGATCCGAATAATATTTGAATTAGATGGAAGATATGGAATGTGATATATTGAATAGAATATCAGTGACGTCAGTGGCTAGGGGGCGGAGTACCCCGGGTGAGTCTTACTATTTAACTATCAATTTTATCCAGATCAGTAAATGTTTGTTTTGTTATTTTCATGTACAATGAGAGAGTGCTTGCCAATGACCAACTAAATGGATATTTGAAGTGAATTTGCATTGTGAGACCCGGTTGAGTAAGCCCCAAAAATAGCGATTTTACAGATGTAATAAATAATGTGTCATATTGATGATACAACATAATTCTAATAAGTTTAATACCATTAAGAAAAAATCCGTAAATAATAATTTTTAATTCTAATGTAAATATATAAATACATACGTTATTATTATTACAATTATTTTATATACTCATAATACTTTCATTTAATTTTGGATATCAAGGTAAGTCTCAAATTATAAAGTTAATTATAGAATTTGTATTATTTAAGGTATTATTACTGATGACACTCAAAAAAAAATTTTTGAGCTGCAAAGAATTCGAAAATAAACTGCAATTTGGCAACATCGACGATGTGCGCTTGCGTAGTATCGATGATCAAATGCAACAAATATGGGCTTCAAGGTCAGCCACCGGATCCACACCTTTACCGATTACCGTACCATGTTTTGTCGACGTTCGAAAATCGTACGATAAATAGTTGTTTGTGGACTTTGAATATGAAGACTAAGGAAGGAGCATATCAAAAATCTTAGGTACACCGCGATGGGCCTCAAATATGGCCGACTTAAATTCCGGTTTATCAGTGTCGTTCTAATTTTATTTAAAAAATGTAAAACTATGATGTAGGGTAGACGTGGGGTAGACTCAATAATTTGTTGTTTTATTCTACGTTGTGAATAAATGTTGGTAGTTATTAAAATTGTTATAAAATATATAATTCTAATAATAGATAAGTTATAATAAGTATTTATTAACACAAACATCCGATACGCTACTGAAGCAAGTCAAATTAACGTATCTAAATTCTTTGACATCATGTTGACATCTAATCTTTGACAAGTAATAAATAAAGCTAAAATGCAAGAAAAATATATAATTTAGTTAATTTAAAATTTTGAATTTCATAAATGATCGGTTTACTACACGTATGTATATTATAGTCACTTACTAGCGAAAGTTGTTCCATTATTTCACTCAATTTTTGCCGAGATCTACCGCACGCTACAAAACCAACTATTTTAGAGTCTTTTTTGATCAATCGCGATAGTGTCACTGTTAATTTAAGTTCTGCCACAATTTCCATCTAGATTTACTACCTTTTATACAACTATCAGTAGTAGAATAAATAATAAATAACATAAAATAATAAACTCCGTAAGACTGACAAATCCACAAAATTTCAAATCAAATTCAATTGTGTCAAATGAATCGTCAAACAGAACTGTCAAGGATCCCCACCCTAGAGTGCTTTTATGGTGCTTTTTCCGCCCACCATGCATGAATACATGGATAGCATTATGCTCCTTCCTTAGTCTTCTTATTCAAAGTTTGTGGAAGTAACAAAGCTGCTTAGCTATGCTTAAGAGCCTTTGAATAAGAAGACTAAGGAAGGAGCATAATGCTATTCATGTATTCATGCATGGTAGGCGGAAAAAGGACTCTAGGGTGGGGATCCTTGACAGTTCTGTTTGACGATTAATTTGACACATTTGAATTTGATTTGAAATTTTGTGGATTTGTCAGTCTTTACGGAGCTTATTTTATGTTATTTATTATTTATTCTACTACTGCTAGTTGTATAAAGGTAGTAAATCTAGATGGAAATTGTGACAGAACTTAAAATCACAGTGACATTATCGCGATTTATCGAAAAAGACTCTAAAATAGTTGGTTGTGTAGCGTGTGGTAGATCTCGGCAAAAATCGAGTGAAATAATGGAACAACTTTTCGCTAATAAGTGACTATATAATATACATACGTGCAATAAACCGATCATTTATGAAATTCACTTAAATTAACTAATTATATATTTTTTCTTGCATTTTTGATTTTATTTACTACTTGCCAAAGATTAGATGTCAAAGAATTTAGATACGTTAATTTGACTTACCTGCTTCAGTAGCGTATCGGATGTGATTATGGTTATAAATAATTATTATAACTTATCTATTTTTCTTAGAATTTTATATTTTTATAACAATTTTAATAACTACCAACATTTATTTACAAACGTAAAATAAATAAAAAAATTAGTTTTTTAACTGTTAAAATAGTTTTATATTTTTTAAATAAAATTAGAACGCAATGACTAAAGAATCCAAGGACAAATAACACCCGAGAGCAAATTGTGACGATGTCACCAAACAGTGCTGTGGCACATATTTTTCTTAACTTAGCTGTTTGAAGCAATATTTATATTTTTTGATAATTGTTTTGACTACGCCTATGGTGTATCATCCTAATTAATTACGAAAAAAACGTATTAAAATGTTAACAAAAGGTACAAAACTAGTATCGACGTATAGCACATATCAAGTACATATAGATGTTAATTGAAATTGAAGAATAATTATCGAATTCAATAAGAAAACGCTAAAAAGTTGGAGTGGACTGTTTATTTACCTATGAAACGTAACTCCTGGCTCTTATCGCTGCTGCTTTTACAGTTGAAAGCTGAACAACTAATCACCATTGTAATAAAGTTTATACAAAGTTTACTACACACAAACTATTAAAAATCGCTAAAATTGTCGCTGGTGACCAAATGATGACTCATTGTTTGCCACCAAAACAAAACAAAAAAAAAGGTCACAAATTCTGCTGCAGCCCGTATAGGGGCGTTACATGTCCTTATATTCTTTAGTCATTGTTAGAACGGCACTGATAAACCGGAATTTAAGTCCGCCATATTTGAGGCCCATCGCTGTGGACCTAAGATTTTTGATATGCTCCTTCCTTAGTCTTCTTATTCAAAGTTAAGAGCAAACGGTTACCATGAAAAAGCACAATTTATTCTAATACACCTTTTTAAATAAATTCAATCATGTGACATTCAAATAATTAAAAAAAATGTAAAATATTTATATATTCAACAGTCCGACAACTATCCAAACATGAAAAAATGTATAATTTCACGCTACAAAAATTGTAAACATTTTAATGGTTAATAAAAAAATGTTCGGCAAGCTATTACTAAAATTAATAGGTACCTACCATAAGCCGTACTATTTTTATACCATTGTTAAAAACACTGAGTAAATAATGAATATTTTTACAACCAGCAGTATTTTTATATTTTTGGCCCTTGAGGGAGAATGTGTAAGTGAATATTTATTTAGTATTTTGTAAAATAAATTTAGTTTTCTAGAATTTTAGAGAAGAGTTTTTCAAAAACGAAAATATTAAAAGATGTGCCACCATTGCTAAATACCATACACTAAGTTTTAATGCGACGCTGTTAGAAAGAGAAAACAAATATGCTTGTATTTTTAAATGCCTGATGGAAATACAATATTTTGAAGAAAATGATGGAGAGTTTTACGTCAAAAGAAACATGGTAAAGTAACAATTCAGATAAGAATGTCGTGTATACTGTCCAGTGGGACCCGTTTTCGTATGTTTTGAGGTTTCTTGTTTATGAGTAGAGCTTCAAAGATGCGATTTTCACATTACTGTGCTACTTCTTTATGAAATTAAAGACGCTGCACACAGATTCGCCCTAGCCGTCTTTGTTCCTGAAATACAGGGCGAATTTGAAATTGTTGCATTTTTCTATTCTCCCGGTATATCGCTTATCTTATAACTTATCGAAAATATGAAAACTGAGTATCTGAAACTCTCTGAGAATTCATTGGCGTAACTAGTTTTTTCTGCCTCTAAGCCCACGGCCACACAGAAATCGTTTTTAGCGTTCTGCGTTTTTTGCGTCTCAAGTGCTTTTTGCGATTTTATCGTTTAAAGCGCTTTTTTCGATTTGTGTCCATTAAAAACACGCAAAAGACGCGGCAGGTCTGCAGTTTCTATCAAGATGTCAATTAGTAACGTCGCAAGCTCGTGGATTCCCGGCCCCTCCAACAATCAATCCTGTGAGAAAGAGATAGGCAAGATCGGCGCCGTTAGCGTTGAAGAGACGAAGATAAAAGATGTTGGAATGAATTGTGGACAGGCCGGGGCATATATTCGGAGACAAACGCAATCTACTGCTAGTGCCAGTGGTGTGTGTAAAAATAATAATTATTATTTGCTATGCAAAAAACTATTTGTTACACGTAAAAAATTATTTTTTGCGCGTATAAAACTATTTTTTACATGAAAAAAACTATTTGTTACACGGAAAAAACTATTTTTTACGCGTATAGAACTATTTGTTACGTGTAAAAAACTAAAAAAAAAATATTTTTTTACGCGTCAAAAAATTATTGTTTCTGGTAAGAAATCTTTTGTTACGCAAAGAAAATATTTTTTACGTGTATAAAACTATTTGTTACACGTAAAAAACTAATTTTTACGCGTCAAAAACTTAATGTTTCTAGTAAAAAGTCTTTTACCCAAAAAAAATATTTTTTACGTGTAAAAAACTATTTATTACAGGTAAAAAAACTATTTCTTACGCGTCAAAAACTATTTGTTTCTGTTAAAAAAAACTTTTTTACGCAGAAAAAAACACTTTTTACGCATAAAAAACTATTTTTTACGCGTAAGAAAATATTCCTTTAATTTATTACTTTTTCGACATTTCAAACTACACTTTTCAAACATTTCCTTCAAATTTTTGAATTTAATAGAATCTTCCTAAACAGTAGATGTTCTTTATAAAAATATTTTTAGATAATACCCTAAAATGAAAAAAATGCATACTACTTAATTTATTTTTATTGTATTATTAGTATTATTAAATATAACGTCCGCCTATGACGGGGCCTCATCTTATAAAAAACTAAAGACGCTACAGAAAACAAACTGATTTGTTTTCATTTGCTTTTTTTGCGAGACACGCCGAACGCTATACGCTTTTGGTGTGGCCACTCTTATATAATCCTGTTATTTTGCTTTAGTCGCTCAAGACGCTTTACGCTAAAAACGCAAAAAACGCTTTCTGTGTGGCCGTGGGCTAAGAGATGCTAGTCAGGTGCTAGATAGGGGAATCCCCTCTGGCACTTTGGCTGGATTTAAGGAGCATCTCACTGTCTTGTCCCTGGCTGTAGTTTCCTGGCTACTATCTGTGGTCATGTATCACGGGCAGATGGTGTAGGGCAGTGTAGGGGATCTAGGCTTAGGACCAAGAAGAAACAACGTCACCAAAAACCCAAATCTTACGATGGCGGGACCAGGTCAAAGGGATGCCTGAGCTAGATAGAAGACTAGCCTCTACTGGTCTCAACATCGTGGCACCAAGGGGCAACTCATTGAATTCTCGTCTTCCTTACTTCTACATGTGGGGCTCTGTAGAAGTGGACCGACTAACCCTAGCGGTGTATCACCAGCTTTGTCAGATCTCCAATGTAAGTACATCGAGTTGGCGAGTCATCAACTCGAGGAAGGAGAGCCATGGTCAAATCCAAGGAGGCAATAGAGAAAGAGATATATATTCTCTATTATAGATCCGGGACAACACCGCTATCAGGTCTAAGGAAAGGCCAAGTTAAAGAGGTGGAGAAAATGGAGACTGATCCTCCATCCTCCACCTCAAGGGTACCTCAGCCGGAGACAAGCTTCTCGACTGTGAAAGGCTAAACCCCAACCGTGGAAAGGTGTATATACTACTGTATACTCTCGTAGGAGGTAGATGTCCACTCCTCGGAGGATAAACAGCTGTTGTCAGAGGAAGGTGGAAAATACCCTGTCCCCCCTACAACAGGAAGATCCCCATGTATGATGAGTTATAAACAGTATGATGAATTTATATTGCTTCAAGAAAAGAGCTAGTGCGGCCTGTAAATATTGCAGTAGTACCATCGACGATGTGAGTCACACTATTTTTGAATGTCCGGCCTGGGAACCAAGTAGATTGAAAATCAAAGGGATTTTTAAGGTACCATTTAAAAAAGAAAACTTAATACACTTTATTGTGGGGGACGAAGATATATGTATAGAAGGCTTTCGTGGCGTTTATATCACAAATACTACAGGCTTGATCAACGAAGCGCTGAAGAATAACCAAAGTCTAATTTAGAGAGGGGCATCTGCGTCGAAGTATATGCGCGTGTAGTACCAGCAGTTTGTCAGGCAAACACGGTGGAATTTTTAGTCGGTAGAAATTAGGAATCCGGCACACCTCGGTCGCTAGAACAACAGACCAGGCGTCTATCAAGATTTTTTTACCATCCTCTCAAAAAAGACCGTATGACGAGTTAAAACTCAAAAAAGGTGAATACAGTAGATCTTTAAGGTAGCAGTCATTAACCCACCTTCTATTCATTCTACATTCTACATCTCTACATCCACTCATAAACGAGAAACTGTATAACACACGAAAATGAGACCTTGTACATCAAAGTCCGTTTTTTCCGGTTATACGCTTTAATACGTAATATTTTTTTTCTTTTCAGGACCAACTTGATACTATTCATAATATTGACATTTGTTTTAATGGTCACAATAAACCAATAACGTGCTCTGACATAGAAAATATCTTTGATTGTATAGAATTAATTATTATCGAAGAAACCAAAATATAAAATCTAATAGAGACCAGAATTATTTATTTGTTTTATGTTCATAGAAAATAAAAACAAAGATACTTAATTTGTATAATTTATTAAGGTATGCATTTTAAATTACAAAGAAAAAATGTTATTTTAAACTCTGATAATAAAAATAACAAAGAGTAAATAGAGAAAACTAAAAAAAAATAATTACAAATTTTAATTTATTAATTAAATTTATTAATGCTTAAAACAGTAGTCGGCGCGGCGTTCTTAGTATTATTTGACGATTATACACAAAAAAATTTTACATAAAATAAATATCACAATAAAAAAACTACAAAAAAAAGAATTAAATAATGATACTTTATACAGGGTGTTTTAAAAAACCTGTGCCATCTCTCGTGCGGAAATTCCTAAAGTAAAAATAAGATCTATTTTTTATATCAACATAGGTCAGATTCTGCTTTGTTTCGTAGCAACGCAACGGGGGGTTAAAGTCATTTTTTTTCGATTTATTATAATTTTCTTTCAAACGCTTTTAGTAATTCGAATGAAATTTTGGGGGTAAAAGTTATTATAAGTATTACAATATCTTAATGCTAAAAAAGTATCACCAGATTCACCAGGGACGTACATATGGATCATGACTGAAATATTTTTCTAAAAGGAACATGCGCGCCACTGACTTTTTTCACTTGTAAGCATTATTGTGAAGGCCGTCTAATGCCGATTAAAAGTTATATCTTGATATTTTGTCGATTTAGATCTCCTTGACGAGATAAATACAATTTTATTAATAACAATTAATAAAATTAAAATTAAAATTAAATTAAAAAATCATCTAATTTCTTATTAAATTTTATTAAAATTTATATCACTGATGCCACCTACAGCAAATTCTAAAAAAAATAAATAATAGTATTTATTTAAGATAATTACAAGACCTATTCTTTAAAAATTTTAACATCCTGTAACTTTAAAACTATGTATTTCCATATCCATGTTTATAGGAACTTTTTATCATATTTTTTAACGAGTACTTATTTAAAACTTTCGCATGTTAATGATATTAAATTTTTTTAAAGGTTGCTATTAGACTATTAGATCAAGGCAAATTAAGAAAATTCCGTTTATCTCATCAAGGAGGCCAAAATCGACAAAATATCAAGAGACAACTTTTAATCGGCATCAAACTGCTCATTTCCGCACCCGTGTTTATAAAAACTTTTTTATATTTTTTTTAATGAGGAATCAATTAGTACTTAGTTAACACTGTGACACAGACTGTGGCTAGTTAATGGCACTAAAGTTTTTTAAAGATTGTTATTAGACTTGGATTAGGCAGATTAATAAAATTGCGTTTTATTAACCGAGAAGATCTAAATAGACCAAATATCAGAAGACAACTTTTAATGGGCATTAAGGTTGATTCTCGCTATACCTTCCATTTCCATTCCATATCCGTTCCGTATTTTTTTATCGTATTGACGCTATACGTTGTACAATTTATATCGTTACGAAAATTTTATTTTAAAAATTTGTGTCTTTTGAAAAAAGTAATAGATTTAATTAAGAGATGAAAGAATAAATAAATATCAGCAAAATGTTAACAAAGTTGGTACAAATGTAAGAGCTTGAGAACGCTGTTTCCAATACGCTTCAGTCCGTCCGCCAAAAAAATGTATGGAAGGAAAGGATATGGAACGGAAGGGAAATGGAACGGATAGTGTGCATTGTCCTATTCATTTACATGATATAATATTTTATGTAAACGGAAGGGATTTGATACGGAAGGTAGAGTGAGAATCAACCTTTAAACGGACTATACAACTGTACTAATTAGAAAACAAACTGATTTTCAGTGGTGTACAACTTTTTTATTTAGAAAATATTCTAGTGGCAACTTATATGCACGTCCCTGGTGAATCTGTCGATACTTTTTTACAATTAAAATTTGTAGCACTTGTAGTAACTTTTATCCTCAAAATTTAATTTAAATTACTAAAAGCACCTACAAGAAGAAAATTATAATATATGGAAAAACATGAAGACTCTAACCCCTTGCGAGCTACGAAACAAAATAGAATAGGACCTATGTTGATATGAGAAAAAATCTTATTTTTATGCAAGGAATCCCCAAATGATAGATGGAACATGTCTTTTGAAACAACTTGTATAAAGTATCTTTAAATAAAACTCATCCTGACCTTTCATTCTTGAGCGATTTGGCTGTCGGTCAGCTTGATGACCGGAAAATGTTTGCTCTCTTTGAAACAAAACGAAGGTTTGCCCTTAGGTCTATGGCCCGCCGCTAGGAGTCGCAGCAGAACAAAGTTGGTTTTGGCAGCTCGCGCCAGTGGTGCGTCGCCGCCTCCCGCGGCCAGCAGTTGGCCGGCCTGCGCAAAATGGCGGCCAGCGGCTAGAAACAATTGCTCTGGTTCCTTAAACAAAAGAAAAGTATTTCTAAAGCCCCGTCTATACGTAAGGTTTTACCTGGCAGTTATAAAAACGGAAGACTGTATAGATAAGGTTTTAACAAGTCAAGTCAAATTAAAGACTAGTGTATATACTGGAAGTTTTACCTGCTGTTTTAAGTCACGTTCAGAACCTCGAAAATAGTGGAAAAAATTAGTGGCTTTAATTAGCGTAGAAGTTTGTTCCTCTAATTTCAATGTAAGCATTGGGAACGTCAAATTAGCGGTAGTAATTTTCAATTAGTAGCAAAAAGTTAACAAACTTTTTCCAAATTATATTTCAAAATTTGCGGGTAATGTAATTTTGGCCTTTGATATTATCATCCACCAAGAGAAATTGTGGTTATAAATGAAACTTTCATTGTTTTATAATCTAATTATTAGGTTTTCTCTATGGATACAACTGACTATCGCAAGATATTGCAAGGATATTCTATTAATTTTAATTGTATTTTATAGACATTGTAAATGATCATAAATTTAAATATCGTGTAATTGAAACCACTAATTTTGAGGTTCTGAATGAAGTTTTATACTTAAGAGTTTACGATCATTCATCATTAAAATTAATAGAATATCCAATCAAAAGCTTGTGGTAGCTAGTTGTATCCATAGAAGTAGACTAATAATTATCTTCCAAAACAATAAACTCTGTATTTCTAACCACTGCTTCTCTTGACGGATGATAATCAAAGGCCAGAATGACATTACTCGCCAATTTTGAAGTATAATTAGTGGAAAAGGTTAAAGTTTCATTTAGAACCTCGCAATTAGTGGAATAAATTAATGGTTACAATTAGCGTAGAAGTTTGATCCTCTAATTTCAATGTAAGCATTCAGAACGTCAAAATTAGTGGTAATAGTTTTCAATTAGTAGAATAAGTTAACGAACTTTTAACTGAAAAGAAATACTTGCATATCGACTACTTAATTGGAGTATCACAGAATGCAGAGACCTTTATCAAAGATAAACATTTCTAAGAAACATAAAATAAAAAATATTCCAATATATAATGTAAAAACTCCAGCTAACTACTAAATATCCTACTAAATATCAAGTAAAGTTTATTCTTTCGTACCTGTGAAGCTTCAGCTTGAGCTGCTGACCTAAACTGTCTGTAGGCTGCTAGGGGCGGTGTAATAAGGCGAGAAAACGCACCAAAACGATGTTCAAAACGCACCCTTTCCCTGTCAAATCCGGGTAGTGGAGCCTGTAAAAGACCTTCCCTTAACAAGCCCAGTAAAGCCTGAAAATATAAAGAAATGCGTCAGTAAAAAGTCAAGAAGCATTTAGAATGTCAGTTAATAATAAACTGGATTTCCCAAAATCGCACACTCCCCCCCCCCCCTCTGGAAAATCATAAAATGCTAAAAAATCGGAGAAGAACTATTGAAATATGTAGAGGAATTCAATTATCTCGACAGTTTGATTTCGGAAAAGGCCAGTATCGACTCTGAAATTCAGCACAGAATTAGCAGCGCCTCGAGAGCGTTCTGGAAATTAAAAGACAGGGTTTTCTACAATCATGATTTGAGCATATACACATAATAATTCCCACCATGTTATATGGAAACGAAACCTGTTTTAAAAAAAAAGTTTTATATATAATATGTATATTTTATGTATAATGAATCATATGAAATATCCCCTTAACAAAGTGTGATAAAATGTCTCCTTATGAAATAGCGGGAAGAAATAGCGGGAATATCCCCTTAACTTCTCAACCTACCGAGCCTCCACGACTTCATGCGAAGGCGACCGGCGTTTTCGCCTAAGCCCCGCCTTAATACGATACAACTCCGACTTACGTCGCGTCGCTGCAGCACGATGAGTTAGATAGAGACAGAAGACTGCCGTACGTCGTGCATCGACTCTGATAGTAGGCGATGTAGAACGGTCAAAATTATTTTGTTTTCTAACGCAGCGGCACAGTCAACGGTCAGCGTACGCTAGCGGTAGTGAATATGTTAATATACAAGACCACAAATATTAAAATAATATTGATTATTAAAACACACTTCCGTGTATTAACAGTATTTTTATATATTGGCAACATTAATAGTAAGTAATGTAATGTAATAAATCGCTTAAATTCTGCCAAAATCTTAGGGTAGGCGCCGCCGACCTTGCCTACCCTGACGAGCCGCCCCTGAATTAAAGCATAGAAAAAATCAATATTATTATGCGAATATACTTACTTTGAAGTATCCTCCACACAACTGTTGCAGTGCTTGCAATTTCAGCGCGTCTTTGGCATGTGGTCGCGGTCTTCTCGCCGCTTTAGCTGACTTGGAACGTCTACCTTTACCCCCGTTTGCCACATTACCGGCAGTTTCCTGTAGTAAAGTATCAGCACGTGACAGTGTTGAAATTAACCAACTATAGATACACTCATATAAGTACCTGAAAATTACAGTTTATAAATTCCTGGTTTCTTATAACGAACAGCCTTAATTTACCAATAAATGTAATAGTATTCATGCTCAGCATATAGTTCTAGTTCGAAACCTGCCAGTAAATATAGAGCTTGAGCTCTTAAAGTATGGTAGAGAGCCCAAGTAGCCATGTAGGGTCTGAGTGGAACACCCAGAGCGATAGCGCAGGCACTATCTGCTCTTTCTGCCTCCTATTAGAAGAAAAAAAGTAAAAATATACACAGGGTTTTTTATTAAATTTTATGCATACCGTTACACTCTCAGAAATCTATCATTAAATTATTCATTCTTTTTTAACCTAACCTACCTTTTTAAACGGTGTCAAAGACGGCTGGGGAAGGACAATTGATAATAATTTTCGCGATGTCGAACCCTAGACGTACGTCATTACTTGGTCCGTACTCTTCTTTATTTTTTAATGACGCTTACAGCCTTAAGTTTAAGTTGGCCTTAAGAAGGCAGTAATTTATTTTTATATCGAGTAAAAATAATTTTTAGAAGTAGATTTGTCTGTCTGGAAACGTTGCATATTTTTTAATGCATCTATAATTAGTGTTAATTTTGACAAATTTTATGTGAATTTTTAGTAATGACAACTAGAGATTGACCTCGCCAAAATTATCATTGATTGTCGTTCCCTAGCCCTGTTGACGCCGTTTTTTTAGATCATACGGTACTTATATTAGCCCTGATCACTTTGTTTCCATGGTCTGTACTTTAATGCATACGACATATACGACAGAGATATACGACGATATAATATACTGGGTGCGTCTCAAAAGTGGCTTACCCCTATAACTTTTTTATTTCTTCAGATAAAAAAACGAGATTTAGTATATTAGTATATGACATAAATTAGGATAGACGTATTCAGTTCTTTTCGGTCACTTCCCGTTTAAATGACACCCCGGTATTTTTTTACTTCATTTGATCGAAAATGACATTCTGAACAGAATGACATCTTTTGACATTTTCAAATGAAAAAAAAATAGCTTTTTATATTTTAATTTAGAGTGTCATGGCCAAAAATGTAAGGACAATTTGACTCGAAATACCAAGTGTGTTGTACCAAATTACTCGCAAAAAAATGCTTTTTCCAAATACGCTGATGTACGCCACCCTCGCCTCGTTCCGTTTGAAAAAAATTGAGATATGATTAAAAATACGATTTGGGCATCTTTTAACTGGCCAGGACAAGATACGAAAAACATATCAGATGATCAAGTCTATTTTTCCGAGGCTCCTTGACTAAAAATTAGTGTTTTTAACACAGCCATTCTAGATTAAAATTTAAAATATGATTTTGTTTTAAGCGAGAATGACAAAAGTTGAAATATATGTCATTCTATTCAGAGCGTTATTTTCTATCGAATAAGTAAAAAAATACCAGGGTGCTATTTAAAATTCAAAAGTTGCAGTCATTTCCGGTAAAACAGGAAGTGAGCGAAAACAATTCAATACGTCAATCAATCCTCATTTCTGCGATATACTAACATTCCAAATTTCGTTTCTATATCTGAAAAAATCAAAAAGTTATTAGGGTGAGTCACTTTTGAGACGCACCCGGTATACGACCAGTTCACAGACAGAGAGACAAAACAAAAGGCGGCATACTGTGTTGTCGGTTCGTACGAGAAATAAAATAATAAATGAAGATAATATATCTAAGCTATTCAATAATGCTCATTTCTATTAGACAGTTCTTTAAGAATCTATTACAGCCTTTGAATAAGAAGACTAAGGAAGGAGCATATCAAAAATCTTAGGTACACCGCGATGGGCCTCAAATATGGCCGACTTAAATTCCGGTTTATCAGTGTCGTTCTAATTTTATTTAAAAAATGTAAAACTATGATGTAGGATAGACGTGGGGTAGACTTAATAATTTGTTGTTTTATTTCACGTTGTGAATAAATGTTGGTAGTTATTAAAATTGTTATAAAAATATATAATTCTAATAAAAATAGATAAGTTATAAAAGTATTTATTAACACAAACATCCGATACGCTACTGAAGCAGGTAAGTCAAATTAACGTATCTAAATTCTTTGATATCTAATCTTTGACAAGTAATAAATAAAAGCTAAAATGCAAGAAAAATATATAATTTAGTTAATTTAAGTGAATTTCATAAATGATCGGTTTACTACAAGTATGTATATTATATAGTCACTTACTAGCGAAAAGTTGTTCCATTATTTCACTCAATTTTTGCCGAGATCTACCGCACACTACACAACCAACTATTTTAGAGTCTTTTCGATAAATCGCGATAGTGTCACTGTTAATTTAAGTTCTGTCACAATTTCCATCTAGATTTACTACCTTTATACAGCTATCAGTAGTAGAATAAATAATAAATAACATAAAATAAGCTCCGTAAAGACTGACAAATCGACAAAATTTCAAATCAAATTCAAATGTATCGTCAAACAGAACTGTCAAGAATCCCCACCCTAGAGAGCTTTTTCCGCCCACCATGCATGAATACATGGATAGCATTATGCTCCTTCCTTAGTCTTCTTATTCAAAGATTACAGCTGTAGTAAAATGAGTAACTAATTGTGAAAAATTGAAACTTTTCCTAAAGCAGCGCCATCTTAATTGTTCCCTCTTTGATGATCACTTTTCAACACACGAAGGAGCAACTCCTTCTTAATCTAACTTCTTAGTCTAACATAAAAATAAAATAATGCACTGAATAACAGATATATTTCTTCCATTTATAATCCAAATACCTCTTGTAGTGGAGCTAATTCATTCAGGAGAACGGCTAATTTGTCCCGCTGTCTAGCTCGGTTGTGGCCACTTAGTTGCAACAATAAAGCGGCTGGTCTTGCAGCTCTCGCTAGGAATGTATCGGCCGCTTGGCGAGCGGCTGGCACAGCTCTGGCACCTGTATAATAGTAATAATACAATTATAACACTTAAGTCTATACAGGGTGTCTCATTTTACTTTTTTTACAGGATTTCTAGTTTGGTGAGGTACAAATATGCGGTTTTCGCATTACTTATTGCTGGTATTTTTTATGAAACTAAAAATGCTACACACATATTTCTCCTAGCCCATTTTAGTTCCTGAATTCTAATGTTATAATAGATAAATAAAAATAATTATCAATGTTTAAATTATCTTACCTCATTTATAAATAAAAATAAACGTTCATGATACTCACTTAAAGCTGGTGGGCCAGCAAACGACTTTACTGCTTCTCTTAAAGCTTCTCTAGATGCTCCAGAACTACGTCCAGCCAATTGCAAGGCACTGCGCGCGACGAGACATGGACCGGACTGACTAAATTCCGAAAAAAGTTCCTAGAAAGTAACAGTATCCTAGATTTTTAGAAAATATTTCCAACAAATAAATATATTACCAGAGCTTGATGAAAAGAAGTGATACCCTGCGCTTTACAAACAACTTTAAATCGTTCCATCATTTCGATAAAATGCACTATAGCCTCTTCCCGTTTTTTGATTTTAGTGTATCTGGGAAACGTCGGAGGAAGAAGTCTTTGGTTTATTGACGGCTCGAAACAGGCCATTTCTTCATTACCTTCATGTATAAAAGAAGAATATTTTTGATTAGTAGAAAATACTGATTAATCGCGAGATTTAAGGCAGATTTTGGTTCATTTAGTCACAGTCAGACTGATAGACGTTGATCAATAGGTCATCGTTTATGTGTGTGTCCAGCCTTAGCGCGGTTTCACATGGAGTGGACCGTCCGCGCTGACCAACGTTTGTATTTTTATTTTTAAACTCCGACGGAGTATTTTCACCTGTGCTATCAATCTACGCATGTGAAACAACGTTTTTAATCATATAGCACGTCCGCACGCAGATGGTCCGTCGAAGCAAGAGCTCGACGGATGGCCGTCGGACGATATCATCCAGACGGATCATCCGCGCCCACGTGAAAATATTCATACCCTGCCGGCAAGCGAAACCTTGGGTAGGCGTTTACATGTATAGGAGTGAATCGCTATGGCAATCTAGTAAGTCGGAGAGAGCAAAAATGCGAAGTATTATTACATAACACATAACCACTTAATCTGACGCTAGATTTCATGCGCTTGGGAAAATACTTGCCTTCTGTCTTTATTCCGTACATCTTATTTTGCTAAGTGTGTTGACCGTACTCTTCGTACGCACGAAAATCGGCACCCAAGACCAGAAATGTCAGCCCTAGTATAAACTCATGGTACTTATTCAACCAAGCCCAGCCCGCGCGGACAGGCCGATCCATATGAAACAGCTCAACAGGGATGATCAGCGCGAATCGACCACTCCATGTGAAACAGTACATAGATTCTTGATTTTTATCTTTATGTCAAGCAGTGAATTTTCTGGACACTCTGATGTGTTAATCATGTTAATACAACTGTAAGTTCCCAAAAGTACTTTTGAAGATCTACACTGCCTCATATCTGACTGTACTTTGAAAACATGTTTTAGTTTGTTAGGCAATTACATTTTCATTAAATTTTTACTGATTTTCAAAGTTTAGTGTTTATTTCATTTCCTGTTATTATAATTAGCAAACCCATAAAATATAATTATTGCAGGTACAGGTACGGTAGTTGTCACATTAGTATGTTCTAAAGCGTTTTCTGGCTCTCCTGTAAATATAGAAAAATGGCGCTTATCATGTTTTTGCCCTGGGCTCTTCATATGGGGTATTATAAATATTATGGAGAGAATACTGTTTCTGTACAAAAGCTTATGCTATTTAGAGCCACAAATAGAGAATCACTTAAAAAAAATGTTACAACGTTCTCATTTGTGCTTATAGTACGAGAGTTAGCAATGGCGCGGCGGGAAAACAAGTATTTTAAGAAATCTGGCTTTTTGGTATATCTTTTACTATGCTCTCTGGAACAGCGTGCGGGCCATCTGGCTGCCAGTAAACGTTACGTTCACTAATGCGCATTGAAAGAAAATCCTATATTTTTCATTAGTCCTTTAAATTCTAGTATTGAAAATAAACCGAGCAAGTCTCTATAGCGCGGCGCGAAAAGGTTCCGCCATGAAGCGAGGAGTCCGAGTTCGAGACTAGCTTGGGGTATATTTTTTTAAATTTTATTTTCGTTTATATCCTGATAGTAAAGTATTAAATAATTCTGGTGATTAAAAAAAAAAAAAAATTTTAATACTTACTATCAGAATATAAACGAAAATAAAATAAAAAGTTCTATACCCCAAGCCGGTCTCAAACTCGGACTCCTTGCTTCATAGGTGGGACCTCTGCGCGCCGCGCTATGTTGACGCGTATGGTTGATGTTCAATACTAGAATTTAAAGGACTAAATAAAAAAAATATAAGATCTTTTGATGCGCAGTAGTGAACGCAACGTGTATCGGCAGCCAGACGGCCCGCATGCTTTCAAGTTCCAGAGAGCATAGTAAAAGATATATCAAAGAGCCAGCTTTCTTAAAATACTATCTCGAAAACGTTGCTAGCTCTTAAGACTATTATACATGCCAGTTTATGCTCATAAATACTCCAACAAGGGAATGTTCCCTGGGCAGAAATGGGAACATTCACACTAATGCAACACTACCTGTATTATAAAAAAGAATATTTTACTACTTACCATCTGACCCATCTCCTAGAGAAACTGTATCTTTTATAATTTGTAACATTTCTAAACCATTTTGTAACAACCTCTGACAATCACTTAAAGATGTTTGTTGCTGTTGCTGATCTTCTTTCCTAAGAGTGTTCAAAACTTGCAAGAATATCCTAATAAATTTGATCCTAGCAAAAATTGCCTGGGTTTCAGGCTAAAATATTTTCAAATTATCATTTATTTACACAAAAATATCTTACAAATGGTTACTTCAGACTGTTTATTTCTGCTTTTACGATGCAATTCCTCCTCAACTTCCCTTAACATTCCGATCATTCTCTGTTCTGAAATATCTGGATTTAAATGAAAACCATACTGCATAGGCTGAAAATCTTCTTCTTCATACACCAAAGCCCTACATAAACATTTAATTAAGATTAAATAAGATACATACACAAATATTTTAACTCACTTATGTAAAAGATCTTTTATAACATCTAACAGTTTATACACTGCAAGACAGAAAACTTTTAAAACGTGATCCTGTGAGGCATAAGGTCGATGCAAATATAAACAAGTAAATACCTATAATAAAAAAAATTTAGATAAAAAAAAACATAAATATAATAATTTGTTTACAGTCTGTGCTAATGAATGGCCTTCTAACCAAGACGCTAGACGTGCTAAAGTTCCATCAATTACACCCAAAAGAGTTGAAGGAGGAAGATCAACCAAAAGCAAATATCCGTCCTGAAATATCAGAAGTTCTTTATAGCTAAATTTTATTTTAACAAGTAATTATAAAAAAATGCACCTTTACAGCTTGTTCGAAAGATGTAACTTTTCTAGCACCTCGGTTACACAACATTCCAGCATCCATTTTGGGATCCATCATTTCTATAGCCGACATGGCTTCAAATAGTCCGAACAAATCATCGTGCAACAATTCACCCAAGTCTAGGTCTGAAAAAGCATCATTTAACTAAATTTTATCCTGAGAAATCGACAGTATTTTACCTTTAACGCTTTCATGAAACAGATCCGTAATTTCTACCCAATTTTGAGGGGGTTTTATGTAAGGTACTGAATTGGAAAGGGTCGAGTTTGGTCTAAAAAATATTACAAAAATAGGTAAAGTAACAATGTATTTAATGACTTACTGTTCATTTTCCATATTAGAAACTTTGTGAAGTAATAACGGACACGATAAGTTTATAAGATTTATTTTATTTTAAGTTTTAAATTTAATTCAAAATAAACTCCATATCGCATAGCCCTTCAAAAATTTCTAACCTATAAAAACCAAATTAGTTCAAACATCACACAAACGTCAAATTAGTAGTTAAAATCAGAGATATGGAGGTAGAGAATGAGAAATGAGAAGCTCCGTACCCCTACATCTCTGGTTAAAAGCAATAAAATCTGGAAAGTAGTTCAATCGAACGAAAACATTTAAAATTTTGGCGAAGTCGCCGAGTGCCCCGAGTTGTAAAATGACAAAATTAAGGGGATAGTTCTTGACCTATTGATTTTATTATGGGGAAACAAAGCAAAAAAGTTAAACTTAACTTATTAAAGAATAATATACGTTTAGAATAATGTGATACTTCGTAACTTGTTAATACGATTTCGTCGTAATAATGGTATAAACTTATATTTTTATATTTACAGGACCTATAAAATATTTCTTATTTTTAGGATCATAACATCAACTCTCGAAAATTTATAGCTATAGCCTCTGTAGCTTGGGCTTGCCACTTTGTCTCTCTATGGGGTGGATTTGTATTCGACGATTCCGAAGCCATAGTAAAAAATAAAGATATATTTCTATATACACCGGCATCCTCGGCATTTTACAATGACTTCTGGGGTAGTAATATTTCCCTCAACAGTAGTCATAAGAGTTATAGACCTCTTACTATATTATCCTTCCGGTAAGACCTTAGTAAGAAGAATTAAAATTATAAGATATTACTTAATTTTATTTTATTAGACTGAACATGTTTTTCTCAAACAATAGACTGGATGCATTTCAATTTCATACAGCAAACGTTGTACTGCATGGTATATTATCAATAATGTCCTTACCATTTTTTGAATGTTTGTTAAAGAGAAGGAAACAAAGAAAATCGCTTGTACCCATGGACGACCCAGCCTTCACTGGAGCATTGTTATTTGCTTCACATCCGATTCATTGTGAAGTATGTTTCCTAATCCAAATTAATCTTAAAGCTTTTTTTCATGTTAAACACTTTTGTATCAGTCTGTTGCAGCTTTAGTGGGTCGTGCAGATATTTTGGGCTCTATACTGTTTATGTTACTAATAATTCTTTATAAGTCTCAAACAAATATCTCATGGATTCTTATTGTATTTGTTATTTCAAGCGCAGCCGTTTTGTGTAAAGAGACTGCAATTACTGTGTTAGTAAGTGAAAGAATTTGCCATTGTTTTAATCAAGATTTTTTTGATATTTGTGTTTTAGGGGATGTGTGTTATATATGAGATTTACCTCAAAAAAGTATCTTTAAAAAGTTGGCGTCATATAACCAAAAAAAAATTCATGTTAAGAATGGGGTATTTAGCTTTATTAGGGATTATTATATTGTATTTGAGATTAAGAATTATGAATTTTGAAGGTCCGATTTTCAGTCCAACTGATAATCCAGCTTCGTTTTCTGACAATATTTTAACAAGGGTAATTATAACAGTTATACAGGGTGACGCCTCTCATACAACGCGAATACTTCAAGGAGAACGGTAGTGTGTATTAAAATTAAATTTTGTGAGCATATGTATGTAGATTAATTGAAAGCATTTTAGAAAAATAAATAGAGTTCTATAGGGTGTCCCCAAAAAAAGTAACACATCAAAGTTGTGTTTTTTTTTAATGGAAAACCCTATATATTAATCTATTTTTGTATTTTAGGAGAAAAATAAAGGTAGGTATCATTAGAGAAGTATATGAGTAAAATGTAAGGTTTTGACATATTTAAAACTTTCTAAAAATGAAGAACAAATTTTAAATTTCAATAGAAGCTACATGGAAGCTACCTAAATTGGAATTTACCCAGTATAGCCTAGTATGGAGTTACAATAACTATTGTACTGTACCTTAAACCAAATTAAAACTTGACCCAAAAAGTAATACAGGGTGAGACAAAATTAATAATGAACATGGGTCACCTTTAAAAGCAAGGTACTGTTATATTTTACATGGAACACCCAGTATATTATTCCGATAATTAATTGGGAATAAAAATATTATTAAGATTGCCCACCTGTCAAACAAAAACTTTTCTAAATATTTTTATTTTTATGATTTAGTGTCAGTAGATCTTTACATTACTTGATAAAATCTAGGTGGCTGTGATATACCTGCCGTTACTTCAACAGAGCTGTCAAATTAGTTAAATTTTAAAAACCAGTTATCATTTTGTGTCAGTTAAAGTGAAAAAAAAATCTCATAAATTTGCTATTAAAGATAAATTCTAATTTAGGTAGCTTTTATTGAAATTTAAAATTTGTTATTCATTTTGGGGACATGTTAAATATGTCAGAAATCTTATATTTTAGTCATTTCCTTCTTTAATAATATTCACATTATTTTTCATCTAGAATTCGAAAAAAATAATATGTATAGGGTGTTCTGTTACCAAAAAGACAACTTTGGTGCATAACTGTTTTGGGATACCTTCTAAAACTCTATATTTTTTAAAAAATGCTCTAAATTAACCTACAAATGCTCCCAAAATGTAATTTCAATATAAACTATCGCTCTTGGAACCCCTTCGTCGAATGAGAGGCGCCCTGTATATAAGAGAAACTATAAAAGTTGTCGTGCACGCCATCAAAATATTTGACGAAGGCACGTCGCATTGTTGCCACGGCCACTTTTTTTACATTGACTTTTGACAAATAATGTCAAATAAAATTGGTTGACATTCCCGCTTCCTGCAAGCGGTTGTTAATGGCCACTACCTGCTTCAATAGCGCAGGTTCACAAAGCTATAATTGACCTGCCGCGTAATAAGTCGGCCACCGGAAAGCGGAAAGCCGGTGCACTATAGACGTACCTTAAGATTATAAGAAAAAGGAAAAAGTGCGCTATAAGTTTCAAACGAACTTTAATTTATTATGCCGGGTCCAGACCAAGCAGACAAAACAACGACAAGACAGAAACATTCATGTTTTACGACAAAATTGCGACAAATCCAATACATTTCTGCGACATTTTTGTCTCATTTTTGTTTTGTTTCAAAATTCGGAGACTTTTCAATGTCCCGTCTCGAGTCGGTAAAGATCAAAGTGTCTATGTTTTGTTCTTATATTACGACAAAAGTAAGTAAGTTGTAAGTTGGCGCAGTGTGGATGGCGTGTGCTAAACTTTTGACTTTGTTGTACTTTTGTCCTTGCGGTGTAGACAATTTGTCTCAAGTTTGTCTTGTTTTTGTTTCAAAATCGTGTTGGTCTTGTCGCCTTGGTCTGGGCCCGGCATTAGAAATTTAATTTGGTAATAGTTTCGATGTCTTTGATGACATGCACGCCAACTTTTATTGATTTTTCTATAGCCAACTTACTAACATCAATTTTAATTTTTAGATTTTAACTTATAATTATTTATATTTGTTGAATGTTGTTTTGTTATTTTGGCCCCAGTGGCTGTGTTTTGATTGGTCCATGGGTTGCATACCTCTAGTGGAATCATTCTCCGATCAACGTGTAATTTTTGTTGTGTTATTTTGGCTTGTTACTGCTGTGGTTGTCTACAAACTAGTCCGAAGTTGTCTTGTAACTAACAAAATGTGAGTCAATGTTGATAGTTCATTTATTATAAAACAATATACAGGGTTGCCCATTTTATGTAATATTTCTATTTGACTTTACTTACTCTATAAAAATTCTATTCCAAATGAAATGCCGTATTTTTTTACTCACTGTATCTGTCATAAAATATCAGTTCCAAAAATAAGATTCCAAGATACCATAATATAATAGTACGAGAGAAAAAACGTACTTCGGAAAAACAAGTATTTTAAGACGTCTGGCTCTTTGATATATCTTTTACTATGTTCTCTAGAACAGCATGTGTGGCCCGTCTGGCTGCCGGTAAACGTTGCGTTCCCTACTGCGCATTGAAAGTAGATCCTATATTTTTATTAGTCCTTTAAATTCTAGTACTGAATATAAATCGAGCATGTCTCCATAGCGCAGTGCGTAGAGTTTCCGACCACGAACCGATGATTCAGAGTTCGAATCCGGGTCAGGGTAAAGACTTTTTTATTTTATTTTCGTTTATATTCTGATAGTAAAGTATTAAATATTTGTTTTTTTTTAGTCACCAGAATTATTTAATACTTTACTATTAGAATATAAACGAAAATAAAATAAAAAAGTGTTTGCCCTGACCCGGATTCGAACTCGCCCTGACCCGGATTCGAATCATCGGTTCGTGGTCGGAAACTATGCACTGCGCTATGGAGACATGTTCGATTTATATTCAATACTGGAATTTATAGGACTAAATTAATAAAAAATATAGGATCTTCTTCCGATGCGCAGTAGTGAACGCAACGGGTATCGGCAGCCAGACGGGCCGCATGCTGTTCCAGAGAGCATAGTAAAAGATATATCAAAGAGCCAGACGTCTTAAAATACTTTCTCGAAAACGTTGCTAGCTCATATTATGGAGCTTTTTCAGGACACATGGCTCATCCTGTATTGTATTTATTGTGTGACTTTTGTTAAAAAAATATTTTTTTTAGAAACGTAACTACTATGGCTGCTTGTCTGTGTGTTTTACCATTTTTACCCGCATCCAATCTGTTTTTTAAAGTTGGTTTTGTAATAGCAGAACGTACTCTATTGTTACCCAGTGCAGGCTTTTCATTAATGGTGGCTGTAGGATTAGAAAAATTAAAAGACAGATACGGGAGTCTGAAAAAAGTAAGAATACAAGGAAAAAAATGTTATATTTTATTATTTATGCTTTTCTTTGTAGATTTTTTCGTTTTTCTATATTCTGCTCATAATCACCTTTATTTTACGTTGTATTATACGCAATTACGAATGGCTCAATGAAGAAAGACTGTTCAAATCGGCTCTAGAAGTATGCCCTTTGAACGCAAAAGTTCATTATAATATAGCAAAGGTAAGTATAGAAAATGACCGAAAAAAAGTTCGTCACAGTGACCTTTGAAATGACTTGTGATTGGTGATAATTTTTGGTCTAAAGGTTGAGGCAGATCAAGGGAATAAATTAATTGCCATCGAGAAATACCGTCATGCTTTAAAATTGTATCCAGATTATGAACAAGCCATGAACAATCTTGCTAATATTTTGCGTGAGGATGGTGACCTAAAGGAAGCTGAAATTTTACTTAAAAAAGCTGTTCAGGTAAGCAAATAAAATAAACTTTTGAAATAACTGAAAAGTTTAAAGTACTTTTTATATTATCCTTTATAAATGATTAACCTATTTATAATCTGCCCAATGAGAGAATGTATGACTGTAACAGTTGCTGTGTACCATTTTCTGTTATTTTTTGTCGTCATGTTGGCTGTCAAAATCTTCCCTGACTCGTCAGACTGTCGGACAGACTATAGCCGATTCTAACCTAAGTATACAAATTAGTTCAAATAAATGCAAGAAACTTTCTACATTTATTATTATATGTACAAATGTACTATATTTATTCTTAAATATTCTACATTTATTATTATATGTACAACTTATGTACAAATAAGAAAGTTTTAATATTGCAGAGGAATAAATAAAACAAAATATTTTATTAAAAATAATTTTAATAATTTACAAACACTTACTGAATTTTATACCTTAAAAGTTTATTAAATAATGGTTATTTGACATAATTTGACACAAATAATCATCTTTAATTTGACAAGTTTCTTAAGTCGAGATCATACCCATCTGCATCCGTGCGTCGTTCATCGTTCCTTCACTGTAATATTGAAATATTGTAATTTCTAAAATAAAATAATAAAACTGATTAAAAACAACAAGATGACGGATTTATATAGAGGGTGTTTCAAAAAACTTGCCATCCCTCGTGGGGAAATTCCTCAGGTAAAAATAAGATTTAATTTTTATATCAACATAGACCCGGTTCTGCTTTGTTTCATAGCTACAGGGTGTTAAAGTTAATATTTTTTCGATTTATTATAATTTTCTTCCAAGTACTTTTAGCATATCGAATGAAATTTTGAGGGTAAAAGTTACTATAAATGCGACATATTTTAAAGCTAAAAGAGTGTCGACATATTCACCAGGGACGTGCATATGGGTTATTACTGGAATATATAATAATGATATCATTTCTTTTGATAAAATTCAGTGGCGCACATGTTTTTTTAAAAAATATTCCAGTGATAACCCATACGCACGTCTCTGATGAATTTATTGACACTTTTTTGGCATTAAAATATGTAGCACTTATAGTAACTTTTAACCTCAAAATTTCATTCGAATCGCTAAAACTACTTGGAAGAAAATTATAATAAACTGAAAGATTATTAAGACTTTAACGCCCTGTAGCTACGAAACAAAGCAGAATCGGACCTATGTTGATGTGAAAAATTAATCTTATTTTTACGTGAGGAATCTCTCCACGAGAGATGGCACGTGTTTTTTGAAACACCCTCTATAAACCCTTCCATAGTTAACATAAAAAATATTGGAAACTTTTTTTACTAGAATAAATGGATTGGTATGGACGCCATCTGCTTTTTTCTGTCATCGTCTGTCGAAATATTCCCTGAGTCGTAAAACAGGGTAGGTATAGTTAACTGTTTTTGTAGGTAAGGCCTAACTTTGCAGCAGCATGGATGAACCTGGGCATTGTATTAAGCGGAAAAAGTCGCTTTGAAGAAGCGGAGGAGGCTTATAGAACAGCTTTAAAATACCGTACACGTTACGCGGATGCTCATTACAATTTAGGAAATCTCCTGTTGGACTTGGGAAGACATCAGGTATGTTTTCTGGAGAACAACAAGAAAAAAAAAGGAGAAAATTCAGAACAAAATTTAAAAAAGTATCTGATGATCTATTTTCCAACCTCTTTTTGTTCGTGTATTCTCGTTTCTTCTTCTCGTCTGTTCTCGGAGAATGTTCTCCAAACATAAATTCTCCAGCATTTTACAGCACTAATAATTATGAATTAGTATATTTTTCTTTGGTATTCCCTTTGAAGGAAGCTCTGGAATCTTGGAAAGAAGCGACGAAAGTACGTCCTACTCATTCAGCTGCTTGGGCCAACGCTCTAGCTCTCTTAGATTCAGATGGTAGAGCAGCCGAAGCTGTAGAATTGGGCCTCAAAGCTCTGAGATACATTCCAAGAGCTCCAGCAATTCATTTTGCTTTGGGAAATGCTTTAGGAAAACTAAATAGGTATATAGTTATATAGCTTTTCAAAATTATTCTAAAGGCGAGTTTTCATGTGTCCGATAGGATATTAATTTTATTGGTTGAATTTAAAGAGTTTGATTGACTCCATTTATCTGATAATATGAATCGCTTGTGATTCATTAAAAATTTTTGACAATTTTGACGATTCATAATAAATCCGTCATCCGTGGATAATATTAACGTATGACGGACGCATGAAAATCGGCCTTAATACTTTTTAAACAGTATAGTTACAGTTTTTTGAGGATGGTAAAGAAATAAACTTATTATTTTGTAATTAACTTTATAGGTTTCTTGAAGCAGAGGCTCACTTTTTACAAGCTATCAAGATAAATGATAATAATGCCCTGTATTATTCAAATTTAGGTAAGTCAGACATCTATTCAGTCACTGTTATTTTTAATACACTTATAGAAAATAAATGTTGAAGAAATTTAATAGCAAGTCTAATATGTCAATTTCCTGAAAACTAAACTTTTGCTATGGCTTATAGAAGGATTGAAAAAAAGCGGCGTCAAGTCACCTTAGAAATATCGATCGATAGTATTTCTGTAAAATTCCTCACAGAGAATTATCATCGATCGTCATTTTTAAGGTAACTAGTCGTTTTTAAGATCATACGGTATTTTTATAATTATTATATTTCAGGTGTTTTATATCACCGTTGGGAGAAAACGAAGAAGGCCAGCGAAATGTACCTTAGGGCGTTAAAAATCGATCCCCATTTGAGGTCGGCCCAAAACAACCTGAAAAAACTGGAATCTTTCCTCCTGAGTAGTGCAAATGCTCAAGCGAAAAAACGTTTAAATCTTTAAAAATAAATGGTGTATGTCTATGTGTATGCTCATTGTGACACTAATATCAATAAATATGACTGTTTATACGTGATTTTTTTATTTATTTCTTTTTATAATAATTTTCATTCAGTTTCATAGAAACAAGGATGGTACTCATTATATAATAATCTATTAGTGATAATACTTTTAGATAATCATATAGAATGTCTTAAAATGTTAGTTAAATCTGTAGAAAGTTCAAACAACAATAAAATTGCAATATTTATATAATAGTTCTTTTGTACTACTTAAAAAGATTTTGCCCATCTCTAATTCAGATTTAACTGGAAAATAATCCATCCTTATTTATGGCAACCTTGGACAATTGACATTCCGGCTCTTGACACTTGATTTTTTCGGGGTTAGAATTCGCTCTGAAATAATACAAAATTTAATTTAATAAAAAACTTAATTATAAATTTAGTTCAGTAATATTTAAAAGTGAATTTTAAATCAAATTGGTAAGTTTAACCTTTTCTATATTTCATATACGTGGTTTGGTAGATATTTATATGTACAAACTAATCTTCAGTATAGTTATGTAATAAGTTATGGGTTAATAGTAATATGTTATTTAACAATATTTCTTTTTTTAATTAAATTAGATATAATGGCCGCCATCAGATCAATGTCCCGTCTTCTTACAAGCAGATCCCTTAGCTCAACAGCAAAAAGATGTTATTCGGAAGAAATGAACTTTACTTTTGCCTCAGGAAATCAAGTATGTGCCCTCTAAAACTTTGATTTTGTATCATATAAAATTGTAAATTGTTGTAGATATTTTATGATGGAAAAAGCGTTAAACAAGTAGATGTCCCTTCGTTTTCTGGTAGTTTTGGTATCCTACCCAAACATGTTCCAACTTTGGCAGTTTTAAGACCAGGAGTCGTGTCTGTATATGAAAACGAAGGAGCTGTTAAGAAGATCTTTGTATCCAGTGGGACTGTCACAATTAATGATGATTCCTCTGTACAAGTTAGTGAACTCTTTTTATAAACATTATTTAAATATTGAGAGATTTGTACAAAATGTTTTTGTTTATTGAAAATAATATTATGTTTATTAAATGTGTCTTTTTATTTAGATTATCGCAGAGGAAGCTCATCCTGTTGAAAATATAGATCTATCAGCTGCCAGAGATCTTTTAAGTAAAGCTCAGAGTCAATTGTCTTCAGCAGCCAATGATCAGGTAATTTTTTCTGAACATTTTTTATTATGTTATCATTAAATATATCTTAAAATCAAATACTTTTACTTCTATAGGGTGGCACAAAAAAGTGTGAGTGGAATGGGATATGCATATTTTTAGTGGAACACCCTGTATATTATTGCATTTTGGCTTACTTTCTGATCACTTTACATAATCCTAAGATATTAAATATGTTTGATAGTTTTTAATATATTAAAAACTAAATAAAATATTTTTTAAATAAAATATATTTTTTAAATAAAATATATTTTTAAAATATATATTTGAAAAATACAGGAAATGTCTTGAAATTAAAACTATTCTAGGATTTCTAGGTATTTACTAAAGCTGGTCTGTACTTTGCTATAAATATCATAATCTTAAATCATACAGAGCGTTCAAAATTCTCTGCGAAGCTTTCTAAAATATAAAATAAATTTCCTTCGTTTTTTAAATCCATGTATATTATTTTTTGTTTATACGAGGAATTATAAAATGAACATTTTTTGCATTTAATGTCTTTCAAAAGCTTTAACGATTTTGCAGATATTCATGGTATTACATATAGAAATCTGTATATTATACAAGGATTATGCTATACTACATTTATTTAAATGTTTTTAATATTACAGGCTAAGGCTGAAGCTGAAATAGCCATCGAAGTGGGAGAGGCGTTAGTAAAGGCTGCTGAGTAAAAATAAAACCAAACGTACTTTAAATTTATTATAAATAGCTTTATGAAATAAAATGTTGAAATTTACTGTAACTACTTCAGTTTTTTATGTCTCTGTATAATAAATCAGTAAAAAAATACTATAATAATAGGTGTCAAACATATTTTTATTTCGTTCTTTTGCTAGAATTGTCATACAAAGTGGTTAAAAGATGCAAATCTTTAATAAAATATTCAAGTATGGAAACTTTACATAAACTTTATTTTTGATGCTTAATATATATAAATAGCAAGAAAAAAAGATGTTTAGACGATTTTTTTTTGTAGTTTTTTAGTGTAATTTTTGTTACATTATTAACAGCACCGTAAAGGATGCTCCTAAAAATATATATTCCCTTGAATTAAACATATTTTGACGTCTTAATGAAGATTAAAGTATCTTTAAAGTAAATGGGAAGAGCAAAACACCTCTTCTTGCCTTATTTTGTGAATTAATAGGTATAATGAAATGTAGTTTCTTCCCTGATTTCACCTCACGTGTAAATCTGACGGTGACATCTCTATTAAAGTGACCCGATGACCGTTATTTTACCGGAATGTAGAATGATGGGGGGGATTAGTCTGGCCTTAAGGATCTATTTGCTGTCCTCCATTCGCGAATTTCAAGTTCCAGAGCTTTACGCTCTGGGCTACTCAGAACGGTTCTGAAAGGAGCTGTGCGCGATAGCCTGGTGCCTCCATATAGCGCGGGAACAGTTCTGAACTTCATGACTCAATTGAATGGAGTGAGAGTATCGCGTTCTTGCACAGTTCAGAGCTGCACAACTGCGTGAATGGAGGACAGTAATTGTGTCCCTCTTCCTTGAGTTATAACTCATCATACTTGAGGATTTTCCTGTTGCATGGGGGACAGGGTATTTCCCATCTTTCTCTGACAATAGATGTTCTTCCTCCGAGGGTATACGCCCTATCACTGTTAGGGTTTGGCCCACTGTGTCTTTCACAGTCGAGGGACTTGTCTCTGGCTGAGGTACCCGTGAGGTGGAGGCTGGAGGAGATTCTCTCCACCTCTATAACTTGGTCTCTCCTTAGACCTGATACCGGTGTTGTCCCGAATATACAGGGTGTCCCAGAAATAAGTGTAAGTATTTAAGGGGTGCTAGATCTCGATAAAAAACATTTTCTCTTTATCGTTTTTCAAATAAGTCCAAAATAACGGAGTTATTTTACTTTAAAAATTTGAAAAAAAAAATATTTTTTGCTAAAATTTTGAGAACCACTGGATTTTCTTTTTTGTAAATTTAATCTACCACCTATTTTGCCATATTATTTAAAAATTATTTGGTATCTTTCGCCGTGCTTCTCGGCAGAAATACCGTGATTGTCGCCCTTTTTAGGATTTTTCTCTCCCCTTCACTGCAACTAGTCTCGGTCCCTGCCAATTCTTAAGCTTAGTGCATCAACCAATCCGCCGATTCTTGAGATTCAAAATCTGTGACAAAGAACCTAATGCGATTATGATATCCTTTTCGTGCTGACATTTTTTCGGTAATTTCATTAGCATTTGAAATTGTCTCAACATAACGCTTCGCCCAGTTTGGTTTCTTTTTCATTTAATTTTTATTACCCGACACAGCGTACGTAAACTTCCTACTTGGAAATTTTATAGTTTCAAATACTGTATGCACTAGTAAAAACTAAAATACTTAAATATAAGACAAAGCACGATGATTTTAATATAATTGCAATTAGATTAACATGAACGGTAACCGAGAGTACGTGAAAAACAGAGCCGGAAAGTTCTGATGTCTGCCGTACCGAGCGCTGCTGTCGAAATTTTAAAAACCTTCTTAAATGCACCAAGCCTATAAACCGAGATAGCTGATTATGGTAAATGTTAAAACTATAACAGAGTATAAATAAAAAAATGGTACGTTTTAAAGGTAGTAATGTATTTTTATAAGCCAATTTACAGTTTGAAAATGGCTTTAGCAATTTTTCCAACAAGTCCATCGCTTTCTGGTAGTCTTTCAGCGTGAACTCCTCCACTCCAAGCTTGCCGTAGTCCAAGTATCTGGTTCCTAGAGCCTCGATGAACCCGACTGATTTCACGAAGCTGAACGGATTCACGTTTACGGCAAAAATAGATATTTCTTTGAAAAACAGCTGATATGGAGAAACCCTAAAATATGAAGAAACGCGACTAAAAGATTTGAGAAAATAATATTGTTTTAGAGTTTGGCGACAAATACAGGGTGACGCACCTCATTCGCCTCGGTTGACTATACGAAAACGGAAAGATGTAGAAACAAAATATTTTATGGGTATATGTGTGGAGACAATGTGCACAATTTAAAATTATTTTGAAATATACAGGGTGTTTCAGAACTAAGATCCATACCAAAGTTAAATTTTTTCTTATGGAACGCCCGGTATTTTATTTCATTTTTAGATTCTTGTGCCCAAAAAAGGCATTTATTATAAGGGTTAAATATGTTTAAAATCTTTAGTTTTTGAGATATTTAAAGATATTTAAATTTGCATGCTACAATAGAATAGACTATTAACACCCTATACATTACTTTTCAGAATTAATTCTTATGCTGAGTTTAAAGGTAGAGAAATAAACTTTACTGAAAAATGGTATTGGTTCCTTAAATTTATACAGGGCTATCAAAACTTGCTGATCTATTTTAAGGATATATTTTATATAAAACTTTGTTATTTCAAATGCAACACCCTGTATTTTTTTAAATAAATCGAAGCAGATTCAAATGCTCTTTCTAACTATATTAGGGTTTTCTATACCTATCTAGCTCAGATGTTGAATAAAAAGCGATTTTTAAATAAAATTGCAATCAAGATGGCTGGTGTCGCCATGGCAATTTTCTAGTGACAGTTAGTAACTATTTTCGAAGTCGACATTAGTTTATGGACATTATTATTTATAATGTAGTAGTTTAGGCTTTCGCGGCCATCGTTTGAAGAATTTTGGTTTTTCGGGTTATTAGGCCGTCGTCGGTTAGAATTGCTTCCTAACGTTTCGCTAGCACGAGTGGCTAGCATCTTCAGAGGTGTGTTTGCTCCGATTGCTCACACTAGACTGATGCCTCCGCGTCGGCGTAGCGCGTATTTATGCGTCGGCGGAGGGGGCGTGGCTTGTTCGGGTGGTAGTTCTTCCGGAACTGGTCTACTTCTCTGTGCTGCTACTTTGGTCCTAGATATAGCTGGATGCCAAATTCTGTTAAGGTAGAACGTTTCTTCCTTCCTGTTGAAATTATTTGGATGTTTGTGAATTTCAACAGCTTCTCTGACCAGACGAGGATGATATCCAGATGTTGTGGCAATGACTTTGGGTGTCTTCGAATTGGATTTTGTGGTCACCATCTCTTAGAGCATGTTCTGCTACGGCTGACTTCTCTGTTTGCCCTAATCTGCAGTTTCTCTTGTGTTCCGTAAGTCTCGTTCCTACTGAGCGTTTGGTAGTTCCAATATATACGCTACCGCAGGAACAAGGTATACGGTAGATCCCCCAAAAAAGAACATCAGGCTCTAAAATCGCTGAATGCTGACAAGGACATTCTGGTCTTACCGGCAGACAAGGGGAATGCTACGGTAGTAATGAAGTCTGAGGATTATAGGTCCAAAATCGAGGATCTACTGGAGCCCCAGACTTATAAGTTACTGAAGAAGGATCCTACTGCCTTAATTGTCAGAAACACCAACAGACTCATCAAGGCCTCCTCACTCCCGGAACATCTGAAATCAAAATTAATTAACTCGGAAGCTCAACCACCACGCCTTTATGGACTACCAAAAATTCATAAAGCTAGTGTCCCACTTAGACCGATAGTGAGTGCTCCAGGATCGCCTACTTACAACTTAGCTAAATACTTGACTACGATCCTACAACCGAAAGTCGGCAACACAAACTCTTATGTGAAGGACTCAACGCATTTCGTCCAAAAGCTAAAAGATATAAAACTGGAACCATCTGACATCATGGTAAGCTTCGATGTGGTATCTCTATTCACGAGAGTACCCCTAGGCGAGTCAATGGATCTAATCAAGGAATCATTCCCACCTGACATCGCGGAGCTCTTCCGAGTGTGTCTGACTGGTAGCTATTTCTTATGGAACGGCAATTACTACGAACAAACAGAAGGTGTCGCAATGGGTAGCCCAATCAGCCCAATAATTGCTAATTTCTTTATGGAGAGATTTGAAGAAAAAGCGCTAGAGTCATCCGTTCTGAAGCCCGCTGTATGGTTTCGTTATGTGGACGATACATTTGTGGTTTGGAAACATGGACGTGACAGCCTAGATGACTTCCTTCATCACCTTAATTCGCAGAGCCCGAGCATAAAATTTACCATGGAAACCGAAGTAAACAACCAACTGGCCTTCCTCGATGTGCTTGTCAAGAGAAATGGCGACCTTTTGGATCACACCGTGTATCGAAAACCCACTCATACAGACCGGTACTTACACAAACTATCAAATCACCATCCAAGCCAAAAACAGGGGATTATCGGAACATTAGCAAATAGGGCAAGACGTATCTGTGCTAATGAACACATCCAAGAGGAACTAAGTCATTTAAATAAAGCCTTTCTTGCCAATGGCTATAATGACAGAGAAATAAAGGCGGCGCTGGCACCTAGGCAGAGGAGACCTGACGCCAATGAACAGGAAAACATCATTAATAAGGCCTTCCTTCCATATGTTTCCCAGGTCACCGATAGGATTGGTAAAGTTCTCAAGAAGCATAACATCAAAACCATATACAAACCTACCCGAAAAATAAGGGACTGCTTAAGACCAGCAAAAGACAAAAGAGAACCATTATCCTCTGCAGGGATCTACCGTATACCTTGTTCCTGCGGTAGCGTATATATTGGAATTACCAAACGCTCAGTAGAAACGAGACTTACGGAACACAAGAGAAACTGCAGATTAGGGTAAACAGAGAAGTCAGCCGTAGCAGAACATGCTCTAAGAGATGGTGACCACAAAATCCAATTCAAAGACACCCAAAGTCATTGCCACAACATCTGGATATCATCCTCGTCTGGTCAGAGAAGCTGTTGAAATTCACAAACATCCAAATAATTTCAACAGGAAGGAAGAAACGTTCTACCTTAACAGAATTTGGCATCCAGCTATATCTAGGACCAAAGTAGCAGCACAGAGAAGTAGACCAGTTCCGGAAGAACTACCACCCGAACAAGCCACGCCCCCTCCGCCGACGCATAAATACGCGCTACGCCGACGCTTGTGGCATCAGTCTAGTGTGAGCAATCGGAGCAAACACACCTCTGAAGATGCTAGCCACTCGTGCTAGCGAAACGTTAGGAAGCAATTCTAACCGACGACGGCCTAATAACCCGAAAAACCAAAATTATTATTTATAATTTATAACAGTTTACTTAAATTTTCCTACAATAGTTTAATAAGTAAGTATTCATTACTTCATCAAGAAAAATAAAGCAGTATCTGCTAGCGGAACGAATAGATATGTTACTAGTGATATTATTTTGTGAGGAAAATTGCTTCTTGGCCTCAAGGGCTTACGCTCAAAGATATCCAAATAGGGATCTTCCTGATAAGCGTTTCTTTGAAAAACTTCTTGTCCTATTTCGCAAAGCTGGTAGTATGGTTTATAAAAAACCTATTAGGCAAAAACATATCGTTGGAAGTGAAGAAAATGATATCTGCCGTAATTGGCTCTTTTATAGAAAATCTATATATCTACAAGTCATCGTAAAATAATTCAAAGAACTACTTCTTCGATTTTCTTGATAGAATAATAAACACATATTTAATAAATATTATTTATTAAACTATTGTAGGTAAATTAAATAAAAGTAAACTGGTATAAATTTAAATAAGTCCACAAACTAATTTCGATTTTGAAAATGGCTACTAACTGTCACTAGAAACTTGCCATGACAACACTAGCCCTCTTGATTACAATTTTATTGAAAAATCGCTTTTTATTCAAAATCTGAACCAGATAGGTATAGGAAACCCTAACATAGTTTGAAAGAACATTTAAATCTGCTTCGAATTATTTAAAAAAAATACATAGTGTTGCATTTGAAATAACAAAGTTTTTGTGTAAAATAAATTAATGTAAAATAGACCAGCAATTTTTGATACCCCTGTATACATTTAAGGAAGGAATAAAATTTTCTGTAAAGTTTATTTCTCTACCTTTAAACTCAGCATAAGAATTAATTCTGAAAAGTAATGTACAGGGTGTTAATAGTCTATTCTATTGTAGCATGCAAATTTAAATATCTTTAAAACCAAACATTTTAAACATATTTAACCCTTATAATAAATACTTTTTTTGGGCCCAAGAATCCAAAAATGAAATAAAATACCGGGTGTTCCATAAGAAAAAATATAACTTTGGTATGGATCTTTAGTTCCGAAACACCCTGTACATTTAAAAATAATTTTAAATTGTGCACATTACCTCCCCACATATACCCATTAAATATTTTGTTTCTACATCTTTCCGTTTTCGTATAATCAACCGAGGCGAATGAGGTGCGCCACCCTGTATATTGTTTTTTTTATTGTAACCGAGACTGGCGGAACGAATTTGATGGCACGTGTGAATTGACCTTAATCTAATACAAAAAAATGGATGTGAAAAAAATCCTTCTTGCTAACAGCTTATTATACCGGGTGAGTCTCAAAACTCAAAAGTGGCTCACCCCTATAACTTTTTTTTTTAGTTAAAAAAAGGGGATTTGGTATGTTAGTATATGACATAAATTAGGATTGATTGACGTATTCAATTGTTTTCGGTTACTTCCGGTTTCACCGGAAATGACTACAATCTACAACTTTTGATTTTTAAATGACACTCCTGGTATTTTTTTTTACTTTATTCGTGTTTTTAACATCGCCATGACACTCTAGATTGAATTTCAAAATACAATTTTTTATTAAGCGAGAATGTCAAAAGTTGACATATGATATGTCATTCTATTCAGAATGTCATTTTCTATCGAATAAATTACAAAAATACTGAGGGTACCATTTAAAAATCAAGTTGTAGTCATTTCCAGTGAAATAGGAAGAAATATATGGTATGAAAACAATCCAGTGAAATAGGAAGAAATATATAAAAATGAAAACAATTGAATACACAAATCAATCCTAATTTATGTCATATACTAACATACCAAATCTCGTTTTTTTTTATCTGAAAAAATAAAAAAGTTATAGGGGTGAGCCACTTTTGAGACGCACCCGGTATAGCTTATATTTAATTTCTCAAAAAAAAAACAATCGCCACATATTATTAAAGAATATATTCATCTGAACCACAAGACACCTTGAATTCTCTGAATTACGTTTTTTAATAGTTTGGATGCCGTAAAAGGAAATTCGAAGCAATAAGTGCTGTTTCACATGGAGCGGATCGTCCGCATGTTTTTTCAAGGTCCGTCGGACTGCTTTCACATGAGCTGTTAAATCCGTTGCGGGTAGATATGTAGTATTTGCGGAAAAGGCAAGCGGTTATAATTCTACGAAGAACTCAGTGGCCCTGTTTGTTTTGTTTTAAATTTTAAGGGCAATTAATAAAAATATCTGTAAGCTGAATCTCTTGCTTATTATCGTTCATTACTAGTTTATTTTAATAACTCATCAATGAAGAATATTAGGACATGTTTTTTGTTTACCAGATTTACACTATTCTTCCCGATTCTTCCCGATTCGAAAAGCTGTACCGGTACTGTATATAGTAGGGGCAACGGCCCAGCTACGTCGCAGCACAGGTTCCCATTAGAACACCGAAGTTAAGCGACGTAAGGCGATACTAGTGGATGGACGGGTGACCGGTTCGAAACTCTGTATCGTGCTGTTGTCTAAAGGCAAGAGTGTAAAATCTATATTGACACACACTGCTCATCCACGCCGGTTTGAGGCCGGATGAGATCGGATATCTCGTGAGTCGAGTCGATTTAGACACTCGCCAAGTCGGTAGGCCATTGACCATGATATGGCCGAGGACCGCGGTTCGGATTCTGCGTAAACAAAGTAGGCCTCATCCAGTTTAGCCATGGCAGCAAAAAGGAGACGTTAACTTGAAACTGAACTGAAGCTGCAACGTCTCCATAATATGCTTTATTTTTATTATCTCGGTTTTTATATTCCTCGCAGGAGATATTCTATATACCTACTTCTTTGATTTTCCACAGCGTTATCAATAATTCTGTTTCAATTTTAAAGGTACTCATTGATTTACAGCTGCAAAGACGCTTATTGAAATAAATTGCAACGCAGCACTTCGACCGCAACGGATGGTCCGCGTGTATGTGAAGTAGCCTATTTAAACACGTAGCCGCACGCGCGCGGACGGATAGGCGTCGAACGAAATCATCCGGGCGGAGCATACGCGTCCTATGTGAAATTGTTCATTTAAACTCATGCTACTTGCTCGAACTCGCGAACGCGACGGTTCGCGCGGACGCTCCGCTCCATGTGAAACAGCACTTCACAAAAACTTGAAGGAGAACAGCAAAAAAATGGATTGTATATTATTTAGGAATATGTAATAATAATAATAATTACTTTGTTGAGTAGTGTATATTATATAAATTGTGTCTCTGGATTGACTATAGCTATCTCTTGCTGAAGTTCTATAGAGTGATACAGCTGATTATAGTAACTGTTAAAACTATGTATAACAGGGTATAAATAAAAAATGGTATGTTTTAAAGGTAGTAATGTATTTTTTAAATCACTTTACAGCTTGAACACGGCTTTAGCAATTTTTCCAACTTTTAACAAATCCATCGCTTTCTGGTACTCTTTTAACGTGAACACTTCCACTCCAAGTTTGCTGTAGTCCAAGTATCTGGTTCCTAGAGCCTCGATGAAGCCGACTGATTTCACGAAACTGAATGGATTCACGTTTACGGCAAAAATAGATATTTCTTTGAGATAGAGCTGATATGGAGAAACCCTGAAATATCAATAAAAGTGATTGGTTGTGAAGCGACAAAGTTGTTTTTTTCTTGTAATACCAATAAGAAATATTTTAATCAAAAGTTTAATTTTATGTCATTAAAAGTCTAGTCACACAGATGCCAATCACGTCTCATAGCCGTACCGTCTCAGTCTAATTCAGTTAATACCTAAAGGTTATTCACACATATCAGTCAAAAGTTGTTCTCCGACTCAGTTAGTTGTAGTGGGCTTCTCTCAAAATTTGCGTGAGTAATTTTACATACAACGAATTAGCTCTGATTGATGTAGTTTTTGATGAGGAAGAATCTGTGTCTGTGAAAGAAATTCCGAGAATGGCAAACACAATATTAAAGTATGATCAATTTACTACAAAACGCATTTAAACAAACAGCAATATAGTCCATTTAGACTTGACGAGTATGTCACCGCAAAACACACTTCACCCTCTCATTACATTGGCTACATGCAAATTTGTCTAATTTTTATTGACGGCACGCATCGTCTATTTTTTTACGAGAAAGTTCGATTAAACCGAGCAGTTGTTATCGGTAAAATAGTGCCGTGATTTTATAAATTTTTTATTGTGTTTCTTCTTAATTTTTCAATTTTTATAAAGATTAGATCTCATTTACGAGGAAAAACGTTGAAAAAAATAATACTGATTAGGTATTTATTTTGAAAATTTTGTATAAGAGCTCAAACATACTGACGATCAGATCGTAGCGACCTGGCCGTTGGCTGGTCGTAGACCATCAGTAATACCTGTGGTAATACCCTTGTAATACCATTAAATCAAGTGATACAACGCGCACTAACGTCCACGACCAAGCGGTCGGAGCTGTTGGCTGGTCGCTGCGATCTGGTCGTCGCGTCAGTGCATTTCAGCGCTAAGTAAGTAATATTTAAAATATTTATGTCTCGTAGCTACAGACAGGATCGATGTACTGTACGTACATACATAAGACTTGGTTGAAAAGAGAAACTGACGAAGAATTTTGTACTCTTTTTGAGAAACTAAGTAATGATTGAACCAAGCTGTAAGAATTGCGTATTTTAGAATATCTAAAGAGTCTTTTTATATACTTCTTAATAATATAGAACTCCACTTGAAGAAACAAGATACTCATTGGAGAAGAACTATTTTGTGTAAAATGTCATTCGTCGACTTCGGTACTAGTACTTAATGAAATATATTTTTATTATCAGAGAAGTATTGTTTATTTTTTTGAAAGAATCATATTCATGAAATTACTTGAAAAACTATTTTTTAGAGATTTTCTATGTAGAAAGTACCTTTAATAAAAATCTATCAAGAGTGCAAGACTTGCAAGAGTTTTAAAGCAAAACCAAGACCAAACTGAACCTTGCAAGACCAATACTACTTATTAGACTGCAAGAACAAGGAGGGTTTTGCTCTTGGTCTTACATTTGCTTATCACTATATGAACTTACGTTATTGTGCCGTGAGGAGGTGCAACTCCAAAACAACACAATCTGCCTCCTTTGTCTAATAAGCTTAATCCCTCCTCAATTGCGGGACAATATCCACTGCAATCTATGACAACGTCGAAACCATATCCAGGTACTGTTTCCTTGTTTTTCCTTAGTTGGTCAGGTGTGATAAGATCATATCCAGTATCTAAAGTAGAATTTTAGTAAATATAAAAGGTGAGAGTCTACGCCTACCCCCAAATACGATTGAAATTATGTTAAATCTACCATCACTACACATTTTCAATACCAGACCTGTCATGTACAGGTTAATTTATGGTCAGTACACATTTAACAACAGCTATATACAAGGTATATCTTTAACGTATATCTTTAACAAAAATATTAGTACCTAATAAGTAAAGACAGAAAGGCTGTTAAAGCTCTAGTGGAAGCTGTTGGGACAGATTTTGGCAGTCTAATGAAATGAAACGACAGAACACATTTTATGTCAATGGGACAGCCTGGCAAATGTGCGCTCTTTGTATTAGGTAATGATAGACCATTGACAAAGAGCTATATGGAATGTTCAGTCTCCAAGACTCCAAGTTCCTAGACTTTTTGAAAAGGACAGGCCTGGAAAATGTAGCTTAGAGATCAGAAGAAGCTTACAGTAGATCAGAAAAGGTCGCAGTAGAACAGGTTGATAGTCACCTCAAAAAGAAATCTAATCTAAAGGTAATGGCACCATGTAATATGAATTAGAATGAAAATGACGTTGTAGTAGGTGCAGAAATATAGCAATATCAGTAGGTTGGTGTTTATTTGATATCATTGTTAGATATTTACCTAGTTTTTTTGTGTAATTGAGTCTGCTAACGTTTGGTTCGGATACTGTCACTCGCCTATGACCTTGGAGATGTAACAGGCAAACCCATAAGTTTCCTATTATACCGGCACCAAGGACCAATATTCTGGAGCCTACGGTTACAGGCGATAGCATGTCCCATCCGTGAGACAAGCATGAAATTGGTTCAGCCAATGCCCCTACAAATTACAAGAAAACTAAATTAATGTGATTTCTAAAGTGATAAATGTAGATTGCATAAAAAATGTGAAAGTATTTCTAAAGGCGAAGGATAAAACAATTTAACCCACGACAACTTTTGATGAAAAAATCGTGCCCCAATCAGCCCCAATCGGACGGTTCATCCAGACCAGGTGAAAAGTTTAAACAGCTCTGTGTCTTTTTTTAGTTCGCTTTACATTTACCAGTCGAATCTCTGTCTTTTTTTGTGTTTACTCGTACACATGCGGGCAGTTAGATAAGTTCAGTTTAGATTGCAAATAACAAAAGATAAGTGAATATCTAGGTAGGTACGCAGACCATGTCATCACTATCATCAGCATTTCCAGCTTATTTAACTATTTTCAATTACAGTGTAGCCTCTCTCGCATATTTAGGTAATCTCTTTGTAGTTGGGCCAATCTCTATCTATTGTCTATTGTTGGCTATGCGGGACCAAGTTATCCCTGCTAATTTCCTAATATCATGGTCCCATCTCAGGTTTGATCTTCCCCTAGCTCTCTTAATTCCTCGTGGGTACTATGCTGTAATTTTTGTGGTAGGTACATCTGTTGTTCGTATTTCTTGCCAAATTTGCCCATTGCCACTTGAGGGATTTGATCTCTGGATGACATCTATTACCCGGGTCTTTTGTCATATGGACTCTATTCTTTTAACAGTCTTTCTTGAATATTCCCAGCATAGTTCTTCCATTGAGCGTTTTGCGACCTGCAGTTTATAATGCCCGTTTTAAGTATCCAGGCTTCGCATGCATATTACTGGTTGTACACATTGGTCGGAATGTTTTCTTCTTTAGGTAAAATTCCATTCTAGATTTGAATATGATTAAGTTTCTTAAATTTACTACCTATATCGATACCTAAATAAGTATCTAACTTAAGAGATTTATCAGATGAACTGCTTTTGTCTAATACCACTTAAAGGAAGAACAATTGAATGAAGAGTCTGAGACTCTCAAGTCTCTAATTATTAATTAGATGTACTATAATCAATTATAATATTATCTTATTATGAGTTTTTTTTTCATTAATTTGTTTTATGGCACTTTGAACTTTTTATCTTATTTTTAGAATTCATTAATATTCCTATCCTGTTCAAACAACAGCACTGATATCGATATCAATATTGTTTTTTATTTATGTCTTGTACATTATGTAACAGTGTGTTGTTCAAGCGGGTTGCATAAATTAATATTAAGAGATAAAATAAATCTTATTTTGTTTGTTCAGCTGTTTGAAATAACGAATGACAATCTTTTTTGTTATTGTTGAATATTGAAAAATGAATCTACAGGGCGATGAAACTTGAATGAAATATGAACTAGGAGAAATATTAAACAAAGAATACTAGTGAACTTTAAGTATACAGGATGTCACATCCATGTCTGAGTGAAAAATCCTGTGTTTAGTCAGTATTTAGGACTTGTACAGAGGTATATTATAAAACACACAGTATGATGATTTCAAATAATAGATTTTGCAATATATTTGATACCAATTAAATTTTTAGTTACGCAATCGAAGGCGCAATTTTTAAATTCATTGTTGCCAACCATCGAAAAATTTAAATTTCGCGCTGGGGATTCAGGTGGTAGCTCTGCTGTAAAAAATGTCAAGTTGCCACATTTATTTATTAATATCCTGACTTTGTCATTCATTTTGACTCTTTAGTTTTGTAAAACGAGTTTTTGGTTTAAATAAACAGTGTTGCAAGTTGTTGTTGTTGGTTTAAATAAACAGTGTTACTTTAAGCTTAAAAATGTTCACTAGCAGATCTTGCAGTCCAACCTTGTTCTTTTTAGAACCTCTTTTAGTGCAAAGTGTATAAGATATATAGCTTAATAGCTGTAAAAAACTCATCGCAACTTTATTAGAATATTTTGGACGGGAAAGCGGTCGTAATGATCCTTTATGTCCCTTAAGTGCTGTTAAGAAGGTGAGTTTTATTGATGTAAATAATAACTTTTTATAAACATATTTATAATTAATTTATTCTTGTTTCTTAAAATATTTTGGTTAAAAGAAAATATATAAAAGTGGGCAACGCTGTGCCGGATAAGCTTAATCATGTGACTAAAAGTTTATTTGATATGAACTATACCTACCTTGTTCCAGTGATACACCATCGGGTAATTTTTGAAGCGAATGATTAGGTACCAAAGCGTAGGTACCCCAACCACCATGCCTATGAATTCCTATGGTGCTGTTAATTCCACCGATATTGCAATAGTGTGGATTGCCAGAATGACAATAGTCGCAGCATCTGCATCCTCTAAAATGATACTTCTGATTATTTTGAATAATTTTTCAATTGAGGTAAAAGAAAATTATTAAAATCAAATCGATCATCTACTTACTCATTTGGATCTATAGATACTCTGTCTCCTTTTTTTACATTGTTTACACTAGGTCCAACATCAAGAACTGTCCCAGAAAACTCATGTCCGAGTGTAACAGTATCTTCGCTACATGGAAATTCTCCCTACGGATCAATACAATAGAATATACACTATATAGGGTGCTACAAATTCGAGGTACGAGCATTGGTGTCTCGGAAACCGTAATAGATACGAAGATGTTCACCAAGATGCTATCGAAAAAGTTTTAAAAATTTTAAGGATTGCTGAGTTTTTTTGGAAAAAACGGACTTTTTTGAAAATCAATTTTATTTTTTCCTGTTGTTACTTTTTAGAAAATCAAAAAACTAATTGCATATTCTCATAGCCATTTTATTAGGGCTATCTGATAGTATTTTTATATTAGCTGATAGTTTGTGAGATACAGAGGCCAACCAGTGCCCTCTATTAAAAGATCAGCCTGCGGGCGGACTTTTGTTTACTTCATCAGCTGTACATACTTAGATATTGGGTTAGATTCCGTTTCATATTTTGTCGGTTGATTTTTGGTTTTAACTCTTTGATTTTTTGTATTATTTATTATTGTAGTGCAAAAAACTAATTATTTTGGTGTTGAAGTGACATAAACTACTACCAGATATATGGTCACTCTCGGTTTCGCATAAAAAATAGAAATTTTAAAAATTACACGTTGTGTAAGTGATTTAACCTAAAAGTGCCCATACATTTTTTACTTATCGTGATTTTTGTGTGTGTTTTTAAGACTCTAACAATTCATCAATAAAGCTTAAGTGGAGTGTGTTTTGGTGCTATGCCTCATCTTTGTTGTGTTCCTGGTGGAAAGGATAGTTATACTAGGCAGCCTAAAGTGTCCGGAAGAGCAAGAAAAGTGGGTACGAGTTATAAATCAAGAGAATTATATTGAAAATATCTTTAATAAATTTAAAAAATAATATTCTCCCATGATGGGTATTAATGAAAACTGGACAATTATGTTTATTTTATTTGTATTGTGGCATCTCCACTCCAAGTGTTGTTGGTTCAGCTTCAATAGATTCAAACACGTAAGTAGGTATTATGATCTAGGGAAAATAAAGAATATGTGTATTAAAGATCATGAAAAAGATTATTATTTTGAGTTCAAATTTTAAAAAAGATTTTTGTAAAGACAAGACTGATACAGTTTAAAAGAAGAATGTGTTTTGTTTTGATAATATATAATGTATGTTAAGCATAACATATATTTGTTCAGTAATTTTAATGAATAGTATTGATTATTTATAATACCAAATTAATATCAAATATTTAAGTGATGGCTGAATACAATATGAATAAAATAACAATAAAATTGGTATATTTGCATAATACAAAATTAAGTTTTAAGAATAAAGGTGTTACTAAAAATACTAAGAAATTCATATTTCTTTGTTTTAATTGGTCTAATGTTATTTACATTTTACGTAAGAATTATACGTATCATCGAAAAAAAATCGGCGTCTAGTTGGCTTGGAAATGAACATCGATGACATTCCCTAAATAACTGTACACATAAAATAATTAACTAGAATTTTACAATCTTGGAAAATTTGATATTCTTGAACCTTGATTCTAAATATTCTAAATTTTTTGATTTTCTTGGAATTTAGGTTCGGGAAAAACGCTGATTGATTTTTCATTTGGTTTTTCATTATTTTTATTTGGTTTAAAAAACGGTTCGGCTAACATTATAGCCTCCATCAGTGTTGTGTCATATGAAAAAAATATAATCCAAAAAATTGCATATAAAATATTCACACCACGCACATAATGTTTACTGCGTACTCCATAGTCAATGTAGATAATTTTAGTGTTAAGAATAATAATTTTAAAAAATATGTGGTCATCTTTTGATAAGTTTATATTAGTTTATTAATTGCAGTAAACATTATGAGGTGTGAATTATATTGTATATGTAATTTTTGGATTATATTCGACACTATTTTTCCTCATATGACACAACACTGTGAAGGCTAAAGTTATAGTGAAACGTTTTTTATATACTAAATAAAAATAATGAAACCCAAATGAAAACTTAATCAGCGTTTTTCCCTGAACCTAAAACCCAAGAAAATCAAAAATTTTAGAATAATTTAACATATAAAATGCCAGCGATCTTCATTTCATAGCCATCGCTGACGCCTTTTTAGATAATATTGTATTATTTGTAAAAATATAATTTTTCGAACATTGATACTTGCAAAATATACATATAAATTTTGTGAATGCAAATAATAATACATCACTATTAGTAGATATTAAATGTTTTTGTTAAACTAGATCGATTTTCAAACCCCAAAATTTAAAATATATTTACATTTTACCCATTATCTTATGTACCTATACATTATTTGTACATTGTAAAACATTTGCTGCATTTGTATGGTTCATAGTTTATTTGCCAAAGTATTTATTACTATAAATAGGTATATATGTTGTAGTTATTAACTGTATATTATGTATATTTCATTTAAACTATATTATTTTTAAAATACAAACCAAAAATCCGAGGAATAATTATGTTTTCCATGTATTCTACAACATATTTATTAATCCGTTATATCTAACTAGCGTGACGTCATAAATCTCGCCCGGAGGCTGATCTTTTAATAGAAGGCACTGGGCCAACTTAATTTTTTAAAATATGGACCTGCATTTTTTATTTCAAGTTTTGAAAGAACTCGATCTCCTGAGTACAATGATATGCTATACTTGATATTTTTGTTTTGTTTTGGGTACCTTAACAATAACAAAACTATAAGACTAAGTCCGACTCTGGTTTTTTAAACTATTTAATTTGATTATATTCATCGCAACAATATTGATCAGCGCTAATTAACATTGAATAAGGAAAATCGAGCCAAATGAAAGATTCAAATAAATAATATCCAGGTCAGCAATTTAAAGATATTATTTTTAACTCTTTTTATTGTAAATTTGAAATATCAGTGTACGATCCAATAATATTGTTACGTTTTTCGTCGGTTCCGTGTGGATAGAAAGTCACAATTTATTTAAACACTATTTATTTAACACTAATTAACAAAAACAATAACGATAAAAAAAACTTAAAGAACTATTTACAAACGATTTATAACTAAGAATTTATTTTGAATTTTAGCGCGTCAACTGCACTGGTATATTTATAACTGCCCTCTCTAGGCCACTGCCGCCGGCTTTTATACCTACAGCAAAAGAAATCTAGAATAGTCCATAGATCGTTAGGCGCATAGAGAAGGATTTCGAATGTTCTCGTATGTACTAGTCCATTCTAGTGGGTCTCGATTCTCCTCGAACGAATGAATCATTGCGGTGTCTATGCGATGTTAAGGTCATCCGAGGGCGGGCCATATGACGAGGTTAGGTCGAGTTCACACCGGCTCGCAACAATATGCATAATATTAAACGTAGTTATAAATAAATCAAGTTCTACAAACTAGTTTCTAATGCTCTACATGTTCGAAAGGGTTACCACCCTCCCTAATGCACAATTTTTTTCGTTTAATCTTATTTATAGCTCTTTGAACATATATCTTCTTATACTTCCGAATGCATTTTGTACTCTTTATTGTAAATATTGAAATGTATTGATTTCACTTTTAGAAATGACGTTAAGTCATGCCCTCCTCCTCTTGGCGACAGATCCAGGAACCTCGCTGGCCATTATACTGCTCTACTATTTCCAATCCATCTTCCGGGGAAATGATTTGAATGTTTATATTATATTATATTTATATTATTTTTCATTATTTTATTGCAATTGATTTTCCGTATTCAATGTTTTACCCCGCGTCATTGTTAAGTTTGAAAGCTTATCAATATTGTTAACGATAAATAGATTAAATTATTTAAAAAAAAACAGAGCCGGACTTAAGAATATTTAGTGTGGCGTATCATTGTACTCAGGAGACCGAGTTCTTTCAAAACCTGAAATAAAAAATGCGGGTTCGTATTTAAAAAAAAATAAGTTTGCCTCTGTATCTCACAAATTATCAGCTAATTTGAAAATCTAAAAATACTATCAGATAGCTTTAATAAACTGGCTATGAGATTGTGCAGTTTTTTGATTTTCTAAAAACTAACGACAGGAAAAAATTAAATTGATTTTCAAGAAAATCCGTTTTTTCCAAAAAAACTCAGCAATCAATTTGTAAAAAAAATAATTAAAATTGGCCCACTAGAACAAAATATATTAAATTTTAAAATACTCAAATCAAAATTTTTGGTGTGTTCGTTTTTCGTGCCGGTGAGTGCATTCCTAAAAAAAATATTTTTTCTCGAATTTTAAACTATACCATTAAAAAATGATTTCACTCATTCAATTACAACCTTCTTAAGGCCAGCTGGCAGTAAGTGACATTAAAAATAAAGAAGAGAACGGACCAAGTAAATTATGTTTAGGGGTTGACCTCTCCAAAATTGTCATCGATTGTCATTCCCCAGCCGTCTATGACAGCGTTTTTTTTTTCGACCGTATAGTATTTTTATTAAATCTGTCTCTAAAATTCTGGAGCAATAATTGTACGTTTGTATACTCGGGCAGAGAAAAAATATACATTTATTATTATTTTTCTAGTATTTTATATGATCTCTTACCCCAATTATATGCAAGTCAGTACCACAAACCCCTGCATATGCAACTTTTACTAATACTTGATTCGGTTCAGTGATCTTCGGTACGGGTATCTGCACGTACTGCAACTTTTTGGTCTTTCCTGTGAACTGAAGAGCCTCCATGCTTATCCCAACACAAATTACTTTGAACTAATACTGATACATAACAGATTTCTTATATACATAACAGTCGTTGATAATAATGTTTTTATGTACAGGGTCGTGTAAATTCTTATTTTTTTCTGATTAAAGTTATGTGTATAATTCAAACTTCTTGATTATTGCGATAAATTAAAATTGCAATTAAATATAATAAATTAAATATGCATTCTAAAGGTAGAGGAAATCTTTTTTATTATTATTTAAAATATTAAATAATTTTTTATACTAATTTAAAAGCAATAATACGAAAATTATTTGTTAAAAATAATAAATGATTATAACAAATAGTGTCTATAAAAATTAAAAAAAAAAATGTAAACATTGCGTTGAATTCAAATGAAAACCAGCATGTCATTGGCTTTTTATTAGTAAAAAGTCACGGACATGCTGATTTCCGATACAAAATGCCTAACGTTTCAGGATTTCCTCTAGGAAAGGCAAGACATTGTCGTTGGTGAGGAAGCTCCTGATCAGGTGCTAGGGGGAATCCCCTCTAGTCCAGGGTTGCCACCCGTCCCGATTTTGTCGGGACAGTCCCGATTTCGACCTGAAATTCCTGCGTAAATTTCTTTTTTTTTTTTCGATCTAAAATTCCGCAAAATATTTTTTTTTTATTTCTTAATCTAACATGTAGTGTGACACAAACAAATAATTACTTATTTGTGTATTTTTCCTTTAAAGCCGATTATTATGAATTAAAAAAATCTACTAGATACAATTTCATATTATAAATATTTCAATATATTTTTCTTTATATGTATAAATTCTAGTAAGCCACTGCGAAAATTACCTATATGTTTTTATTATTAATATAAATTCAAAAAACAGATAATATGGCATTTTCCATAATTATTATACAACTGATAGCAAATACATTTATTAGATAATACTGTATGATGTTACGTTAATTTTGTTATTATTGTCGCCGATATTTTTTTAACATAGTCGGACGTTCTGCGTATTTTTTGGATAAAATTTAAGATACATTTTGGTTGTTTTGTACGCCTCTGCATTTCGTTTATAACTAAATTTAGTCAAACACAATTATTTAGCTAATATTATACTATTTATTGAGTATATCAGGATCAGGTGATTACTCTAGTAGATGTTTAATTAGATGGATAAATGATGTACAATTATTCTTTTTATCTATAAATAGTTAGGCAAATATTTTGGAAGTATATTTTTGTCTAAGCGACTCTACATATCTTTTATGTGTTAGTCTGTTGTAGGAGAATTTATATTAAAATTCTATATTAGTGGATGAATTATACATGATGTTACTTAAGTATGTCAAAAAATTACTGAAATATTTTCATATATATGGAACAGAGTCAAGTAGAAGTAAGGTGTGTCTATTAATTTTATTATTTTTCATAGGTCAAAACTAGTAATAAAACGCAATGGAAGTCCAAAATACATCACCCTCTATTAGTATAATTATTCCAAAACCATATTACCGTAAAACTAAATAATTCTAACGATAATAAATTATTATATCCTTTATCAAGTTACAAACTCTATAAGCTTGTTTTTAAATTTGTAAATAAGGATGTAGCTTTGGTAATTTTATTAAAAAAAACACGATAATTATAAAATTCATAAGTCATATTTCATCGTGCGTTATCATCTTTCTTCATATTTTATAAATAAAGAAAAATAAACATCTGGTTATCTGTATGACACTTTTAAACATATACAAACATAATATTTTTGGACTGAATATCTATATCTGTCTACGTACTAACCTACCTTAATATAACATACAGTATTTATTATCTACTTGTCTGGATTATTCAATTCAATTGATTATCATTTTATTCGCAATCTAAAAAAATGTTTAAATTTATGAATCACAATTATTATTAGGGTTTTCTAAGCAAAAATCTTTTTTTTTTTAATTTTTTTTTAGAAATTATAAATTTTAAGGTCGCTGTAAAAGACTACTAGAGCTATAATTTAAATAAATTATTTTTAAAATGTATAGACACAAATGATGAGTACTCTCATTGTACTAAATGATGATGTTTTTAGTCCCACGTTTATGAAAAAAAAATCTTATAAATAATAATAATGTTGGAGCTGTGTTCCATCTAAGCAAATAATAAGTTATAGTATGAAAACGGTGTAAGTATTAAATAAATTCCTGTGACAAAAAAGAATTGAAATAACATTAGAACATGATTCCTACAATACAAGCCTAATATAAGATAAAAATGTTTTTCTTTAATGAAAAAGAAACATTAATGTTATATTTAATTAAAAAAAAACTTAAGATACTATAAATTTACTTTAGGACAACAAAATGCATAGATCGTAACTACTCTGATTCAGGAGAATCACTGCTGGCAGAATCTTCAAATTTATAGTATAAATCACAGGTAGATGAAGTATCCTCACATATAAGATATTTCTGTACATCATTTTCTAATATGTTACTTTTTCGCGTTGTTACTGTTCATTTTGTCGGTATGAGGGGTTCGGATGTTAATAGTTACCTCTTTAATAGACCATATGCATATATTATTTTTTCCTTTTCTTGGGTATGAGATTTTATAATAAACTGAAGATGGACACTTTTTTTATGCGACGTTTCGCTCCAACATAGTGGACTTTTTCAGGCACAAGTGGTGTCTCATTTGACTAGAAGGTTCATCAATATCTAATAAGCACATATTTTGTGAAATACAAATAATTTTGAGTTCTTGTCCTTATGATCAAGCCAAGTATTAGCCAGATCGGTATTGCTTATCAATTTTACTCCATCTGAAAAGTATTATAAAATAAAGTTCGTCGCAAGCAGACGCAGGTGAACTATACAAAAATTAAAAGTGTATGAATATGACAACAAAAATATTCAATAAATACGATATGTTTTGATATGTTTTTTTTAAATGCTTTTTTGAAGGTTGAAAACGTCAAATTTTTATACCCATTTAAGAATCATCTTAAAAAATAAATAAAAACTAAACAATCACGAACTTGTTTAGAAATAAATTTAAAGTACATACCTTGTTTAACAATATCCATAGTGGCTTTCAATTAAGTACGTACCCGTTTAACTCCATAATATACAGAACTACTATATGAATGTTATTCGTTTCACTGATGAGATAATGATCGCAAAATTTATTTTTAGTGAAAATATTTGCTAACAAAAACGCTGTTTATGAAAAATAATATACAGGATGGTTGAACATTGCTATAAGTATAAAATTATATATTCAGATATTAGTAAATTTTAACTTATTTTTTGATTTTTGTCCATGGGACGAAGCACTGTGCACCGCCGTCATGTTGATCGCATTAAAATTAAAATGAAATCGTGGTTTTGTCATAATATTTTTTGTCATAGTCATAGTATTTTAGTTTTTTGCTAGTGCAGTTATTGAGACTATAAAACAGTCAGGTACGAAGTTTGTGTGATGTAACGTTGTTTCGGGAAGTAAAAAATAAGTAAAAAAGAATTTGAACTATGCGTCGTGTTGTGTTATGATAATTTCAAATGTTAATAAAATTGCCGAAAAAATGCTAATGCGTAAAGGAGAGCGTAATTAGGTTGTAAGGTGTAGGTTGCAATAACATTCAATAACTCAACTCTCCCAGATATTCAACTCTTTCGAAACAACATTTTATAGGTTCATAGTTTCTCACACCGATTTGATCAACAGCAAAAATAAATTCAAGATTCAAGTAGTTCGACGAAACAAGTGAGTAAACAAAGTGCTCGTTACATAATCAAAAAATTAAATAGACATATACTATAAGAGGATAAAATATAATTTGCAATATGGTATACTTTTTTTAATCGACTAGATTAAATATTTTATGAACATCTTCTAAAATTATAATTATGTAGGTACTTTTAAAAAATTTCGTTATAACCAAAATAGCCCCAATTATACCCCACTAGCAAAACCGGTGATTAAAACTATGATCGGCACCGTAGTTGAACTCGTCTAAAAAGTGTTTTTAACTGGAATAATAAATTATAATACAAGTTAGACCTTCTGCAGATATCAAAACATTTACTTTTTTATTTTTTAAAAGAATAGGACTAGAGATCAGAAGAAGGCCACAATAAATCTGAAAAGGTCGTAGTGGAACAGGCCGATATCCACCTCAAGAAATCTAATCTAAGTTTCAAAAAATTCAATGCAAAAAGAAGATATATTTATGTTAATGTCAGAGACATTTATGTTAATATCAAAATTTAATAAAAAAATTAACATATACAGGGTTGTTCACCACATACGACACGGAGTATTGTAGCTAAACGATAAGACTTTTACAAATTGTAAGTTTTGGGTTCGATGAAGGACTATTAGAGGTACAATTTAAAAATAATTTTACAAGATACAGAGTGTCCCAAATAAGTAAAAAATATCAAAGTTGTATTTTTTTAAATGGAACACCCTGTATATTATTACATTTTAGTTTCTACGATTAAAATAAAGGTAAATTTGATTAAGGTTTATTATACTTAAACCTTACCGTTTTTGAAATATTTTCAATTTTGTGAAATTGCAGTAAAAATTTTAAGGCTTCATTTCTCCAAGGGTATCAAAGTTTTAAATACTAAATATTTACTGAAGTTTATTTACTGATCAGTTATTGTGTTGCAATAATAAAAATAATACTATAGTCTGTCCAACGAGAAGATCCTTGACAGTGATAGATGTGTCTGTCATTTTAATTTCAAAGTAGTTCATTTCATTTTATAAAGAAATAAGTTGGTACAACTGGAACGCATAGCAGGAAATATTTAAAATTTGATTGACAAGATGACAAGTGATTACTTCAAAATATTGTGAATAAAACTGAAAAAATGTAATTTGAGTTATTTTATTTAATAAAAACGGTATGTGTTAATACAAAACAAACAAGAACAAGACACTACATACCAAAAATATAAAAAAGAACTATTATTTACTTTCAAGCTTTGTAAATTACCCGCATTTATGATTATATTTATCAATATTACTTATGTACAAATACAAATTTGTAATATTCCACAGGAATAAATAAAACAACATAGGTAAATAAAACAAACTATTTTATTAATAATAACTCCTACCAAATTTTATACCTTAAAGGTTGATTAATTAACTTTAATCTTAATTTTTTTAAACCAGTACCTTTTGACATTATTTTCTGCTTGTAACTAAAATCCATTATTTACCTATCGTGTGATGTTGATATTTTACTATTTAGTTTGATCCTTCTACCATATACGAGATGCACTTATCTACGACGAAATGGTATACAGACTTTATCGATGGCAACTTCATTTGGTGTATAAGACTTTCTGCCTGGGCAGCGAGTATTAACCATAAACTGTGCTCTGGGTCTACAGTTAATTTTCCTCTGATTTTCCCTCCACTTAACTTCAAAAGACACAAAACACACGTAATAATTCGCATCAAATCTTCCAAAACGCAGGGTATTTAACAAAGTTGACACAAAATTATAACCTATAATTTGGCAAGACTTTGACAAGCGTCAAAAATGACAAAAATCTAAAGGTGAGTTCATACGCATCGGCGTCCATTGTTTGTCGCTAATCGTTCCCGTCAAACCAATAAAATTGAAATACGATCTGTCATTTTAAATAAACCAATAAAACTGGTTAAAAACAACAAGACACGACACATGACGGTTTATTATACCTAAACCTTACCGTTTTGAAATATTTTCAATTTTGTGAAATTGCAGTAAAAATTTTAAGGCTTCATTTCTCCAAGGATATCAAAGTTTTAATACTAAATATTTACTGGAGTTTGTTTACTGATCAGTTATTGTGTTGCAATAATAAAATACTACTACCTTATACAGAGTGTCTAAAAATTTATTTTAAATAATTATTAGCTTCAAACGGCAATAACTTGTTTAATTTAAATGGAACACCCTGTATATTTTACGATAATCAGATGCACAATTTAATTGTCTATCAAATTATATTATACCATTTTTTACCTATCTCTTTAAGTTTCCGTAGAAAATGCATTTTCTTGTAATTTAGAACTTATTTATCAATATACCCATGGACTATTGACATTTCAGATTATTTTTAAAGATGTACCAAATTTTTAAAGAGTACAGATACTAATATTGTCGATATAATTCGTTTATTTCATTAAAAAATAAAAAAAACTGTTTAAATATTTGTTAAAGAGGATCAATTAATATGATTCCAGCTGTGATTCCAGTATTCAAACTACATTAACTGACTGTTTGCGTTGATTAATAATAATTGCTCCAAATACTAAAAAACTGGATTTTGTATGGGCATTAGACAGTGTGATAAAAAGTAACACCTTAAAAATGATATTTCATTTTTTAATAAATGCTTATTTATAACAACAGAGACTTTAATTTGATAAGTTATTATTATATTGATTTCTGACTCAAATCCACATTTATTTATAATAATTTATTAACGAACACAATTAAGTATGTAATTAATTAGTATATGGGCGGAAATAATGGTGTTATATTTAATTAATGGTATACTCTTTTATAAAGATTTAAATAGTTTTCTTTTTGCATACAAATGGGCTAGTAATATTATCGTTTTGCTAAAACGATAATATTACTAGTCTATACATTGTACATTTGTTGCTTTAAAACAATCTAAAATGTCAATATTCCATGGATATATTGATAAATGAGGTCTAAATTATAAGAAAATGCATTTTCTACGAAAACTTGAAGGGAAGGAAATTTAAAATGGGGAAACTTGGGGATAGAAATTTAATTGTGCATCTGATTCTCCTAAAATATACAGGGCATTCCATTTAAATTAAAGAAGTTATTGCCGTTTGACGATAATAATTATTTAAAATAATTTTTTAGACACTCTGTATAAGGTAGTATTATTTTTATTATTGCAACACAATAACTGATCAATAAATAAACTTCATTAAATATTTAGTATTAAAAACATTGATACTCTTGGAGAAATGAAGCTTTAAAATTTTTACTGCAATTTCACAAAATTGAAAGTATTTCAAAAACGGTAAGGTTTAAGTATAATAAACCTTAATCAAATTTACCTTTATTTTAATCGTAGAATCTAAAAATGTAATAATATACAGGGTGTTCCATTTAAAAAAATACAACTTTGATATTTTTTATTTATTTGGGACACTCTGTATCTTGTAAAAATATTTTTAAATTATAGCTCTAATAGTCCTTCAACGAACCCCAAACTTACAATTTGTAAAAATCTCATCGTTTAGCTACAATACTCCGTGTCGTATGTGGTGAACAACCCTGTATAGTCTGGAGATGCTGAAAGACAACAAAATATTTTATTTTTGAACTCGTTTATTAAGGAAAATATTGACCAAGTACATAATAGTATCAAATATTTTATTTTCTTATCAACTTATAATCTAAAAACTGCTTTAGCCACTTTTCCCAATTTAAGGGCCTCCAATGCTTTCGGATAGTCCTTCAAATCGAAGACTTCAATTCCCAATCTCCCGTAATCCAAATATCTGGATCCCAAGGATGTAAGGAATCCAATTGATTTGACGAAGCTGAAGGGATTCACTTTTACCGCAAATATGGTAATTTCTTTATCGTATAAGTCGAATGGGGCCACACTGGAAGAAATAGAAATATTAGTTTAGGATATATTATGTAATAACGTTAAATATAAATATTATTAAGTATTCAGAAAGTAGTGATAAGCGGGACTTGACTCGGTCTTGAGGTCTTGACCAACCCTTCGTTGGGAATCCTCCAACGGTCTAAGACACTAGAACAAGTTTTTCAGGACCGAGAAAAATCAAAGACTTTCCTAGATTTAAGTATAAGGACAATCTTCGGAGTGTCGCAACCTCAGTAGTTTGAAACTAAGAAACAACGGCGAATGCAGATTCTGTGGGAAAATACATTTTGATACGACTGATTTCGGAGATGGAGAAGTAACCACTGTAAAACCGTCTCAGATACTGGTTTTTGTCAAAGTCCTGAGAGAGTATGATGAGTTCTAACTCAAGAACGAAGAACACTAAAAGAGTTTGGGACTTCCATTGTATTTATTTATTTTGCTTATACTATACAATAAAGACAATGGAAGTCCGAAGCTCTTTTAGTTTTAATACTGAATCATTGTCTACCACATTCAAAGTAACGTAAGAAGAACACAATAGATCTATAAGGTCGCGGTGATTAACTTCCTCCCTGGCATATAATTTCCGTCTAACCTGTAGTGCAGTAAAACTCTGGATCAAAGGAAAAGCAGAATATCCACTGGCCAAAAGACCTTCATCCAAGGACCTAGAAGCACAATAGCAGAAATAAAGTGCAGATTACAACAGATCTCTTAATAGGGCATATGGCTGTAAAGTGCCACCCGAACAAGCTCAACCTGTATCAAGCAAGTCCTTGGTGCAGACTCTGCAATAGAGATCCTGAAACATCAGAGCACATAATATATCACTGCGAGGCTCTGAATCGCAAGCGACCTTTTCCATTTGGGAAAGCAAGGCTAGAACCGGACGAACTATGTCCCAATCCTATCAAGGAGCTGCATCAGTTGTTGCAGGATACAGAGATAGGAAAGGGGAGAACTCAATAGGCCTCGAATGTTTCCGGCAAATGAATCATAAAACCTTATAGGATCATTATTAAAAGGATTCTGACATAATACATTTCTATAAACGATTTGAATTGTTTAATATGTCTTCAGAAATATTCTGTATCAGTTCTTCATTTATAGTCAGATATTTACCTAATCTTGGCACCAGGTGGTGGTACACCAAAACAACAAAGCTTACCACCCTTGTCCAATAAACCTAGTCCTTGTTCTATGGCGGGACAGTAACCACTGCAATCAACAACGATGTCAAATTTATAATTAGGGTCTTCACTACTTTTAGTTAGGGTGTTCGGTGTCACCAGATCATATCCAGTATCTGAAAAAGTCATCAATAATTAGAGTGTGCAAGTGTAAGAAAAATTGAGTTCCATGTCAAAGAAGATGAATTAATTAATATCATAAAAGTACCATTTAAAATAACGCCAAAGAATTTCTGCACCAATTTTTTCATCACAGTTTATTTATATATCATGGTATGACTTTGCATATAAGCATTTTAGGTTAAAAAAGAAAATATACATATAATATACAGGGTGCTACAAATTCGAGGTACGAGCATTGGTATCTAGGAAACCGTAAGAGATACGAAGATGGTTAAATTGGGGCAAAGTTGCGCTTTAGGATGTTCACCAAGATGCCATCAAAAAAGTTTTAAAAATTTCAAGGATTGCTGAGTTTTTTGGAAAAAACGGATTTTTTTGAAAATCAATTTTATTTTTTCCTGGCGTTACTTTTTAGAAAATCAAAAAATTAATTATACGTTCTCATGGCTAGTTTATTAGGGCTACCTGATGGTATTTTTAGATTTTAAAATTAGCTGATAATTTGTGAGATACAGAGGACAACTTAATTTTTTTTAAATACGGACCTGCATTTTTTATTTGAAGTTTTGAAAGAACTTGGTCTCCTCAGTACAATGATGTGCCACACTTGATACTTTTTTTTGTTTTGGTTACCTTAACAATAGCAAAACTATTTAATTATTATTTAAAATAATTTCAAGTCCCACTCTGGTTTTTTAAATTATTTAATCTGATTATATTCATCGCAACAATATGGATCAGCGCTAATTAACATTGAATCGAGCCAATTGAAAGATTCAAACAAATAATACCCAGGTCAGCAATTTAAAAATATTATTTATAACTTTTTTTATTGTGATTTTAAAATCTCAGTGTACGATCTAATAATATGCAGAATATTAATTGTAGTTATTATAAATAAATCAACTTCTACAAACTAGTTTTTCTAAAACTAGTAATGCTCTACATGTTCGAAAGGGTTACCACCGTCCCTAATGCACAAATTAATGTATTTTTCGTTTAATCTTATTTATAGCTCTTTGAACATATCTTCTTTTTATACTTCCAAATGCATTCTGTACTCTTTATTGTAATGTTGAAATGTATTCTCACTTTTAAAAATGACGTCAAGTAATGCCTAAGATCTAAGAGTAATGCCCAATAATTTTATATTATTTTTTATTATTTACAGTACATCTGCTGGATTTGTGTCTATGAAAGGAATGCGGGCAAAAAACATTTAAATAAACAGCAATATATTTTATACGTCGATTTGACGAGTGCGTCACCGCAAATCGCTCCGCCCACTCACTTTATTGGCTACTTGCAAATTTGTCGAATTTTTATTGATGGGACGCGTCGTCTAATTTTTTACGAAAAACATCGAGAAAATATCGTTTCCCCTCTCACGGATACCCCGGAGCTACAGAACGGACAGACGTACAGTAATTGCATTTGATTATCCGTATTCAATATTTTACTCCACGTCATTGTTAAATTTGAAAGCTTACCAATATTGTAACGATGAATAGATTAAATATTTAAAAAAACAGAGCCGGGCTTAACATTAGTTTAATCAAATGTTCGAAACAAAAAAAAATGTTAAGTGTGGCATATCATTGTACTCAGGAGACCGAGTTCTTTCAAAATCTGAAATAAAAAATGCAGGTCCGTATTTAGAAAAATTTAAAAAATGCAGGTCCGTATTTAGAAAAATTAAGTTGTCCTCTGTATCTCACAAATTAATCAGCTAATTTGAAAATCTAAAAATACTATTAGATAGCCCTAATAAAGTAGCCATGAGAATGTGCAATTAGTTTTTTGATTTTCTAAAAAGTAACGCCAGGAAAAATTAAAATTGATTTTCAAAAAAATCCGTTTTTTCCAAAAAACTCAGCAATCCTTGAAATTTTCAAAACTTTTTTGATGGTATCTTGGTGAACATCCTAAAGCGCAACTTTGCCCCAATTTAACCATCTTCGTATCTCTTACGGTTTCCGAGATACCAATGCTCGTACCTCGAATTTGTAGCACCCTGTATAGAAAAATGTCATTTTTCTATATTTTTGTCATAACTTAAAAATGCATGATTCACTTTTCTAACTTTATATTATAAGGGCCGATTTGTAATATTGTAGTAGTTGGCAATACATTGTTAGAGCATTTTAGAATTAGTTATTGGTATTGATAGTTAAAACAAATTATCGATATAAACATTTTAGTACATTTTAGTAAATTATGTCAATTCATTGACGTACATTTTTTTACTTTTCTTTTTGTTGGTGTTATATTCTATAGTATTCAACATGGAAAAGAAATACTTAAAAACTCTGCTGATGATACTAATATGGTTAGAGAAACGCGCGTCCAGTGTTAAAACTAAAGCGTTTTGGTGTATTGTTAGTCCAAGAAAATAGGTCTTCCAATACGAAGTTTTGGTAGAAACATTTAGAGATTTTGGTATAAATAATTTAGAATTTTTGATATAAGTTACTTTGAAAGATTTAAAAATGAATTGTGAATGGGTTTTTTAAATTCACCCCCGAGTAGGGGTGAAATAAATAAAATGATTTTTTTTTTAAATTTCGGAGACACGATAAGGACTAGAAAAAAAATTTCAAATAAAAGTTGTGGAGCGTCCAATTTTACATAAAAATGGTGTCTATGCTTTTTTGGTCAAATCAAAATTAACCGAGATAGGGTGGATAGAAGCTAGGGGACAGCTTTTATTGAAGACTCAAAATCCTTACCGTTTCTCTGAAATTTGGAAAAAAACATTTTATTTATATTTTTCATCCCTTCTGAAGGTGAAAAATAATCTTAATTGAAATTTATAATTTTCCAAACGAATCGAATAAAAATGTTAAATATATGAATTTTTCAGCAACTAATTTTTTTTAAATTTCTTCTATCATCCCTTAGCTTCTAGCCACCCTATCTCGGTTAATTTTGATCTCTGCAAAAAAAATAGAGATCATTTCTTTGTAAAATTTGACACTCCACAACTTTTATTTGAACTTTTTTTTCTAGTTCTTACCGATCCTCAGAAACGTTGAAAAAATAATTTTATTTATTTATTTCACCCCTTCTCTGGGGTGAATTTAAAAAATCTTTCACAATTCGTTTTTAGATCTTTCAAAGTAACTTATACCAAAAATTCAAGTTTTTACGAAAACTTATTATTTAAAGGTCTATTTTCTTGGACTATGTGTTGAATCTAGAGCATTGAATTCCGGGATCCCGGACATTTTTTCAGTCCCGAAATCCCGGGATTGTCTTTTATTTAATCCCTGGATTTTCGGAATTCATCATTACATTTTTTCTTAATTTAAATCGTACACAAGTCTTTCATGATAGTCCAATATGCGCTTATAAACCTTTTCTAGGCAGTAGAAAAGTGTTTCAGCAATTGAAAAGGACCTTTTCTATTGCTGGAATGTTGTGCAGGAAAATCAGATCTAGTTTGAGTGATAATACTCTTGATCAGCTTGTTTTTTAAGATTTTTTTTGAAAAAACAAGTTTAGATTTTAGATCCTCATCTTTGTTACTGCATAAGTGGTTATTTTAGTATCTTAGTATTTTTAGTATCTTACATAATCCTGTGTTATGCTGTGTTTGTTCGTTTGGTTATGCAAATTAAATAAAAAATGTTTATTTTAGTTCCTTTTAATGTTTTTTTTTGTTTAATAAACTTGTATGTTTTGTTGTTTTGTAATGGGGATGACGTTTAATTTATGTTAATGTTTTTTTTGTTCAATAAAATTTTGTTAAGAAAGAAAATATAATATAATTTCAACGTAATTAATTTTTTCTTGAATCCCGGGACCAATCCCGGGATCGAAAAATTATAATCCCGAAATCCCGGGATTGAAGATTTCTTTCGGGATTGAATGCCCTAGTTGAATGTTGAATTAGTATTTTACTTTACTCTATTAAGTTGAATTAATATAAAGATTATACCTAATTTCTTTAAAATGTTTAATCTATTTGTATTCGGTTCTGAAACAGTAACTCTTCTATGTCCCTGCAAATGTAGTATACAAGCCCACAGACTACCGATGATTCCTGCTCCTATTACTAAAATTCTGGAACCGACTGGAACAGGAGATAATAGATCCCAACCGTGTGAAAGACATGAAATTGGTTCTGCCAAAGCACCTAAATATATATAAAAGAAAAATTATAATAATCCTAATATAATAAAAACAGAAATCCTCTCTTAATATTTGCAATGTTTGAAGAAAAAGACTGAAGTCACGACATCCAGATGATTATAGACGGTACGAACTTAGCCTGGTTAGCTAGAATCTAAATAAATGTTAAGTTAACGTAAGAACATACCTTGTTCTAGGGATATATTTTCTGGCAATTTTTGTACTAAATTAGTTGGTACTAAGGCATAAGTACCCCAACCTCCATTTCTGTGAACACCTAGGTTAGTCTGTCCTCCTATTTTACAAAAATGAGGGTTACCTGAGTGGCAGAAATCGCAACATCTACATCCACTAAAAAACAGTAAGAAAACAAGTTTTAAAATATGATGAAGATTATAAAATTATAATTATTTACTCATTTGGATCTACAACTACTCTGTCTCCTTTTTTAACATTCTGTACTGCAGATCCCACTTCAACAACAGTTCCAGAAAACTCATGTCCTAAGGTAAATGTGTCTTGGGAGCATGGAAAGTCACCCTAATTAATTATAATAATAATTAGTATTGCGTATCGCTACAGTTTAACATATTTAGTAGTTTTTCTCATATGTATTCATGGTACTTCAAATTTGGCTTTCACTATTTTCTAATAGTGAGGAAGATCCTCTCGGACAGGGTACAGATACAGTGTTTTTTAAATTGGGCACTGATAATCTGTTTAATAATTGAATTAATCTTTGTTGTTTCCAAGATACCAATGGTGAGAGCCAAAATTAAAACTGTACAACAGATTTAAAACACAATGTAATGAATATATTATGGTATTTTTTAAAGAAAATTTCATGGAAAATCCTATCTAATAAAAATATGTGTTAAAGCAATAATAATATAAGAATAATAAAATAAATAAGTTAAAATGTTAGAAGAAGAGCCAGGGACAGGAGAAGAGCAAGAGGTTTGGATATCTATTAAGAACGCCGGAAGATTGATGGCCAAAACGTCTGTTTCAGTGGAGTCCTCTACAAAAAAGAAAGCGAGGTAGAACCGAGAAGGTCGTGGAACAACACAATCAGGCAAGCGATGGCATCCAGAGTCCAGAGAGCTGGAAGAACTGGCTGCATTTGATAGAGAGATTTGTCGAAGGCGAACTGGAAAGCAGCTGTAGCTGTATTCTTGATTAACAGACAATCAATTTCTAATCAAATCCTCCCAGTATATATACAGGGCGAGTCTTAAATAAGTGCAAATATTTTCAGGGCTGGTAGGTCTCAGCTAAAGAAACATATTTTCTCTTGAAAATTTAAAAAAATTATGAATTTTCGCTGAAATTTTGAGAACCACTCTGTTTTTTGGCTTTTCTTTCTTGTAAATTTAATCTGTTATCTATGTTGCCATATTATGGAGATATGTTTTTAAGTAAAAATTAAAAAAAAATCCAATTTTTTTGGCGAAAAAACCTCATAAATGTGTTTCTGGGGTCGAAATATACCACCCCTAAAAATATTTGCGCTTATTTAAGATTCACACTGTATATATTTAAATTGTTCTCTATAATCGTACCAGAATTTTGTACAAAAAACAAAGTTAATCTTGAATGCAACTTAATACATACATATAATGGAGAATTATTTGAACAGCGGATCATCGTGTAATGGATGTAATAATATGAATACGAAAATTTTGTTATTTTCATGATAAGATAATTTTTGTTTACTTGATTTTAATTACTGGTTATATAAACTACATTTTAAAATAATAATAAAACAAGTAGAGAAATAGAATAATACTTACGATTACAAAACGGCTTTATGTTATAATTGTTTTACAGAAAATTATAATTGCTTGAGTAAAAAAATGATTTGAGTGTAGGGTTGTGAACATTGCAAAACAAAACATCGATACATTAAATACAAATATTGATTATATAGAAAACATGTTTTTCGTGGTTTAATAAACAGGTTTTAGCTACTTCGGTTGGTGGAAATCGGCAGATTATGTCATTGCCGTGATTCTTGAATGATTTCCTTCAAAATATATAAAAAAAGGACTTGAGCTCCCTTACCATATATATCGTTTCGAACTTTCCTCGAAGTGGACAGAGAACTTAAAAGGGATAAACATAAAATATATTGCTCTACTTTTTTGCAAACATCGTCGATAGAAAAATATCAATGATATCGATGTTTTCCAATAGTAGAACATCGATATTTCGTAAACATCAATGTATCGTTTGCATCCCTACTGCTTGAATGTGACAACTTCCCATGAACTTCCGAACTCCCTCTACTTCATATAATTTAAATTCATGTGGAACAACATAATAAAAATCTAGTAAATGGTTTAAATCTTTTTCAAATAAATACATTTATTAAGTTCTTCTTTTTTTAACACAATACAAATTAATTCTTAACATACACGATTGACACGTAATACTGTTAGTATATTTAAACAGACTTACGCTAATGATATGCAGATCTGTGCCACACACTCCAGAAAATGCCACTTTTATCAAAACCTGGTTGGGTTCGCTGATTTTGGGTACCGGTATTTGAACGTATTCCAGTTTTTTGGTACTCCCTGTAAACCGTAGCGCTTCCATGCTATCTCGTAAATTCCACAATATTGACTGAGAGCAACTGAGAGCAAAGACAGAGCAAAAACGCTACGCTAAAATGAATATGCGTAGAGGGAAAAATAAAATATATTATGTATTTGCAATGATTGTTTATCATTATATTATTATTATTAGACAACTGATAATACATAAACGTTCGTCATGTTATATAATGTTTTACCTAAGACGAATGAAAAACGTTTGTTCTATAAATAGATTCAATCGATGGTGTATACGAGGGGTGTTCTACAGTATGTCCCTGGATTGTGGATTGTGTTTACCAGAAAAAAAACCTTTTTATTATTGACATTTTCAAAAAAATGCATTCTTCATAAAAATTTTTGCTTATTCTAAAATGTTTAATCCCGTTTATACTTTTTCAAATTTCCATACCGTTTTAGAGAAAATTAAAAGAAAAACATGAAGACATGATTGAATTTAAGTTGAAGATCTAAAAATCAAAAGGCGTTTCTATTATGAAATAATTTAAGAAAAAATACAACTATAGTTTAATTTTTTTTTCAATTTTCTCTAAGACGGTAAACATTTTTATAAAGAATGCATTTTTCTCAAAATGTTAATAACAAAAAATATTTTCTCGTGTTCTAACAAACATGAACAATGAAACATATGAAAATAGGAGATCTGTGATAGGAGGATTATTTTCTTTGCCTAATTTGTTCATCTTCACTAGATATTCTTTGACCAACTTCGAATTGATGGTTGCTGAGTTTACCGCTCTTGGGCAGGGTATCGGATAATATTGCTATTTCTTGTTTCCGATAATTCCTATTTAAGATAAGTTGTACCCTGTACTACTATACCGGGTGCGTCTCAAATGTAGTTTACCTCTATAACTTTTTTATTTTTTCAGATAAAAAATGGAGATTTGGTATGTTAGTAATATGACATAAATTCGGATCGGTTGACGTATTCAATTGTTTTCGCTCACTTCCTACTGTCTCACAAGAAATGTCTACATCTTTTGATTTTTAAATGGTACTTTATTCGATAGAAAATGACACTCTGAATAGAATGACATATCATATGTCAACTTTTGACATTTTCGAATAAGTGATATATGAAATAATTTTAACATGCGATTCATAACGACAATTTGACTCGAAATACCAAGTATTTGGTACCAAATTATTCGTAAAGAAATACTTTTTCTAAATATGCTAATGAGCCACCCTCATTCCATTTGAAAAAATTGAGATATATGTAATTAAAAATAGGATTTGAGCATCTTTTATCCAGTCAGGACAAGACACTAAAAATATATTAGACGATCAAATCTATTTTTCCAAGGCTCCGTGATTAAAAATTAGTGTTTTTAACACAGCCATGGCACTCTAGACTGAAATTTAAAATACAATTTTGATTTAAGCGAAAATGTAAAAAATTGACATATATGATGTATCATTCTTTTCAGAGTGTCATTTTCTATCGAATAAAGTAAAAACATACCGAGGGTTCCATTTAAAAATCGAAAGTTGTAGTCATTTCTGTTGCAACAAGAAGGTGGTCGAAAAAAATTGAATAGGTCAATCAATCCTAATTTATGTCATATATTGACATACCAAATCTCGTTTTCTTATCAAAAAAATAAAATAAAAAAGTTATAGAGGTGAGCCACTTTTGAGACGCACCCGGTATACTGATGTATACGTTGTATCTTTCGAAAGTGTAGATTTCTTCCTGAAGGATGCTGGGATAGGGTAATTAATAAAGAATATTAATTAAAAGTTAATTTAGAGAACCCTGAAAATTTTCCTTTTGTGATAATAATAAAATTGTTGATTTTACACAGTATTATTTTTAATTTTCACTTCTTTCTCGTATGTATATTTTTGTTTTATTTTCTAATCACGTCCTCTGCTGAATTATTCCTATTTCCACCGTCTGGTAACCTTTTCGCCCCTATGCTATTAGGGGTCGACGCAAATGAAAGGCAGCACAGCCCAGACAGAATGCGTTCGCATTGTTAAAAAGCGAATCCCCTTGAAATCCGATTTTTAATATTCGTCGCAATGGCGTAGAGACAGACGCAGTGTTGTAAAATGGTCGCGAGAAAAATGAAAATTTTAGGAACATTTAAAAAAAGAAGAAAAAAATTGATGAAAAAGTAAAGTATTTTAAGTTAACATCTGCTGCTAAGGCAACTTCGAACATATTTTCCTCGGTATACTGAATCAGTAGTGTTTAGGCGTCGGTTGTATTCGAATTTATATTTAAATTTGTCCGTACAAATTTTAGGAAAACAAGTATCTGATTAATAATAAATATAATAAAAAATCCTCGCAGTGTTGTAAAATGGTCGCGAGAAAAATGATTTTAGGAACATTTAAAACAAAAAGAAGAAAAAAATTGATGAAAAAGTAAAGTATTTTAAGTTAACATCCCCTTTCTGCTGCTAAGGCAACTTCGAACATATTTTCCTCGGTATACTGAATCAGTAGTGTTTAGGCGTCAGTTGTATTCGAATTTATAAATTTATATTTAAATTTGTCCGTACAAATTTTAGGAAAACAAGTATCTGATTAATAATAAATATAATAAAAAATCCTCTATGGGTATTTCGCCACTGCAAGAAAATCTACAAACTAAAATAGTTATTTTTTGTAAACACTTCTGCGTTAATCCCAAACGGAAATTACTTGTCAGAAGTTAGGTTTACAGTTATACAAATTTGCCTAACGAACGAAAAAATCCTTAACGTTTCGGAAAGTTTATCTCTTTCCGTCGTCAGAAGCAAAAAAATACAAAGAATAAAGAAAAAAACTATTTAAAATATTTAAATTCAACTATTCAAGAACACTTTAGTTTTTAAAAAAATAAAATATTTGAGTTTAAATTATCTATATGCTCTATTGTAATACGGCACGATATTTTAACTAAAATTAATGTTAGCAAAATAAAACACTAAATCACCACCATACACCAAAAAACTTTTACTTTTACACTGGACGCGCGTTTCGTTAACCATATTAGCATCATCAGCATATGATCAAGATTGAAGTTGAATATAGAGTCTTGATCATCTGCTGATAATGCTAACATGGTTAGCGAAACGCGCGTCCAGTGTAAAATTAAAAGTGTTTTGGTGTATTGTGGTGATTTAGTGTTTTATTATGCTGTGTAACACCAAAGGTTTCAACCCCCAACTGTAAAATTAATGTTTTAGCAAAATTCTTCAGTCATTAAAACTTGACATAAAATCTTCATTAGATGCACTCAATAATATTATTTCAAAACCACACGTTCTGATGAACATTTTCAATTTTTTTAAACGAATCGAGGGAGATAGCTACAAATGACATTCAAGAAGCATTCCCCAGCTTATCTACCCAGCGGATAAGAAGAAGAAAAAGCATTTTAAGTATGAAGGAACTGATGAACCCATATTTTCACCTGAATTGTCATTTAAAGTAAATTTTTACTTTAAAATTGTGGATACTGCCTATAATGGATAATGGCAAATGAAAGACGGTTCCAATTACTACAATAACACAGTTATTTTCAATGTAATATATAGGATAAATAAATAATTAAAAACGATGACGGAACTAAAATCAATTGTAAGAAAAACCATCAAGCCTTTAGAGACACAAACAGCTCGGAGAGTGAAATCAGTCAAACCTTCGAGGAAATTAAAGTTATTCAACTATATTTTAACATAGAAAAATATCCTAGTGATATACTAGGCTACTAGTATATGTACGAAAATAATCTACATTCAACATTTCCAAATTTAACCCTAATTATACCTATATTCCTAACACTACCGGTTGCTGTAGGACCTGTAGGTACGGGTGCTATCGCTCACCTGTACCGTACCGTTCTCAAGACTTAAAATTATTCAAAACTATTTATTATCTTCGATGACGCAAGGAAGACTTTCTGCTTTAGCTTCGTTATCTATCAAACATGAGGTATGTATGTGCGACATTGGATATTAAAGATATCGTCAAAAAAATTCGGAAACGAAAGCCCGAAAAGTTCGATTTTAATAACTTTTTATTTTGTTTAGTTATAAGTGTTTTATTTTACTCGACATCTATTTTTTTTAATTTGGAGACAAGACTTGACTCTGCGGGATTATAACTTTAATTATTTGAGTAAGTACTTTAAGTACGGGTATTAATTATACCATACATGTCTCGGGGAGTATAGACATAATATTATATATAGGTATGTCAAAAAAATCTATGCAATTTTATACATTTTGTTTAATATAAGGGGGCGGCAAATATTGAGTTGCACACGGGCGGCTAACACCTTAGCGGCGGCCCTGCCCTGTGGCATTTCCATAAAATCTTTAGGGAAAATAGGAGAACTATAATATGAACCTTTTTTTCGAACATACAAAGATATAGACAAACTGATACTAAAAGGTTTTATAAACAAAAGTACTTTGGATGATGACAATGAGCGATTTAATGGTAAATTACATTAGAATTATTAAGATCTATTTAGACATGTCAGTTACGACTTTAGGTCGTTTAATTTAAAAATAATGATACAGAAAGTTTGGGGCTTTTTGGTTTTACCATATTAAGTAATTGTAATTGTTATCAGGTAGTAATTGTTAATTTTGAAGTTTAACTCATAGATAAATGAAACAAGTTTAGATTGGAAAGTGCCCATAAGGACAATGTAAACACTATTTGGCGCTATTCTTGCAACGGTCGCGACCCAAAACTTTTGAAAATTTCGGAGCGGTTCGGCTTTTTCCGGAATTATATCGCCAAATATTGTTTATTCAAATTTATTGTTATTTTCGTTTAATTTTATAAATAAAATACAGTGTGTTGCATACAAGAAACTTTATTTTATATAAGGACGCATGTATGAAATACCTATGAAACATTGAAAACCGACGTTATGCCACGATCCACGATGGTTTTTGCAGTTCACAGTTCACAGCACAGCGTTTTAAGTTTGTAATGCCACTTTTTCACAATTATCACCGGTTGGAGTAAATAAAATTTGAATTAAACTCACAAGATAGCAATAATTACTTTGAAAATGGACGCTATAAACACTTTCAAACAATTTCTTTAATGAGAGCGGTTTAGTTGGTTTAGATTTTGAAAGATTATTATGATTTTTGAAGATTCTGACTTTGACAAGAGAAAATTATTTCTGTTTTTGTTTGTCGTTGTTCTTAGCGACCGCTATAGCAGCGCCAGATCGCGTATAACGGTCGCGACCCAAAATAATTTCGCGATCCAAAATTTTTACGGGCTTTCCAATCTAAACTTGTTGCATTTATCTATGGTTTAACTTGATATAATGTCATTTTAACAGAACGTCAACGGTTTCTTGTAGACGTATCTGTTTTAAAAAAGTAAAGTGTTTTCGAATAGTGGAATTTAAATATTTTAAATAGTTTTTTTTTCTTTATTCTTTGTATTTTTTTTGCTTCCGACGACGGAAAGAGATAAACTTTCCGAAACGTTAAGCATTTTTTTCTTTGTTAGGCACATTTGTATAACTGTAAACATAACTTCTGACAAGCAGTGTCCGTTTAGGTTTAACGCAGAAGTGTTTACAAAAAATAACAATTTTATGTTGTAGATTTTTTTGCAGTGCAGTGGCGAAATACCCATAAAGGATTTTTTTGTTTTACATCGTTTGTCGAACCGTCTCAGTCTCATTCAGTCAACATCTGTGACTATATCACTCTTTTTGTAGAAAAATCTTTAGAGGAAAAATAGAGATGAACATTGAATTATACCAATTTATTTTAATTAATAACAACAATAATAAATAAAACAATTTGATCGTTATTTTATTACGTTTATTAAGGCCATTGCAATATGTTAAAATAATGACATAAAACTTCCAACTTATCTATTGGAATTCGCATGACTTACATCGGAAATAAATTACAAAATCAGTAAAAAAGACTACAAGCTATAACGAAATGACATTTTGTTGACAAACCAAATCAATGTGATTTTACTTAGGCTTATATTTTAATATAAAAATACTACATTTCGATTTTTTGTACTATATATGATCAAACGAAAACATGATTTTCAAATCAGTCTCTATACTGGTGAAGAAATACTATGATAAAAATTATACCATGAGAAATTATGTTCAGATGTATTGTTAAAGAAATTAAAATTAAATATATATTGACCTGAAATGCGAATATACCTGTATTATTAAAAAAAATGAGGAATACCAACAAAATTTTTGACTTTTGACAAACACTCACAATGGTTTTAACAAATGGAACATTTCATAGATGATATATAGAGACATTAATGTAGCTATCGTATACAAAACATACTGAATTTTAGGTCCTCTATAACTTAGCTTAAAAATAAATTATATTATAATTAGTCTAGCCTATACAAGGATAAATAAGATCAGTCATTTTTTAAATTAAAATTAAAATGTTAACGACGGTTCTAAAATATAAACTTTTATATCTTACAAAACTGCATTTTGGATGAATTAAGGTAAGGTTTATTGATACTCAGTTAGTTTTTAACTATCAGTTAAATATTTCTAAAAATATTTTTTTAATTTAAATTTAACCGTTAGCCAAAATTAATTGGAGTAATAAAAAACCTTGTTTGATATAAAAAATATTGACATTGGTAGTTTTTTGTTACAATCACAATTAACTGTTCAGATAAATAGATATAAATAAATATTTTTCAGGTATAAGGTCATAATTTGACTTTGGCACGATAAAATTCCACTTATACTATATTATTTGGTTTGGTAATAACATTGGCTCCCTTGTTGATTTTACAGCAAAATTGCAAAGAGATTTTTTTAAATGTCTGCATATGCTGAACACTCATGCCAAGTTTGAACAATTTTACGCAAGCCAATTTTAACTAATTTAAGAAAAACTGCATCTATTTTTAAATTGAAACTGAACAGACAACAATGCAAAACCAGTCAAATTCCAACATACATACCTTAAGTTTTCAACCTATGATTTTGTTAAATAAAATTTTGTGAATAAATAGTATTTTCTATATGGTAAGCTTTTGTCTAATTCCAACAAGTTTTTAGTTACAAAATGTATTTCGGGGATACTAAGCGTAGGTACCACAGCCCGACTCTACTTAACAAGCCGTGAACAAGGAAATCTGACAACCTTGGTTTCAGATCGATCGATACACGTTTAGCCATGATTGACGTTCATTAACCTGTTGCTCTGTTATGTTTTTGTAAATAAATCCGTTTTTTTGAAAGAAAATATTGTTTAGTTAAAGACTAAAGTTGTGAAAAGTCTTACTGTGTGAGATTTGTAAATTACCGGGACAATTTTTTTCCGTAGACATTGCGTAAAAACAAATATCGGTGGGTAAAAAATTCGCCGGGTTATAAGCGAGGTTAAGTGCTTTCTTCAAAGAATATCGGCAAATTCGGTGGCGATTGAACAGTTTGTGGTGCTTTTTAAAACAATTTATTGAAAGTTAGTTGTTGCTGTAATCAAAAATTACCATGCCAAGTCCTTGTTGTGTGTAGGGTTCCCAACTTGAGCATCGGCGACTCAAAAGGAGACATTAAATATTAGAAAATAAAATATATTATGTGTGTAGTACACATTTTTTTAGTTTCGAGGTCCCGGCCAAGGCAAAACTTTCGCCGGGACAAACTTTCTGATTCCTGGTTAATCCCGGCCAAACCGGGATGGTTGGGAACCCTAGTTGTGTGCATGGGTGCAAATCCAATTATAAAACTTGTCTTGATGCAGGAGAACCAACGGTATCTGTTTCTACCTTTCCAAAGAATGAAAACCTTAAAGCCCAATGGCTTAGGAATATTCCTAGGGAGGCATGGTCACCCTCAAACTATTCTGTGGTTTGTGCTAAGCATTTTGTAGAAAATTACATTGTTAGGGAGGAGGATTATCGCTTGCCAGATGGATCAATGCAAAAGGTACCTACTAAAACTAGACTAAAGTTTAATACAGTACCTATTAGTATTTTTCCAAATTTGCCACATTACTTGTCAAAAACGGTCCCTGCGTTCCCCGAAAAAGTCCTGCTGAAAGAAACAAAGAAATGCAAGATCGAAGTGAGCAATTAATAGAGATTTTGAACGTTCTGATCTAATTATAAACTTTGACGATTTGACTTGAAATTTAATTATTTGAATAAATAATTATTTTAAGACATCCTTAATCGCGCCTTAAATTAATTTAAAAATACGCGCCTCGAGAGCTGGTAAAATGGCTCGTCGCGCATTCGCGCTCGCTAGAAACCGATCTGAATCTCTTGCCGGTTGCGGCGTTGCCAAATGGTTGTTCACAGCTTGTTAAGTAGAGTCGGGTTGTGGTAGGTACTATAACGTAGTAGTAGTGTAGAGAGCACAACAAATTCTTGTCAAAACAAAACTTAAAAGGAATGTTGTAATTTGCCTGATTTTGCATTGTTATCTGTTCAGTTTTAATTTAAAAATAGATGCAGTTTTTCTTAAATTAGTCAAAATCGGCTTGTCCAAAATTGTTCAAATTTGGCACGTGTATTCGCAGACCATTAATAAGCCTATTTACGACTTCGCTGTAAAATTAATAGGAGAGCCAATAATATTTGGATAGTTCAAAATTTGCATGGGATTTCCTGTTTCTAACGACAATGCACCACCCGGTATATACTTGAATTATACCTATCTTGGTTAGAAAATATCACTATAACCAGAGAAAAAAACTAAAACAGCTAATAAGTAGAGTAGCCGATTTATATGTTCTATAAAATGGAAAAGCTTGGAAATGAACATAGATGACATTCTCCATATAATTTTACATATAAAATGACAGCGATCTCCATTGCCATCGCTGACGCAGTTTTTTTTATGGTACCTTCAATCCAATACAGATTCTCTCGAATAAAAATAAATAAATGTCAATAATTGTCAATGCAGTTTGCGTATTTTCTTAATCTACAGCCTAGCGTTAACAAAATATTTGAAGAGTATCACAAAACAATTTGTAGGATCTAACTAAAATTCCAAAAATTGGATTTTTATTTATCACAATTCATTCTAGAGATGTTTTTTTTGGAACTGTTATTTTAGTTTAATGGAACTTGTAACCATATAAGTAACAATCCTATTCCACATCCGTAGCGTAATTTTCTGCGTTACCCCAAGTAGCATTTTTAGACACAAAATCCAAACAAAATCTCTACTAAAAAAATACGACGTTAATTAAAATTCTACCAACAACATCTACTCGTATCAAAGAATGAAAACGAAATTATATTACCATAGAAACACGTTTTAATTTTTAAGACTTTAACCATATTTTCATGTTTTTTTTCTAATTTTCTCTAAAACTCTATGGAAATTTGGAAAAATATAAATGGGATTAACCGTTTTAGAACAAGCAAAATTTTTTATGGATGATGCATTTTTCTCAAAATGTCAATAATAAAAAAACTTTTCCTCTTGTAAAGACAATCCGGGGACATACTGTATAGAAAGAGCATTAAAAATATGAAAGTACATTATTAAATTAAGCAACGAATTTGCTTTTGTCAAACATTTTTTGGACGAGAAAACCTAAAAACACATATTGTTTGTCGACATCGCTGATGTGGTTGTTTTCATTTTAAAATCCACACACAGACATATACTATTTTAGTATGGTATTTTGTTTCTTAACATTTAGAAACAGTGGCTGCTGAAAACGGGAACATCTTGGACACAAATTGCAGAAAATGTTTCGAAACATTTCCTTTAAAAGTTTTGATTCCACATCGAAACATTTCAAGAAATGGCTGAGTTGTGTCACCACATTGGAAACACATGTAATAAAGCTATGTAAAATATATAGGTTTCGAAATTTCCATTTTCTGTCAAAAACAGAGACGAGTTTTAGAAACATTACCTAAAATGTGTCCAAAAATGCTCCTTGGGACGTATAAATTTTGAGCCGTACTCAACTGTACATAACAGTTACAGTAACAGTTACGTAAAAATAACAGTTCTCCCCACCTCTAACTCATTCTACTCGTCGTTCGAGACTTGGGTGCTGGCACTCGAAAACGAGCCCCTAGCATCGCTCAGACAACTATCGGGCACTGTTATAAAGTTACATTTCTTGTAACTCGTCCAGGTCGACCCTACCCGCTTCAAAATACTCTTCCTCTCATTTTCAGGCTTATTAGTTACTACTACTTCCGGTATGGTGATGCCACCGTCCTCCAGCAGAGGCTCCACGTTCTCGTTCATTGTTTCGTGAATACCCTCGAAACTCCTGTTTCTGGATAGATTATTTTGCGGCTTATAACTGTTATCGATAAAAGAGAAATTTTGAGAAGACGGAACTAAGCCTAGCATGTTTCCTATTTCCCTCTTTACTCGTTTGTTCCTGTAACCGAACAAAAACGGTGACATAACGTTGGAAATAACTAATAATACTAACGAAAGATAGTTGAAAATTTGACCAGGATTGATCCGGATACATCCGGAAGTTAATACTAAAGTTAAACCGTACGGTACATAACAGATCAGTACCATAAAGATGACCAGGACGCTTATTTTAGCTGCTCGGGTCTCCTCCCTGTACCTGAACAACGAAGCGTTTGATATCTTGTGTTTTAAATTAGTTATAAAATTATTTCTATCACTAATTGTTCGCTTTACGCGAGGAATTTTAACTTCCTCGATCGCTAGGTGCACTCTACCGTTTTCTAGAGACGAAAAATTCGGTGCTGAATGTACTTTCGGTAAAGTACGTTCACCTCTGTCTCTCGGACGATCAGCTGACTCCGCTTGGTTCGAGTCTAAAGGTGATGAAGCGGACGTGCTTTTGCGCATACGTTCGCTGTTCTGATGCGCCGCAGTATAAATGCAAACGTATATGATGCAAATTGCTACGAACGGTGCTAAAATCACCACCAAAAAGTATCCGAAAGCGTAAGTAGTATTTATCGCTTTCTCTGTATTATTTTGGCTGTACTTCCTTGAACAAAAATGCCAAAGACTACTGTCCGAGTACGTTACAGTACTCAAAACCGCGCAGACAAAAGCCGCCAGCCAACTGCTCAATATAAAAATCGACGCTCTGAATTTGTTGATATAAAAATGGTATCTCAGCGAGTGAATTACTCCGAAGTACTGATTGATTCCGATGATAAGTATACTGAAAATCGACGCTGTGCAGACGAAGCTGGTGCTGGCCTGAGCAAAGTAGCAGAGAGTCTCTTGGTGGTTTGGAGTTGCTGCGTTTTCCAGGATTTTTTCTTGGAGGAATTTCTGGCTGGTTTCGATGATTTTGACGTTGTGGTTAGAGCTGATGATTTCTTCTTTGATGAGGACGCCTTCCTCGATACGTTCGATGGTTCGGTTGTGGTCCGTGATGATGTTTTGGGATGAGGGGAAGGCATCTTGGTCCACCAGGAGTAGAGGGATGAGAAGAAGGCTGGAGAGAAGGTTGGTTACTAGCAGGTTTATTACAAATCTGAAATAAAAACAAAACATCAATTAACCCACTGAAATTTAACAAAAAAAAAATTATTACATTTTTTTTTCTTTATTATTGATGTTTAAAACATCTTTAAACTCAAATATCTTGAAAACGCTTTGCACTTTTGTTACGTAAAAATGTCCTAGCTTTTTATGTCATTTGTCGAAATTATTGCATATACACGAATGTATACCGGGTGTTTCTCAAAAGTGGCGAGATTTGGTACCTTAGTATCTACATATATGACATAAATCAGGATTGATTGACGATTGATGTTTTCGGCCACTTTCTGTTTTACCGGAAATGACTACAACTTTTGATTTTTAAATGACACCCTCGGTATTTTTTAATTTATTTGATAGAAAATAACACTCTGAATAGAATGACATATCAGATGTCAACTTTTGACATTTTTACATATGGTTTATTTGAAATTGTTACATGCGGTTCATAACAACAATTTGACACGAAATACCAAGTCTGTGGAACAAAATTATTCGTAAGAAAATGCTTTTTTCAAATATGCTAATGAACCACCCTCGTTCCATTTGAAAAAAAATGAGATATGATTTAAAATACGATTTGGGCATCTTTTAACTTTTAACTGGCCAGGACAAGACACGAAAAACATTAGACGATCAAATCTATTTTCCAAGGATTATAAATGAGTGTTTTTAAATCAGCCACGGCACTCTAGATTGAAATTTAAAATGCGTTTTTTTTAGGCAAAAATTTTAAAAGTTGACATATGATATCTCATTCTATTCAGAGTGCCATTTTCTATCCAATAAAGTAAAAAAAAAATACCGAAAATGTCATTTTAAAAACAAAAGTTGTACCTAGTAATTTCCAGTGAGACAGGAAGTGACCGAAAACAATTGAAGTAGTCATTAGACCACTTGAGTTAGACAGCCACTTCCGGTCCAGATACTGATGGAGTGTGATGTAAATCAGGTAAGAACAGTTAAAATACTCTAATAAATAAGAATAAACAGGTTTAAACCGCTTTTGAACTGCTTTAAACCGCTTTTTAGCTTAAAACAACAGACCTGTTCATTTTCATGCTTACTTCCGTCTATCCGTCTGTCCAAATCCTTAGTCCCACCCTGATGAAGATGTAAACCAAATGCCGTATCCAACTTTGTAGGGTGGGGTTAGGTTAGGTTATATAAGACCTGTTCATTTTTTGTTTAAACTTGTTTATTTCTATTTTAAAGCGGTTCAAAGTGGTTTAAACCTGTTTATCCTTGTTTATTAGCGTATTTTAACCGTTCTTACCTGATTTACATCACACTCCATCAGTATCTGGACCGGAAGTGGCTGTCTAGCTCAAGTGGCCTAATGACTACTAATTGAATACGTCAATCAATCCTAATTTATGTCATATGCTAGCATACCCAATCTCGTTTTTTATCTGAAAAAATATAAAGTCATACGGGTGAGCCACTTTTGAGAAAGACTCGGTATATAATAATATACATCCATGATCTATAAGGGTAAAAAAATATCACTAGTAGTACCCTCTACTCTAATGGAAAGTAATATTTTGAGACACTATCGCCATTCGCTTTGGCATTAAAATGTGTGTAAGAGTACCAAATTTCAAGAAAAACAGTTTACAAATGTTTTTAAAAATAAACAAAATATAACCTATTATTTTTAATTACCCTTTGGAGGGCTCTATCTGCCTTGGGAAGCCCATTTAAGGGAATATGTTCATAAGAATTTCTTGTTCTATTTGAGTGTGAAATTACCCACCAAAGTTGTTAGATAAACTAGTGTTCTGACATTCTGTACATATATACAGAGTGTTTCAAAACAAATGCGAAAAACTTCAGGGGGTGATTCCTTGTTCAAAATAAAGGGTAGTTTGCTTTATAAACGTTGGGTCAAAAGTCAACCATTAGGGAGATATCGCGGTACAAAGATGGCGGAAAAATAATGTTTTTATTTTTTATCTTGAAAACGAAAAACGATAGACTAATGAAATTTTATGGAAACATTACTGTTATGAAAACATACTTTCTGGTAATTTTCTCACTTTTTTAAAATGAGTGGAAGGGGTTGAAATAAACTACCTTTATAATTCTTGTTAACGAAATTTAAAAAAAATCTTATCAAACACATGCACAAAAATTAATTTGGATAGCTTGGTTTATTTAGAAACTTTTTTATCTCTTGTGTTCTTTGATAAAACTCGCCGATTTGAAATTAAAAAATAAAATGTAAAGCATTACATGTCAGGATAAAAACATTTTTAGATAAAGAATCTAGTGATAATAGCGATAATAATAAGAATCTAGATAATAATGTATTGCAGTAGAGTAATGTCAATAAAATAATATTAGAAACATCCTAAAAAGTGACAGCGGCCGACTAGATTTTTTCTTAAAAAAATTAGAGCAGCCCACTAGATTCTTTATCTAAAAATGTCTTTTGTCCTGACATGTAATGCTTTACATTTTATTTTTTAATTTCAAATCGGTGAGTTTTATCAAAAAAACACGGGAGATAAAAAAGTTTCTAAACAAACCAAGCTATCCAAATTAATTTTTTTTGCATGTGTTTGATAAGATTTTTCTTTAAATTTCGTTAACAAGAATGATAGGGGTAGTTTATTTCAACCCCTTCCACTCATTTTAAAAAAGTGAAAAAATTACTAGAAAGTGTGTTTTCATAACAGAAATGCTCCCATAAAATTCCATTAGTCTATCTCTTTTCGTTTTCAAGGTAAAAAATAAAAACATTATTTTTCCGCCATCTTTGTACCGCGATATCTCCCTAATGGTTGACTTTTGACCCAACGTTTATGAAGCAAACTACCCTTTATTTTGAACAAGAAATCGCCTGCTGAAGTTTTTCGCATTTGTTTTGAAACACCCGGTATAATTTTTTAGATAGCATAGACGCTAAAACATATCTATTGACATTAATTGAAGTATTAACAGAATTAAAATATAAAGTACGCTATTAAATACAATGTAATTCGAAATAATTATGGTAATTAGTTTCTTCATAAATCGTAATTAATGGGTAATTTGTACGAATAAATCTAGAGTTTTTCTTGAAACGAGTATTTTAACGCGACATCAATTAGATTGTCCAATGATAATGAATTTTGCAAATAAAAAAAGGCGTGAAATAGCTTAGATAGTTAAAATTCAATTTCGATGTTAGTTTTCTGAAAAGTGGGCGTTAATTAATTGGATTTTAAGAAAACAGGCATTGTGAAATCTTTACTTTGCTCTTAGGAATGTTGTCGTTTGTGGTTTCATTTAAATGACTTAAATAAACATATAAATTAGTAAAATAACACAGTGATGAGCGAGACTAGTCTTGGTCTTGCATAAAAACAAGATCAAGACAAAGAATAGTGTTTGATTTGCAAGACCAAGATCAGGCGTGCAAGACTCTTGTGGTTTCGAATTTTTTTCACCGAATTTGTATATGTGATACAAGAAATTAATTATTAATTCCAAATTATTGTTTTCATTTATTACAAATAGTGATTTTCCGACTATTGCAAGGAATTTTAAAGAAAGACATGCTAATACAGTATAATACAGGTTTGTCCGAAATGTATTCCGGAAACTTCGGCAGTATATTCCGCAGATAAAAATAAGTGAAAAAGTTCGTATAAATGTATGTCCTAAAATGGCTTAGTTTCAGAGATACAGGGCGTAAAAGTTTCATTTTTATTTGGTTTTTTTCCAAATAATTTATGAAGTAACGTTAATATTTGGATGAAAATTGGAGTCTGGGAGTTTTTTGACATAAAAAATTTGATTTTGAAGTCAATGACTCCTACTTGTAGAGAGTGCAACCTACGTATTTTTAACTGGTTTAAAGAGTAATAACTTTTCGTACCTACCTGTATAAAACTACTAAGTAAAAAATATACATTTACGGCTTTTTTTACGTAAAAAAGGTTTCTTGGAAAAATTCCTACGAGTAATGGTTCTCGAGATATTTGAGATCAAATTTATCAATACCTGTCATCATTGACATAAATTATTAAACATGTTGACTGAATAGTTATTAGATTGAAATCATAAATTTGAAATGTTTTTGTGCCAAAAGTTCAACAGAAACTGTTTTATCATAATTTTTTCGCAGAAAAATTAATGATTAACTATTAAAAAAATATATGTCTAATATTCTTCAAATGTATTAATTCAGTCAACTATTTTTTTGTCAATAATGACATGTACTGACTATTTCAAAATCAAATCAAAACCATTCTAAGTATCTTGAGAACGGTTGCTCGTAGCAATTTTTACCAAGTTTACGTAAAAAGTCAGGGAAACGTATATTTTTTCACTCAGTAGTTTTATACAGGTACGGATGAAAAGTTAGTACTCTTCAAAATAGTTAAAGCACATGTCCCCCCTACAAGTAGCAGTTATATTGACATCAAAATCAAATTTCTAATGTCAAAAAACTTCCAGACACGAATTTTCATCCAAATATTGACGTTCCTTCGTAAATTATTTGGGAAAAATCGAAATAAAAATGAAACTTCCACATTGATGTGTATCTCCAAAACTAAGCATTTTAGAACATACATTTATACTTACTTTTTTACTTATTTTTATCTGCAGAATATCCTGCCGAAGTTTCCGGAATACAGTTCGAACCACCGTGTATATTGAACAATAAAAATTTTCGTCAGACAATACGTCTAAATATCTTTTTTTAAAGTTTTATTTGCATTAAATTACTGAAAATACTATTTATAAAGCCAAGGCTAAGCTTTTCTATGTAGAAAGTACCTCTAGTAAAAATCTAGTAAAAAATACAAGACTTGCAAGTCTTGCACTAAGACCAAGACTGGGTCTTACAAGACCAAGACTACTTATTAACTGGAAGACTTTGTATTTGCCCATCATAGTAAAAATACACAGGTAGTACAGAATATTAAACTCAAATGACATAGTTTCTATTTACCTATTAGGTACCGTACGTAAGCTGCGTCTTCTTGCGAAGACGAGTAGAAGGAATGCGTTAGCTGTGACAGCTATGACAGATGACGTGACGAGTCCGACTGTAACTAGCCAGTGATAGTGCGACTCCATTTACGTCCTGAAACAAAACAAAAATGTCAAATAATATAAATTTGAATAATATTGCATACACATATTATCCACGGAGGTTATAGGATACAAAATAAAATTAATATGTGGTGAACTGGTGAATGTTATCGATAGTCATTTCCAAGCCAACATGACGTTGTTTTTTATTCGACCAGACCTATTTAAATTATTCTGTTTGGTATATTTTCTTTTTATGAAAATAGTATAGTACTAGCTGACCAGGACTAAATTCGTAGCGCTTAACAGTGAAGTGAAATTATGTTTCAAGACTATTTTGTCAATCTTGGTGGTACGAATGACTGACTGACAGAATGATCTGGAATGATTGATATAAATCGATTTGACGGTTGACAGTTATTGACATTTGCTCTCTACCTTTTTGTTATTATTTCTATTCAATCATTTTCTGGGGAAATGACGATCGATGACATATATACATTTACTAATAAAATGACAGCGATCTTCATTTCATAGCCATTGGTGACACCGTTTTTTTTCGATCGCTTTTTGTTAAATTTCTATTCTATAATGTCTAGTATGTGAGTGATTTGCAGTGGACATCAATTACTACAAATAAGCGTACGTGATGTGAGCTGTCAGTTGTGTAAGATGGCGGAGTTTCAAACCCAATTTATTAAAAAAAAATATTTTTTGTAGGTATATTTTTTTTCCGTGAATTTTTTCGATGTTTTAATAGTATTTATATTACATATTAACGCCTTATTATTAATTCGCCGAATTCACTGTTTTGTTTTATTGATCTAATTTTCAGTTACCACTACCTTTACTTAACTTACACAATTCTAAAATTAGGTGACTATTGACAATTCGTAGTAAGTTTAACGATATTTACTTTACACACATTACACATTTATAGCAAAACTGGAGCAATAATCTATTTTTTCTCCATTTATGTAGAATAATTAAATTAAGTTATATTTCATTGAACAGTCTAATCGGGTACAAATAGATATTTAATAGGCACTCTAAAATGGACTATATACTAGGTTAACAAGTTCTGAATATAGGTATTTAGCTATGATAAACGTATTAAAAAAAATTGTGTGTGCACTATGTGCGCATTTTTGAAGTGAACTTCCATCTATCTGTCTGTCCGTCTCAGCACTCCATTCGGGCACCTCTATCTACGTGCCGAGTTTGGTTCCAATCGACCCATATTTAAGAAAAATCCTGATGATTTCGTCCATTTAGAGGCATCGGTTCGAAACGTCGAGGGCGTCATTCTGTACTCCGTCTCCAATTATCACTATTCTGTAGCCCGTCCAAATCAAATCCTTAGTCCCACCCTGATGAAGATGTAAACGAAATGCCGTATTCAACTTAACAGGATGTGGCCATGTGCTCTGTCGTCGCTTACACAGCCTACCCGCCAAATTTGGTTAAGTTAGTTGATTCAACTAACTGTCACAGTGACCAGCCCCGGATCTACAATTTTTTTGAACCGGGGCAAAAAATCGATAGTAGCGCCCCCTCTCTCCAGCGTTTGCAATAAATTAATTTAAAAAAAAAACTTACAAATATCTAGATATAAGTAGGCATTTTTCGTAAACGGGACAGAATGAGCCCTTAAGCTTCATTCAGAATCTCCGAATTAGTGGAATAAATTAATGGTTTCAATTAGCGTAGAAGTTTGTTCCTTTAATTTCATTGTAAGCATTCAGTAGGTACGTCTAAATTAGTGGTAGTCATTTTCAAGCTTCATTCAGACCATCGCAATTAGTGAAATAAATTAGTGGTTTCAATTACACTTTATACTTTTTAGTTTACGATCATTCACAATTAAAATTAATAAAATATCCTAGCAACAGCTAGCGGTAGTCTGTTGTATCCGAGGTTGTATCCATAGAGAAAGCATAATATTTAGATTATAAAACAATAAACTTTTGATTTCTAACCAAAATTTTTCTTGACAGATGATAATCAAAGGCCTAAATGACATTCCTTGCAAATTTTGAAGTATAATTATTGGAAAAGTCAAAAGTTTGTTAACTTTTTCGACTAATTGAAAATTACTACCACTAATTATGACGTTCTGAATGCTTACATTACAAATAGGTGAACAAACTTCTACGCTAATTGAAACAACTAATTTATTCCACTAATTGCGAGGTTCTGAATGAAGCTTTAGGTAATTAGTAGAAAAAGTAAACAAAGTTTTGACTTTTCCACTAATTATACTTCAAATTTTGCAGAAAATGTCATTTTGTCCATTGATTAGCATCTGTCAAGAGAAATCGTGGTTAGAAATCAAAAGTTTATTGTTTTATAAGCTAAATATTTGGCTTTCTTTATGGATACAACTGACTACCGCAAGCTGTTGCTAGGATATTTTATTAATTTTAATTGTGTTTTTTAAACATTGTGAATGATCGTAAACTAAAAAGTGTAATTAATTGAAACCGCTAATTTATTCCACTAATTGCGAGGTTCTGAATGAAACTTTAGAATGTGTTCAAAAACTAACTGGGCGTTTTAAAATAAAATGAATACTTGATAGAAGAGCGTAAGGTGCATATACTAGGCGCTTTGTGGAGCAATTTTTTGATTTTCAACCATATTATATTATGATTTTGGCGCCCCCTGACACTGGCGCTCGGGGCAGGTGCCCCGGTTTGCCCCTCCCCCCCATTTAGATCCGGGGCTGACAGTGACACATGTCGTCGTACACGGTCAAATTGGCCGTGCTCCAATCTATCGACATACCAAATTTCATTTAAATCGGACGATTTTTTCGCCATTGATGATGGGGTTTCATAGGGCACGAAACGTTGCCAAAATATCATGAAAAGATGTCTCTTCGAGCCTACATTCTGAATTTCAGCCCGCTAGCTCACATAGGGCCTGAGTTACGACTCACCAAAAACCTCAACTTCCTCATTGGCTTACCACTTTTTCGACCGTTACCACTTGTCGTGAAGCTAGCTCTTGTGTCATGGCCTTGAATTTTTGCTCCCGTTTCACTTCAATAAGAACATCTACTCCTTCACCTTCGCTCTGATTTAGCTACTCTAAGACGTTGTTACTTGGATATACGAGTAGAAGTTTGGTAGCGCGTCTGGTGAAATTTAAACTGCGAGAAATAATTTTGCAACCAATAAGAAATTGGGAACCACATTTTCCATATATCTATACTAAATCTATTCATGTCCTTTATTATACAGAAGAATTGTATCAGATTTCGACATATTTTAGTCTAGAAACATGTTCTGCTTTAAATTAATCTTATTTTCTCACATTTTACACTATTTTTTGCCCGAAATTACGTAATATTTGTGGAAACCCCATCTCCCCCCCACGTGAGATTCCGTTCGACCCCTTCACCCCTTGATTCCCTGACGTAATTTAAAGTATAACAGAATAATAATTTTAAACAGCGGGGCGGGGGTTAAAATATCGACGTTGCGCCACTGATGCATGGATAAATCATCAGACGATAAATTAATTACCATGTTAATGAGCTTATACAAAAACTATATCGCACGACGACGCGTTAATTGCCAAAGGTCTAAAGATTAGGTCAGCGGCTTGCGAAAGTTAATTTTAATTTGATGCCCAGACATTTTTCTAATGGCGAATACGTGACAGTTGATTCAACAGAAGCGATTTTATTTATAAAATACGTTAATTTGGACATGTTACTTGATATAACCAATCGATTGATCGAAGAGCTCATATTCACAATGATGTATGCATTAACAATTAAAAAAAGAAGTAGCAAATAAAGCACTAAAACCAAGACGTTATAATAACTAAATTTACTGAGACTATGTTAGATATTTTTAAGTCTGTGTGACGGATCAAGGTCACAGTAATGCAACTGACTTGAGAGCATATTTCGTGCTTTCGTGACATTTGATGTCAAAAAGCTTTTCTGCTAGTTGCTTCCAAGTGGTGGCACTGTGAAAGGCTGTACTTGAAACTGCAAAAATGTTAGCAATGAAATTGAAAGTTTATTGCTTAAAGAACTGGAAGCGTTGATTGAAAGTTCTTTCAGTCAACGCTAGAAGATAAAAAATATGGCCCAGAAAAAGAGGTAGCCGCAGAAGAACTTATAGTGCTTCTAATAATTTAGAGAAGCTGAATAAATTAGGCAATAAAAAGAAAATAAAGTCCTTCTACTCTGGTTGCCATCCCATCAAGGGATAGAAGGCAATAAAAAAACAAACGATTCAGCTAAAAAAGGAGTGAACACTCCATTAACTGGATCAGAACCGTTCTGCTTCCCAAGTGAAAGCCAAGGACTTGGATGATTCCTGATGCTGATGAGAAGTTGAATAAATTAGGTAAAGAAAATAAAGTCCTCCTACCTTACTAACTTATATTTTACTTTATTACTAACTCATCAAGAGATAGAAGGTAATGAAAAAGCAAACGATCTAACTAGAAAAGAAGCGAATACTCCATTAACTGGATCAGAACTGTTCTGCTTCCCAAGTGGAAACCAAGGACTTGGATGATTTCATCCGTCACCTGGAATGGCAATCCTCCAACGGTCTAAGACCGCCGAAAGAATTTCTCAGAACTTACGACCGAGAAAATCAAAGATTTTCCTTGATTTAAGTAAGGACAATCTTCAGATTGTCACGGGGTTTTAACAAGAAAGTGTTTCCACAATAAACACCTCAGTAGACTGAAGCTTAAAAACAACGACAATTGCAGAATCTGCGGAGAATATGGGCTGTGATATGGGGAACCACCAGAACATCTCATCACTGAGTGCGTCGAGAGGACTATTCGTGCCATAAACTTTGATACGACTGATATTGAAGATGTAGAACTAACCTCTGTAAACCGTCTCAAATATTGGTAGAGGTGGGTTGTGAAATCGCAGTCCGCTACTTTGTCACAGCTCCACCAACGTCGCAGTATGTGACTGCTCCAGTTCCAAGAAAATCGCAGTGACATTTCGGAGCAGTTTACAAGTTTAGGACATCTGCGCTCGTGAGTAGCAATAGGAGCAATAGCAGG